CTTTGAAAATTTTATTCATCAAACGTTGGTAAGTCACCCTAGCATTCTTCAACCCAAAAGGCATCACTGTATAACAGTAGATCCCCCGGGGCGTAATGAACGTCATTTTCTCCTAATCTGATTCATGTAAGGGAATCTCGTGATATCCAGCCCGAGCATCCATAAAAGTGATTCGCTTGTGGCCGGCTGTGGCGTCTATCAGCTGATCAACCTTGGGCAAGGGGTATTCGTCCTTGGGACAGGCCTTGTTCAGGTCCGTAAAATCTACGCAAACTCGTTATTTTCCTTCCTTTTTCTTGGTGCACACGGTATTGGAGAACCACTGGGAGAACTGTACCTCCTTGATGGAACCTGCCCCCAACAACTTATGCACCTCTTCATTCACAGCCTTCGTGTGATGAGGCGCCGTTCTTCGAGCCTTCTGCCTAACGAGTTTGAATGAGGGATTCACATGGAGCCGATAAGTCATCACCTCGGCACTTATTCCCATCATTTCAGTATGGGTCCATGCAAAGACATCGGCATTTGCGACGTAGGAATGAGGCCATATCATTTCTCTCTACGTCGCTAAGTGACTCTCCTATCAAAAATTACTTCTCATCGTTATCTGGGCTCAGGAGAATCTTAACCAAGGCCTCAGTAGACCGGTCGGATGGTTCTGTAATAGGCACGTCCACTCCTGGCCGACCGCTCTGTGATTGCTTTTTGGCAACCACCGCATCGGAATCACGTTTTTGACTTCGGCCGCTAACTCCAGTTTTCACCGCGGCATAGAAACAGCTTTTCGCTGATGCCTGATCACCCCAAATTTCTATTATGCCCTACAGTGTTAGGAACTTTATCTTTGGTGATAGGACGAGTGGACCGCCTTTATCGCATGCAATCACGATCTCCCTATAATAGCGTTATACGGAGAGTCGGAGTCCACTATCACAAACTCCACTAGCGTGGTTACCACCCCTGCACGTACCATGAGGGTGATTTTTCCAAGAGGCAGGGCCTTGGAACCATTGAAGTCGATGAGGGGGGGCTTTACGGGTTCCAGATCCCCCTGCGAGAATCCCATTTTGTGAAAAAGGCATCACCTCGGAAGAACTGCCTGAGTCTACCAACATCCTTTTGACGTCGAACTTCCCGACTCGCAAAGTGATCACCAATGCATCCTCGTGGGAAAGAACCACCCCGCCGAGGTCAGCATCAGAAAACTGGATAACCTCAACACCGCTTCGCAGCTTCTTGGGCGGTCGCTCCTCACCCTTTTCTTCCACCCTGACTACTTGAAAGACCTTCTGTAACTCGGCGCGAAGGGAGTTGTACGTAGGCCTCTCCACTGTACAAGCATGAATAACATCAATCACGGGAGCTACCTCAGTTGACATCTCAGTGCGCTCCCTCGTCGATCTGCCGGGACAACCCCTATCGATGAACTCCCCGAGGTGTCCGTCTTGCACCAATTGTTCGATGAAGGATTTATAAACCTTACAATCCTCCATCAAATGGCCTACATCTCTATGATACGAACAACGGAAGGCCGCATTCCTTGTCAATGAGTCTCCTATCATCCTCGGGGGCCACTTGAAGTAAGGTTTGTTTTTAATCTTGGGAAGCATCCTGTAAATGGGCTCTTTAAAGACCATGTTCACCCCCTAGAAGGACAGGTGAGTTGGGGGTGGAACAGGCCCTCCCCTTCAGGCCGACTGCTCCCTCTCCCTTTTTCTCGGCACCGGGACCCTACTCTCGGGCATGTTGGATTCTTCCTCCACTTGGGCATATTTGTTAATCTAAGCCATCAAGTCTTTCATGTCCGTCGGAGCCTTCTTAGTCAGCGATTTGTACAAATCAGTGTCCCAGGACAGCCCCAACCTAAATGACGTCGCGGCCAATGCCTCCAAACATCCTTCCACCTCGTTGACTTCAACCCAATACTGGACGACATATTGTCGAAGTGTCTTTCCTCCCTTCTGCCCAAGCGTCAACAGAGCGTCGACGTCCTTCTGTTTCTTACTGCTGGTGCTGAATTGAGCTATGAAAAGCTCCATCAATGGTGTCCAGGACCTGACGCTCTCAGGAACCAAGTTCTTATACCATCTCATGCATGTGTCCCCTAGGCTCATGGGAAAAACTCGGCACAACACCCTTTGGTCAGTATCGTAGATTGACATCAATTGTTTGTATTACTGAATGTGGCTCTCGGGATCGATTTTTCCATCATAGATTTTGAACCGTGGGACAGTAAACTTCTTCGGCATTTCGGCCTCCCTGATAGCCCAGATGAACTGTGAAATAACTTTGTCGGAATAGACCTCGGGCTCATGGTTGCGATAAGCGATGAAGTGGACCCTGAGATCCTTTTTTGATCTTTCTTCTCGAGGCCTCCGGGGTGTGGACTCCGCTTGTGACTCGGTGGCGCCGACGTCCTCGAGTATCCCTCGGTGCAGGTCCCACAGGGACATGCTTGCCTTTTGGCCTGAATTCGAATTCCCCTTCGAGGCCGAGGGCCTACCTTGACGATTACGTCCCTCGGGTGAATGCCTAATTCAGTCTCTCCTGGAGGGCCTACGCTAGGGAAGCCTGAAAAGGTTTTAGCTGGGCACTTGATCCCCGAACTCGCGACTATGCCCGCCCGCGCTAGCTAACTGCTCAAAATCGTCAAGATGCCGCTGGACCTTGGCATTTTCCTTCTCAAGCTGCTTAATGCATTTGCCCATCCGCTTTTCCACCATCTCAACGATGTCACGGGCCATGAGGTCATGCCCCCCAAGGCCCTGATCCATAGGGAGCGTTCGTTGTGAAGAACGCTCCACTCCACCTGATTGGCTCAATAGACCCAGTTCCAGAACCATTGGAAGCCAGACGGGCTCTGCGTTCCTTACACGCACACCTGCTCCTTCACCCTGAGATCATATGTTCACTATTAGACGATCTCTACCGGGAAAGATGTCCTCGCTTCTCATAGATGGCGCCAAATTACACGGGATAATTCCTACAATAGTTTGAGACAGCGATATCCCAACTGGCGAACCTAAAGCAACAGGATCAGAAAAAGGGGGTCAGGTGAGTACCCGACTTATCCCCTCCGAAGCTTAAGTCAGTCTAAGATCGAACGGTTTAGCTCAATGGCAATCTTTTTCTGGTTCAAGTTTGCGTACCTTTGTCCATTTTTTTAAAGAGTATTTATACCTGAATTAACAATGATTGCCAAAAATCTCGAGTCCCATATGGACATCTTACATCTGACACACAATTTCTCGTGTAATAAGTATTTTCTACTCACGTCTCCTCTTACTAAATACTAGGAAGATGGGATAAATGCTCGGCCAAATGCCGAGCATTTATGCCCCTCCCCCGAGTACCCAAATCCCTCAGATCGGCATTTGACATCAACTGAGTATTGAATACTCGGAGGAACAGTTCCTCGGGGGGAGCCGATCGCATCATCTAGACACATCAGTCATTAATGCTTAGTCATCATGACAGTAGGCCTAGACTCTCAGAGTGCAGGTGTTTGCAGGCGCGCATTTATTTGTCTTGTCACTATCACTCATTCCGCCATAAATGAAGGGTCACATCACATTAAATACGATGTCAACTGTTGTACTCGGCTGCTCCGTGTCACTATACCTCGGCTTATCTCCTCAACGCCCTTTGGACATCCCTACGGCTTCATTATTCCACGTGTCAACCTGGGGGCTATAGAGCCACCTATAGTCCCGCCAATAATGTTCTGAATATTCATTCAAGGAGTGGATATTTTTTTTGTGTTTTCAGAATTTGGATGTGGTCTGAAAAATTGCCTTGTTCCGTGAACAGCTGAAGGGAAAGTGTGTAGGGAAATCTTTAGTAGCAGCTAATTCTTTTATTGATTGCTTTGACTAGTTGAGGTTCTAGGAGCATTAGGTTGGCCTTTATATTGTTTTTGTGTATGTACATTAAGTGAACATTGACCTACACTCCTTGCGGCCTCTTGGCAGAATTGCTTTCATTGCCAAATGTAGTCACATGGATTAGTTTATTTGATATTTTGATTACTCTTTCTCTCATATTCTGAATAGAACTGCTGTCCCTTTTTAGTTCCTTTTCCTCCTAGATTTCTTATAACTTGGTTTCTATGAGCTTTATCGCCATTGATCACAAGTGCTCACTAGCACAGATAGAGGAGGGCGTACAAATATTCCGTGAAAATTATCTCTTAGAACTTCTAATCTTATGCTATACCATGTCTCAAGTCCTTGAGATGCATTGAAAACACAAATAACCGTCTTCTAAGAAGTTGATTTCTATGCTTCCAAGTTGATGGCATCAGATTACCAATACTCTAGGCTTGTTCACTTTCCTTGTGTCTGAAGTGAATATGAAGGAGAGAAAAGTGGCTCATTCAGTTGGATTCTCTGTTAGATGCGTGGTTTTGGGGGGAAGGGGGGGAGACTTTCAATTTCTCTGATCTTTGTCATGCTCACCCAACAAAGTTCTTAGGAATTTCAGTTTTGTTAAATGTGGTGCCATTTCTTAGTTTCTCTGTTTTCCTTTGCTTTGTTCTTTACTAGCTGTTCATTAACTGAAAGAAAGAAGTATGCAATACATTCAATAACATTATACATGCTTATAGATAGACTGAGAGGATGGAAATGATAGAAAACCAATACTTTCTCCTTAAGTTGGATTCTTGGTACTTGGCCATGTAAAGTTCCTGCATAGGACTGTCAATTATACATTATGCAATCCTGTTTCTCGCAACAACCATAGTGTTAGTGTCAAAACACTATGTTTAGGCCAATAGACCATTAAATCAGGAAGAAAAAAAAAAGGAAATAGTACTCTAGTCTCTCTTGTTGTTTGTTCATAGATGCATGATTGATCTGATGGCCGCATCCTTTGTAGCGGCCTTGCATCGAGCCTTGGCAATCTTGGACAGAAGTTAGACCAAGTTTTGACCTAAAAAACATGTGTCATAGTGCAATTACAGAAAAATAGAAAATAAAACAGTAGCTTTATTGCAAAACATGGCACTCTCTGCCCTTCCCCTTCTACCTAAACTGATGGTCACTTCTACCTAAACTGATGGTTTTTCTTTCCACTGTTGGCTATCTACTTTATGTAATCCAAGTTCCAAAATGCATTCTCTTTTTTTTTGCATACTTCCCTTCTGTATTTAACATTTTACAGAACGAACGACCACCATTGCCAGCCAGTTGTCAACCTGCGCTTGCACACCTCATAAAGCGATGCTGGGCAGCAAATCCCTCCAAACGGCCAGATTTCAGTGACATTGTTTCTGCTTTGGAAAAATACGATGAGTGTGTCAAGGAGGGCCTTCCACTTACTCTACATTCAAGGCTAGCCAGCCGAAATGTCATTCTTGAACGCTTGAAAGGCTGTGTATCCATGAATTCATCTATACCTGTACATTCCTGACTCCTTTGGAAAAAGTATCACCATTTTATTCAGTTGTTTGCCTCATCATGTCGATAGATTAGTCCGATAATCACCTGTATATGCTTAATGTTCCCAACTTCAATTATCTCATTATACTTGTTTCTATTTTTGTGGATGGTCTTGCTGGTATGCTGTAAAAGTCCATCCCCATGTTTTATGTACTACTCTGAGTAATTCATTGTAGATTTTCCAATTACTAAGTATATAAAAGAGTAGGGGTAATCCGTGCATGAAAGTACGGTGTAACGTAAATCAATTGATTAATTTGGAGAAGTGAGGAGTGAAGATCAAAGAGTGAGGAGAGAAAGGTAAAATTTAATGTGAATGATTTTGAGAGAGATGTTAGTAACCATTGAATAAATTTATTTAAAACTTTCAAATGGACTTATTGAAACGTGCCTTATTTTATATTATATATACTCTTGACCATGCCGATGTTCAATGCAAGATTTCCTATTGGAGTATGTTGCTAAGGTAATTGTGTCGGAACTGCCGCAATGATCCTGTAATTATCCATACAACATGAATCAGAGGATCCTCGTTTATTTTATAATTGGAGAGGAGCCTAACCCCAAACTTGAAGTGCAAGTAAAAAAGAAATATATAAAGCCCAATTCTAGGAGGATTGAGAAACTGTGACATCGCCCTATAAATAAAGGGCTGCATGGTCACCTAACATACCACATACAAGTACATCTTCTCTCTCTTGCCTTCTTCAAAACTCTTTCGTCTCCTTTAATAATCGTTTTGCTTATAAAACCTTCTTCGATCTTGTCGTTGATCATCCATCAAATCCGACTGTGAAGAACAATGGCAACCATGGTTTCCACATCACGTTTGGGGCATGGTTGAGGGCTCCATTGGGTAGAGGGTTGAAGAGTACAACAGGTCAAAGGGCCGGTGCGGATAAGCACAGATGTTATTGGAACATCTACCATCACTATGTGGGGTACATAGTCCTTGCCTTGGGTATTGCCAATGTGTTCATTGGATATAAGATTTTGAAGCCCGGAAAGGGTTGGGAGATTGCGCACTATGTCATCTTCGGGGCCTTGTTATTCACTCTAGAAGCTTGCAAGCGGTACTTGGAGAACAAATCTACCAGCGAAGAGGTGGTGTCAAAACGCAGCAATTGAGGAAGCTGTGAAGTCGTAAGAAATGGTGCTAATTGTCCACAGCAGTGTGTAGTTACTTAGCACTTTTTTGTGGTATAGGCAACAGTGTCTCCATTTAGCTGGCTAAATCATTATTGAATGCCTGTGTAGTTGAAATTAAGTTTTTTTTATCAGAATAGTTGAAATTAAGTTCAAAAGTGAACTTTTACAAGAAAATTTTATGCACATGCAAGTCTATTAGAACTCAAAAATGGCTATACTTGATGACACAAAATGTGCTTTATTCCTACTCAAGTACTTATTAATCACGTGCATCGATTAAATATAGCGATACTTGAAATTAGGACATGCAAGAATGTGTAGTTCTTTGATTGACCATTAACGAAATACACTATGGTTTGTCTCAAAAGTCAGTAGTTTAGGTGGTACCTCTAACCCCTTTGTTGAAAGTGCAGGACAGGTTCAAATCTTAGGTATAAGGACAAAGGGGTGGGTAGGGGTAATTGGTGGGCTGTGTAGCTCAGTTGAACCTTGGGGGAAGATGGCCGCTGGACTCTGTATTTTTTCAAGCACTCAACTTGTGAATAAAGTGTAACTCCAATTTTTTTTTAATAAAAAATGACAAAACATCAAAATAGCTTATATTGGAGGCACTCCGGTATATATTTTTTCTTTATTACACTAGGGCAACCATTCTCTCTGTCTTCCGACCACCTCGTAGAGTCCTCCTCCACCACCATCCCCAACATCACAAAGCCCCTAATTGAAAAACTCTAACTTAGATCACAAAGTGAATCGAACATTTGATCTAAATTCTCTCCAAATCATGCCAATCAAACTTTCTCTCAGTTTCGAAGTGATTCTGATTGTAGGCTCAATTTGTTTCTTCTTTGGGTTTGGGTTGAGGGAGGCCTTAGGGACTAGGTGGGTAAGGGCTGAGGTTATTCGGATTGCCTTAAGGTGTGTGTTGTGTTTAAATGGATGTTATGGCTCTCACACTTTTAAGTGTGAGTGGTTGTAGTTATCGTATGTTCAAAAACAAAAACTCTCTCTCTCTCTCCCTAACAAAAACGATACTTACATAGATAAAAAAAATTATGGGTAGAATAATTATTGGTGGCATAGTGACCGGGATATTAGAAATGGTGAAACTTACGATGGCAACCACCATCCCCATTGTCACAAAACCCCAAACTGAAAAAATCTAACTTAGATCACAAATTGAATCGAATATTTGATTTAAATTCTCTCCAAATCATGTCAATCAAATTATCTCTCTCTCTCTCTTCACAAAAAAGACTTTCACATAGATGAAAATTATAGGTAAGATGGTTATTGGTGGCATAATGACGAGAATACTGAAAATGGTGAAAATTATGATGACAATTTCAAATACATTTCAAAGTTTCAATGGCTTATTTCTTTATAGTTGTCATGAATTCATTACAACTGTCCACAATGTGCCCATCAATATTGAAAATGTAGTTTTTTGGGGACTCTACATAGTGTTAGTAGCCAAACAAAAGAAAAGTTATTTGACTAATCGACAACCCAAGGTCTAGGTATAATTAAACTTGTTTTAATTGTTTCACAAATATTTTTAGAGAGAAAAGAAAAGTATTAATATCTTTAGTAGGTGAAGTGATACCCACTTTCCCTCAAAACAAAGAGGAGAGACCATTGCCTCTCCTTTGTTTCCTCTCATCAAACGAACTCCAAGTGATAATTTTAGGGCAATAGAAGATGTTGACAAGGACCAAACATAACATGGTGTGAGACAAATAAAATAAGTAAAAGAATAAATGCCCACTCGAGAAAAACAAAAGGGGTTTTGGACTTGAGCCACTAGTGGGTCTTTTTGGGTGCTTTGCTTTAATCGAATCCTACTTTTGCAGACCTCGTTAATGGCTACACCAGCCATACGTTATTATTCTGTATAATCCATAGCATGACGTCAAAGATTAAGGCATATGTCTCAATTATGAACTTGAAAAACAAAATTTCCATATCATATCAAAATTTAATATATTTATTGGTATTTTTATTATTATTATGGGTGTTTTTACTATTATTATAGTACCCAAAAAAAATAATAAAAATAATTATCACAACAGTAGTAAAAATACCCACAAAAATAATAAATTACCCAAAAAAGTGATAAAAAAAAAATTATTGAAGAAAAGTGGTAAAAACATCCACAAAAAATGGTAAAATACCCACAAAAATGATAAATATTTTAGTTATAAACTGACCTACAAAAATACTATTTAAAATAGTACAATTATTTTTTAGACTCTTACAATTTGCTAGCGAGCTCTAATTAATCCTGAACCATCTAACAATGAAACTTCTAAAGTTTAACGTATGTCTCAAAGTCCCACCATTCAAGCAATTTTGACAACTTATCATTTTTCAAGTAAACAACATGTGCACTATTCAAATATAGGTATAGTTGGCACAACAAAAAAGCCAGAGTTAAGACCCCCAACACGCACTCATCCCAAAGGGTCCAAAATACGAAAATTCTTATCAATACAAGATGTAGGCAAAATTAGAAACAAACAATTTTATCTTGCATTATTTATGAAACTCGAACGCTTAGAGCTCGTTTGATAGACGTATTATGAGAAGATTAAATATTAAATTATACTATTTTTTATTTAATCGAACTTAATACATTGTTTGGTAAGCAAATTTGATACCATATTAATTTCAAAAACATATATTAATCGTATACTTATCGTATATTTTTTATACGATAATTCTGTACTATGGAAGTTTTTTAATACCATCAAAAGAGGCGGTATTATAATCTAATTCAAACGCATTATTCTATACATTTACTATTATAACCCCTTAATTGATAAAATCAAGTTGTCATCAATGTAATAAACACTGATTAAAGATATTTTTGTTAATTCAATATTAATACGATGAAATAATTCTCTAACAAAACAATCGATTGGATTAAATAATTACTATTCAACACTTATATTGAGTATTACCAAACATTTGATAAAATTACGCATTATTCTAATACCCTATTTAATCTTATCTTTTGTCCTTTCGTATTGTATTAGGCTGTATTACCATATTTAATCCATCCATTTCTAATATGACAACCAAGCAAGGCCTTAATGTCGAAATAATAGTAGAATTATCTTTGAACTAATCCAAGACCAACCCTCAATTGGTATGGTTTGGAGTTTGGACATAGAAACATAAGTAATAATTTGGGGATTAAATAAGAATTAGGTGCAAGGATATATAAATAATAAATTGTACCTTATTCTAATTAAACAAGGTAGCATGAATGCCTTTGATAAATGAGCAGTTGAGGAAACACAAGATGCCCTCGTCATGTCCTGCCAATTCCGGGCAACATAACAAATTTTGGGGGACCCTTTTAATTACGCTAGTGTTTTAGATGATGTTAATGGAAACAATGAATAAAACGACGCCGTAGAGGACTACTAAATACCATTATGACAAGATTTTTTTCCCAATGGAAAGAAAAAAAAAGCCAACAATCTTCTATGTTTTTGTTCAACAATTAAGGGTGTTCCCAAAATTTACACGCACTTCAATTAATTTTATCTTCAATTCGATTGAACTTCAAACACAATAACAATTGACTAAAACATGAATCTTAAGTGGAAGCTTGGAAGATATGTAGTTTCTAATTACCAGTGATGATTCAAAGCTACCCATTTTTTACATTGTAGAGGGTATTTTACAAGAACCAAGAAGAAAAAGATCAATATCAAGGAAGAAAATATAGCATTTTATAGATAAGTGGAAATGAAACTAAACAAATTTTTTCCTCCCTGTTTTCCTTCAATTTCTTTAGGTCCAAACACTCCAAATCCTCTCTCCAAGCAGACTCACAAACTTCCTCACTGAACCTTTCTCAAACCCTTCCTCTCCCTCATCATCACCACCAGTCCCACAACCCTCAACTCCACCACCACCGCTGCCACTAGTAGTATCCTCCACCGATTCTGACTCACCAAACTCATCCTTGCTCAAACTCAGCTGAGACTTTTTCAACTCATCGGGCTCACTGCAGCCTCTACTCTTCCTCCTCTCTCTCTTGCTCTGCACCAACAACCCATCTTCAAAAGCATCAATGATTTCGTGTATGATTTGGCGGTTTGGAGAAGCATCCCACTTGACCCAGTAACTCATATAACACCTGAAACAGTAACAGTTAAACGAAACTGGGTGGTCGCCGTCACCTTTTCTTTCACCACCACCGGTAGAGGTGGTGGTTTTTTGAGTGTTTCTCCGATTGTTTGGGAAGTTTCCAGAGGAGCAAGAGATGAGATAGGCCAAGACTTCTCTGTCTTCCGGTGATAGAGCCGCCGTCAGAGTCAAGATCGTTGCCGGTAAGAAAGATAGATGGTCGGAGATGAGTGGTGCTGTTGGATGAACTGAACCTTTCCGGTATATCTTCTTCATAGTTATGAGAAGAGAGAGAGAGAGAGAGAAAAAAAGTTATCTGAAAGTTCAGGGTTTGAAGGGTCGATGAGGTTTTGTGACCGAGGAGAGAGAGAAAGGCATAGGAGTTGGTGACGTATATTGGGGGTTGGGGGCACTATACAGCGGTGTAGTGTCAATTCGTGTCGCTTCATTGTATTCATATTGTATTTTATTTATGATAATATTCACAAAAACATATTTTCTTAATTTCGTTGTGATAATTTCGTGTTGACAGGTTAAAATTGACACTCTTATTTGTGACTTACATTGTTTGTTTAGTCTTCTCGGACTGTCGTGACGATAACAAACAGGGTTAGATTTATGAAACAAACTTTATAATATAAAATAAAATAAATTTTAATAAGCTTATTCAACAATTTTAAATAGATTTATTCAATGTCTCTCTCAAAATCATTCATATTAAATTTTTCGTCAAATTCATCACTTTTTACTTACGGTGCCTTTAACAACGAATTATCCCTAATTAGACTATAATTTGAGTGAACCTTCGAGAGAGTCAGTAATTTTCTACCTTTTAGGTCCTAACTACGAAATTAGACTACGATAGGTTTAGATATTGTGCAGAAATTGTACCTATATAAGGATTAATGCAATTTACAAAACTTAAAATTTGCTCTCAATCTTTGCCCCTATCTAAAATTATCTAATACATTTGTATACAAAAATATTTGTAAAAGAAATTAAATGTGAAGTAGTGAATAAAAATAATAAAAGTGGTTGAATATTAATTTTTAGTAAGTGTCTATAAAATAATGAACAAGAAGTTACCACCAAGTAAGGTGGTGGTCTAGTGGGGTACCGGACTTATTTCTCACCTTGAGGTTGAGAGTTCGAGTTTTGAAGTCTCATTGAGGCTTGGTGGTTGACCGCTATATTAGTCTAATTAGGTCTGGTCCCAAGAGATGTTCCAGACGCGGTCAAGGGTATTATGATCTCATCGGTGAGAGCCTATCGGAGTGATCGCTAAACGTTCTTCCCTGTCCCCACCTCTTTTTTTTTTTTAAAAAAAAAAGAGTAAGACCTATTACAATTTTAGTACCCCTCTTACTGGGGTGATTGTGTCCGTCATCTGTATGTGTAATAATTACAAAAGAGTGAGATATGGAGGAGAAGATAGATACGTACAAGAGTACAAAAAAGATGAAAACTTATGGATAGTTATACTCAATATAGGTATTTTACAACGGGAACACCATATTCCCCCTTTTTTTTCTTAATTTATAGTATAAAAATGTACAACCGAAATTACTCTAACAGCATCTTTAGCTACCGTGGAAGTTCATGATTAACACTTAATCGCACCATGCACGAGATTATCACTAGTGCGATATCTAGAAAGAGTTAGATGTAAACAATCTTAACCTCGCATTCGCACGTGGCTCTAACCTTAAGAAACACTCAATTGATATACCTAAAAAGGACAGCAGCCATCAAAAGTCTCCCAATCTAAGAATTGAAGATGTGGGACTAGAACAAGGAGTAAATAATTCTACTAGCATTTGAAAAAGATAGAAAAGAAGAAGAAGAAGAAGAAATAAAACCAATACACAAATGATAGCTCAAGTTACTCTCTACATAACATCTTAAATATTCCATGAAGTCGTCTAGCAATCAAATACAGCAATTTCGTATTTAAGCCTAGCAGTTTCAGACATATCAAACGATAATTGGAATGGTGAGAACCTGGGATAATTATCAGATTGAAATTCCAATATTGCCAAAACTTCAGGAAGAGCTCTGGAGACGAGATTTGATCCATGATCCCAAGCAACTCAACTCCTCGAGAATTATAGAATGGCCCAGCCCTGGGTAAGCCTGCAAATTCATAAAAAAACTAAATTTTTAACGAGCGAAATATAAAACATGAGGAAGTCTAAGAAATTGAGACATGTGATACCTTGAACTCACAGCTCACGCCAGCTTGTTCAAGGAAAGGTGGACCCGCTTGTCCAGCTTCAAATAATACTGTTCTGTCAGCAATACCATGAGACCACAGGATAGGTGTCTGCATATACCTTTGGATGTCAGTTCCTTAATACAAAAACATCAAGTCTACGTAAATGCATCCTAATACTACAATAAGAGTATAAGACTATGACCACTTGACAAGAAGAATGCAAATTATAAATCAAGGAAATAGCATGGCATTAGCTCTTCATTGTGGAGGTGTGCTATTGGCTAAAACTTGTTTGCTACTATGAATTGTTCTCACTCCCAATATAGCACAAGGTGCCTGGTCAACTAAAAGATTCTACCAAGACAAAAAGAAAAAATCAGATATGTATATAACGGGGACTATAACAGTGACAACAATCAGGATACTCGGGGAAGCTGGGTTTGTTATCACAATGCTGAATTCCATCTGCTAGTTTTTCAGAGTAGACTGACTTTAAATACCAGCTATTCTCACCTGCAACCCGCATCAATCTAGGTTTACAACTTCTTATCTCTCTCTCCAAATTAAAAACATGTCAATATCAACCATCCCTCAATGAATAGTTACCAATAAATAAAAATTATAATATAAAAAAATTATAAAATGAAATTATGTTGGAAGGTTAAGCTTGGAGTTGGTTTTCAAAATGGATATTTTCAGTTGGAAAATAATTTCCGATTCAATGATTACTAAAATTTACTGTAAGTCATCAAACAAAGACTTTTTTTGTGATAATTAAATAACCATGGAAAGGGACATAAGAATAAAGAAAAGACATTCAATCAAAATTCAGAAAAATAAAACAACAATTATTTGTAGAACAAAGAAAAGGCGCTGCCTCACTATTCATTACAAGAATATCACCTTTTTTGCATCTGGTGTAATCTGTTCTACTATAGAAGAATTAAATGGAACCCATCCACTAAACACTGCACCTCCTCCTAGAGTTTTTGGGTATAGCAAAACACTGGCCAAAGTCAACGCACCTACAAAACCCAGAGTAGTTCATGAGTTACCAGCACAAAAGGACTATGTTTTAGTTGTCCACAGAGAGAGAGAGAGACCTCCTTGACTAAATCCACATACAAAAACGTTATTAGGACTTGTGCCAGCAGCTATCTCTTTGTCTATCATGGCATGCACATTCTGAACTGCTTTGGGCACACCATTCTCATCTTTTGGAGAATCCTGCTATATATCAATGAATCGGTGCTAAAAATGCAGGAAAAGTGGCCTGGTGTTAATCAATTCTCACATCACACAATGCTACCTGCCATGGTATAACTAAACTTTAAAAACATGATAATCGTCAAGCGGTGGACCTCTCATGGATGGAACAACCCAATAATGGTCCGCTTTCCCACCGAATATATATTGTTGGAATTATACAGAATGTAGATATAAAATTGTATCACGGAGTTGTTTTTCCTTTTACTATTTTTTTTCCTTTGAAATATAATGCCAAAATTTTGCAAAGTGACAGTAAATGAGCTAATTGTGAATTTGAAGATAAAAGAATACACCGTGAAACGTCAGTTGTTATCTTTTGAAATATAACATGAACTACAAGTACTATTAAGCAGACAGTCCCAGCATGGAAGTTCTTTTTATCACCGTTTTGTTTCCATCATCTACTTGGAATTTTTTATGATTATCGCATCCAACACTCTGGAGGGTTAAAATTACTATTAAGAGGAGAAAGGATACATAACATGGGATGTACTTGGGGGCCAAGAAGAAATAAAACCAAAACTTACAGCTGTCACAGGTATCTCATGTATGTCAAACCATGAAGGCATCACAGCACCATCTAGAACAAGAATTAAATTAACATTAATCCCGGTGATACGCAAATAAAGATATCAGACTATAAGAACCAGAAAATCTATATGAGCAAGTTGTTGTCGTCACCCCAGAACAGGCCTTATTGAACAATTTTTACACTTCAAGATGTATATCAACTTTTATTATCAATGAAGTTATAAATGATAAAAATTTAAAGGATACAATGTATATGAACTATGTATTTGTGACAAAACATACATTTTAAAGGGTACAAACAAGATTGGAACCAGCAAGTCTTTTTGAATATTTGCACTTGTGCTGAGAGTGAGAAGTCAATGATATTGGTTCACAATTAACAGCCCTTTCATATTGACATATGCATCTGCCAAGCACAATGCTTAATTTTTCTACAAAAAAAGGAACTTCTACTTAGAGTTTTTGATCTTCTTCTGAGGCCAGCCCCAATTGCAGATCATTCATATCACTTATTGTTGTTTATGCTTTTCCTTAAATGCTTTCCTCCTCCTTCCTTATTCCTTAGTTCCTTGTTCTCTAAGGACACCTCCCCTTCGTTATTATGTAACTCTCTCTTCCCTATGGTGTATGATTTATCAAGGGAAAGAATAAAGTTCTTGTTACAACTAATAACCACTAAGAGGTATACAATCATGCCAGATGCACACCCTCAAAACTTAATCATGCTTATGCCAGATATGAGCTACTTGAATAACTTGGTTCTAAATTTCTTGTAAAGAGGGCATGACTTGTGTTGTTACCTTTTACTTTGCAGTAGTGGAGTTTATCTCTCTTTCTTTTTTGATTGGTTAATGGAGAAAATTAATAGACAATCCAATAGTCCTGTCAATGTCCATACAAGAAGGCGTGCAGTGCACGAACCTCTCACCACTGCAAGGTGTGAGAGGGTTATAGGTATCATCCTATCCCGTGTGCAAAGAGATTATTTCCGTGACTCAAACCATAATGCCAAGACCACAATGGAGCAATATTACTGCCATTGTGGCCCCCCCTCTCCCACAACCTTCTATGACGGTTATGAGTTATCCAATTCAACAGTTTTCAAATGAAGGTTGCAGCATATTTTGTTCTTCTGCCTTGATGCATTACAAGCAAGGCAGATATCAGTTTCTAAAATAATGCTTGGCTTTTGCCTTAAAATTAACATAATTAGATAGACATCAAAATTAGCATAGTCCATCCTTGCTAAAGGGATGGCCAAACACGGTCCACCTCTATCCTTAATAAGATGATGGACAGAATAAGTCAAATGAAACCTCTAACTATATCGGCGGTTACTTTCCCTTGATTCTTACATATCAAGAAACTAGTGAATGTGCTGAAAGCTTTAACAACAATGTAGATTTCTGTCTAACAGAACATCTTCAGCACCCTCTCTAAAGCCAACGATAATGATGCCTAACATTTTACCTCATTATATACTTGGCAATTTTTGTACGTGCAGGAATTGAAATAGTACGTTGATGACTTGCTGGTTTTTTGCCATCCTGTTTCTAGATCTGCAATTCATCTACCAGGCCCATCAGCTACACCTCTTCAAAACCGAAGCATACCAAGCAATTTCACCCAACGATGAGTAAGTCCATGAAGCAACTAATCACTTGATTTTTTCCATAACAAATTCATCTCTTTCATGTAATTCATGGGTAATCTCCAACAACTAATAACAGATCACATTCATCGAAACCTCACATTGAGCATTTCAAGTTGAATAAACGACGGCATTCAAAATCAGGAACACAATATGCATCATACTTATCCAACACACACACTATACCCCAACCCATAATTAGATCCTAAAAAAAACGACCAAATTACATATCTAATAGCCAAAACATATTCATGTCATAATCAAAAACAAAATGCAATCAAAACCCAACAAGTAATATGTACAACTTACGGTTACAAGTGACGGGTTTAGAAGGAGCAGAGGGAAAAGACCAAACAGTGTTTCTGAACTCGGGAGATGTGAAAAGGGTCTTAATCGGTTCATTGGCAGGTCCTGAATCACCCAACCCATGAAGCCATAGCACAAAGCTTCTCGCCATAGAATCGGGTAGTGGAGATGATGGGTTTCGCACAAAGAAAATGGTGACACCAAAGGTGACTATTAGTAGAACAAGTGGTTTCACCAACAATTTCGACTTCATATCTGGTCAGCAATGGCATCGCTTTTGCTCTATTTTTCGCCCTAATTAAAATAGTAATGCAGAGTTGAAAGTTCTAAATTGCCCCTAACTTTTGTATAATGCCTAATATCTCTTTGTCTTTAGATTTTGCCATTATTAACTCAATTTGTCGTGTAGGCCCACCTAGATAAACTCATCCCAGTTACGGATGTAATTTGGGCGGGTTGAAAGGTCAATTTTAGATATATAATCTTCAATGATAGCCCTACCTTATCCTAAGGTACTTCACCTGAGTATTACCCGAGTCTAATTCAAGCGAGCTCGTGTTGAATTCAAGTTACTTAATTTGAGCCGATTTTGAGTTAAAAATCGTGTTGACTTGAGTTACTTAAAATCATCTAAGATGAAGGGCGAAGCGCAACTGAAGAGAGAGAGAGTGAGAAAATGAGGAATGATGAGTGGGAGAGGGAGTCTGAGACAACTCAGACAAGTAACGATTGAAAAAGAGAAACTGAGAGAGGAAGGAGTGACGAATGAGAAAACGATTTGAAAATAATAGAGACGCAGGGGGTGAAGACTTGAAGTGAAGTAAAAATTTTGACTATAAAGAGTAAAAATAAATATTAACACTAGTTAAATATATTTTATATATTTATGTATATTCATGTTCAACCCAATTTAATAATCAGGTTCAACCCTATTTTAATATTCGGGTTGAACCTTACAACTCTAGACCTCAATCCTAGACTTGCCCAAATTCAATTCGGGTTGGAGTTTTTTTGCTCAGGCCCAATTTAAATATTAAAAATTGTAACACAAGCCCTATTTTTTTCGAGGTTGGCTCGGGTTGAATTCGGATTGACCCGTCCAAGTTGCACCCATAATTCCAATACACACTTTGGCCCAGTTTACAAACTTGAATTTTAGTCGCTCAGTCAATGAAAGGTAACTGGTTAAGTCTTGATATATTAAGAATGTTGAATTGTACACTCGTACGTTATGAGTTTGAAATTTGTTAATTCCTTTGAATAAAATTATAAGTAATTTATCATTTATGAATATTCTAACTCTAACATTGATGACTCTGTCTTTAACCAGACAAAAGAGAAGATTAGTTAAAGTGAACATAAACTAGCCCAAACACTTGATTATTAAACAAAAATAAATAAAAGAGATCACGGATTCAAAGTTGTTACTAGGTATAAACTAGTAATTAATCAATTCCTTTTGATGTCATAAGCATTCATCTCTTTCACGCGTTCACGTAGTATCTTGTTATTAGATCGCATCCCTAAACATCTAATGTACAGACATGTAGTACATCCTTTACAATGGCCCAATCACCAGTTGACTCTTTCTTTTCACGTTGTGTATGCTTAGGGGAAAGGGAGGGAAGTGGAATCGACGGGGAAAAATGTGGAGAAAGTTTAATTCCTTTTACTGTTTTTTTGGATTGAGGTGAAAAATAAGGAGAAAGTGAGGTATGAGGAGAAAATTGACTGGAAAATGGTGGTAGTGGCAGCCGTGATGGTGGCGGCAACAGCCGCAGCAGCTGAACACATTATTAAAATTGCCGCTCTTTTTTTACAAATCACTTAATTTGGCCAATTGTCATTCATTCCAGCCACAGATCACCCAGTAACAATTGAAATGGTAATGAGAAAATGCACAAATTCATCAGCAGGAGGCCCCTGCAAGTATATTACAGCCCTATTTGTAATTTCTTCAAAAATCAAGGCCTAAGATAACATTTGCCATTGTTATCCAGCTACATCTGTCAAGAAAACTGCTAATATCAAAAGATTAGGCACCCAAACAGACCTTCAAGATGAATCATATGACTACATGAGAAAAGTGGCTTAAAACTGAGGTAGAGTTTAACATGTTACAGAGGGTAATTAGGAATGAGTAAGAAAATCCAGAATCAGAAAGGAGTATATTTGTGAAAATGTAAAATAGCACCACTAAAAGATAAATTAAGTGAAGTTCCAACATGTTTACGGAAGATTGTATCATAAGTGAGGAATAGGGATATGATACCTATCGATGGTAATGTAAGAGATAGAGATTGACCGAAATTTACTTTGAACGAGATAGTAAACAAAGATGTAATAGTTTGCAATTTAACATAAATATATAATCCTTAATGGAGCACAATAAAGGAATAGAATCGATATAACCGACCTCAAACCGTGGAGATAAGACTTGGTTGAATTGAGTTACATTCAAAGAGTGTAGCAATACAAATATGGTGAATACTGAATGGATATATCAGAGCCCAACTGTTGCCGTTAACAAGCAGACAATAGATTAGATAAATTCTAAAGCACAAAATTTCAATTACACCAATCTCCATAGCATAATGGTGGAATTGAAGGAAACATATACATATTCTTGAACATCTTGCAGGAATTAAACATAATGGCAGGTTAATACTTTCATCCTCTTTCAATCCTGCAAAATGGACAGAAAAAACCACAGTGCAAATTGTTGTACTATAAAACAAACTATGAGGATGCTACAAAGAAATTGTGTTTGATAGCTCCATGATGGAAAAGGGAATAATTTTTGAGCAAGTTACTTACTTATGCTACAATTTGTTACTTCAGGCTGCACCATGATGGTCATCAATGGTTTGTTTCATTCCATCTAATTGCGCGAGGATATATTCCAGTTTCTTACAACAGATCTCATTGGATATTCTTGGAATATAGTCACACTTCTCAAATGGTCTGTATTCACAAGCACTTTTGATTTCTTCCCGCAGTGTCACTTGGATATCCTATTCTCAGAAATTAAAAATAAAATACCATGTTTTCAGTTCAATATTTAACTAGTATCAAGAGAAATCAAAACAAAATCAAGAATCCAAAGAGTCAAGATTTTAGCCAACATAAACATACTACAAATGAAATAACCCAGACAAGTCACGGACTACTCAATCCCACGCCGCTTCTACAGAAAAAAAAAAACCACTTTGCACAAATATAGAAATTGTTTGGGGTTTTCCAAATTAATCCCAATTTTACACCTGAACCCCAAATTTGTCTTGAAAACTAACCATTTTTTGGTTTGTATGCAAGCTTTACAACCAAAACTGTAAAAAATGCGCACAAAAAGAAGGATGCACACTGCCTAGAACAAAAATCCTAGCAAGAAACGAGTGCCATAAACTGTGCTGGGCCTAACGTCACTCTTAGTCTCTTACCTTGGCAATAGTATACTGAAAGAAGAATACTTACGAACAGCCCCATTCCTTCACATGAAACTGTTTTCTCATGACTCCACATTTACATTTTGTAACTGTACCAAAGAAATCCTAGGTGTGTATCCAGGTTTTCTACAGAGGCTTGAACCAGCAGAAGTTGGAGTTTTGTAAGTTCTATCATGACATGATGTAAAGGAGATAAGGATCACATGAATGTTCCTATACTCGATGTTAATAGTGTAGTGATGTTGCAGCTAGCTGCATGAGTTCAATTTAGTCTCCTTTCCCTCCTCCCCAGCCTTTTTCTGGTTTCTTTGAAGATTGGTGATGCAGTTGCTGTAGATAAGCTTTTGAAATGTGATACTTGTGAGTCTGCATCGGGTCAAGAAATAATCACTTTTATATGAGATCTTACATTTTCTGTTGTTTCAACAAAAAAAATCAATTACTACTGAAAGATCACTAAGAAACAACAGTCTAAAACACTTAACACCAGACAGAATAAAAGCACTCGCTGACCATACTGCCAGGACAATACAAACGTCATGTGGACAGAATCCTTGCTATACAAACAAAACCCGATCCACAACTATTTGCTCCTATACAACAGTCTAAAACTGTATCTGCTCGATTGCAGCCATACTTCCACAACGTAACAATAAAAATCAAAATATGAGGACATACCTATGATCAAGAGGCAATAAAAAACTTTTAAACCATTTAAGTTGCAAATTTTTGCATACTAGCCATGTCTAGATATTCAAGTAGATAAAACAAAACAGGTCAATAAATGCCGGACATCAATCCTACCAAACAAAATACAAGTCTTAGACATCTCATTGGTTCCTAAATTGCTTCATATTATCCAAAAAACACATAAACAAGTCCTGAGTTTTGTCCAAACCTCCCCATTTACCCTGAACAATTATGAGATGACAAAATACTACTCCAAACTTCGCAAAAGAAAACTGAAACTTTCCGACAAAAATCATCTCTGGGTTTTTCCGATATTCTTAAATTTTATTGAATGACACACGTACGGTTAACAACTCCAACGTATGTACAACAGAAGCATCTGGAACTTGAACCAACTTTTCATGTATTCCTCTTAGTCAGGTATACTCTTCTAAACAATACTTACCCAAAATAAAAAAAGTCCACTCTCAACTCTGAATTCATATTCATGGGAGTATGACCAGCTTTTCCGTCAGCTATGTAGTGCAACCCTCTTCCTTTATCAGAGCTGGGAACGAATTGTTTAAAAGACAGACACTAAATACGACACACAGACATATCTATGCTTTAGCCAGTCAACTCAAACATTACTTTTGTGTATCCTTCAACCAAAATTTCCAAAATAAAATTGTTTTTATCCACGTTCATTATCCAATTAAGTGTTTACAATACGCCATATATTGATCTCAACGGACACTATAATCACGTTAATTTACTCGTTTTTGCAACAATTAAATAATCACACAATTACTCATCAAATCCTAGGCGTATTTCCAGCAAGAAAAATGTAGTCTGCCTCTCTCTCTTTCTCTCGGTTGGGCATTGGGCTTCTGAATTCGGTATTGAATGTAGGCTTCTTTCATAAGTGCGTGTACATAAGAAGAATGTAGAAAGTATGAACCTTGATTAGTTGCATGAACTCGCCGCAGTGGTTATTGACCAATTCTTTTCTGGGTCCGCTTGGATTTGAGAGTTCGTCCATTACCCCTCCGGCTAGCTCCAAAACCCTAACAATTCTCTGTACAATCCCACAAACATATACTCGATATTTACTGTTTCAATCAACTTGAAATATACCCAAAAAACCCTAATTTTTGTGGAGTAGATAAAAAAAGGGGGGGGGGGGAGGGTGGAAGAGATTAGAATTACCTTTTCGACGTTTTGGAGTCGTTGCAATGATGTGTTGTTTTGGCTCTTCGGTGAAGAAGAATCCATGGCGTTTGAGCTCACATACACAAACAGACTCAGAGAGTGGTTTTGGTTAGTAGGCTTACAATTGTTGTTGTTACGACGTCGTTTTAAAGGTGCCAAGCATTGTGGGTCCAATTGACCAGAGCTGACGAGGCTTGTTTTCATTGGTTACTTGCACTAAAGTTTTTGTTTCAACAAAAAAGACATTATAAAAAATCTCATCACTAATTACTTTTCTTTTTGTCTAATGGTGAGAGGTATTAGGGTTACATCAAAAACATGTCATCAATACAAAAATTAGAGTATTTATTAAAAATAAATATCTTATAATCAAGATCTAAAGAGTTATTAAAATTTAAATTTAAGTTATCTAAATTTACAATTAATCCTTAAACTCACTAATTACTATGTAAAACGTGATGTTTTATTTAGATCAATGTCTGCACTGATTACTAATTTGATTATATAAATGACATACATAAAGTTGATAGTGTTGAGGGATTATGTTTTTAGAATAAATTATGTCTCTCTCTCTTTTTGGAAAATAATCAATATGATAAAATATAAAAAAATTTGAATCTCAATTTATAAAATCATTCGAACATTTAAGATTGATCGATAAATATTCATAATTAATTCGATGGAAAAAATTAGCTTTCCAAATTTATTTTTCAGTCCAAATGATTTTTACCCTGGCCGAAAAATTCTAACCCCTTAAATAACACAATTTATAATAATCATATCTCTTATTTTCTTTTTATCTGATATTTTTAGATCCTACTCTCTCTCCAATATTCGATATCCTAATCGGAGTATATATTGAGTATAACGACGATACTACGTAATTATTAACATATGATGTCACTGTCTAATAATAAATTTATACATAGGCGAATGAGTAAATATTTGGTGATTATTAAATGACATAATAAAATGGTTATTATAATATTAACGATATCTCATGATTAATGTCACTATATACTGAACTATAATATTATGCGTGTATGTGTGTTGAGTTTGTAAAATTTAGTCGAAAAAATATATTCTGATTCAAAAATCAAATAGATGTGTGGGATCTATCTACCTATTTTATTTATTTATTATAATTTTATTAATGAGTGATACCAAGCAACAATAATACTGTGGTGTTTACCATTACACTTCATTTTTTTCCCTAATCAGCCCTCCCTTTCTTATTTCTGTTTCACACGTATCCTCGCTCTCACTGTCTCACCCCTCTTCTCTTCCAACAGCGACGACGCCACCGGCTGCCATCTGCAATCGCCCCTCCCCTAGCCACCGGCTGCCGCCAGGTTTCTGTTCTTCTCTCTCTATGTAACTGTGCCTCTCTCTCTCTATCTCTCTTCCCCTAAACCCAGAAACGCCCCTCTCCCAACCAAAAACCCCTCCCCACCCAGAAACACCCTTCCAAAAAACCACCCCTCACCCGAAAAATTTCCCCCACCCGAAAACATCTCAGCTCACACATTCACTCTCTGCTCTACGCACAGACCAATTTGTTTATGCCGCCCAAACTGATTTTTGTATTAGTGAATTTTATCCCGCCCAAACGAATTTCCGAAGCCTCACAAAATCTTCCGCTCTGTTCTTTAATTGTCTGATTTATTACTTTGTTACTTTCCCTTCTCCTTTTCAGTTTGTTGTTTCTTATTTTTTGAAGTGGTTAGTTATTTTTTGGTACACATGAGAGGATATTTATAACAGCTTACGCCATCAATTGGCATGTGGTTTCTTAGATTGGAATGTTTGTGTGCAATGGTTTGGGTCAATGTGCTCTTATTTCTTTCAATTTTCAATGGTATTGTTGCTGTGATTAAATACACGAAATTTGTGTCATGGCCTTTAAGAAATTTGCATCAGGGCCTTTCACCAATAGTTCACTTCACAGTACACCTTTTGCTCTATTTTCAAACTCACACAATCACCACATGGCCTTCTTTTGATTCCCAGGTTTCAAACTTCAAATTAAGCTTAAACCCATCCAAAACTTTGGTCAAAGTCCAAGAAAAATAAGGGTTTCAACCCATGACCAGACCTGCAACTCCCATTTTCACACCCCAAATGACCTCTAAACCCATTTTTGAGTCCACCAATGGATTCCTAAGGTCCATATTAGCTCAGTATGACCCTCCTTTGAGGCTCAAACACCAAAACCATGGAGAATCAAAAACCTCCATGACTGAAGCTTCACCTTCACCACGACAGACCACGGCCAGCCACCAAACCGCTACCAAAAGACTCCTTGAACTCCCAGAAACACAACCACATACATGGTTGCTTTATGAAATTCTTGACATGAAATTGAGTTTTCTTTCTTAGTAAACCATCAAGACCAATTTTTTTTTTAACTCAAATTGAGTTTTGTATACTCTCTCCAACTGCCTCTCTCATATTATCGAATCTCCTCTTTTTCTCTTGCTGTTTTCATTCTCGCTTCAGTTAAATTAATTAATTTATTTTAATTTTTTTTGAACTATTTTTTTATTGATTAATTATAAATATGTTTATGGTTGACAATTTTTTTTGTTTTACGGTGTCTAGGACAATTATTTGTAATTTTTTTATTTGTTAGCTATTGCATGAGTCTATATAATAAGGAACAAGACAATTCAAATCTGTCAAAATTTGTTACTCCGTGCTTTCACCGCCATTGTCCAAACTCATTCTCTTTATGGTTTGATTTTGTTGTTGATTTCTCAATTATACTCTTGATATTTGGGTTGTGTTGATAATTTCTTGACTATGTGTTGTTGATTTCTTGGTTGCAATATATCTTGTTTTTGCAGTGCTGGTGGGTTCACATTGGCTTCTCGGAAGGGTTTTACATTTGAAAATATGGCCTAAAACAAAGACCTTAGATTTGAATTTTTGCCCGAGAGTTGAGCCTTTAATCGCTTTTACTTTTTTTATTTTATTTTTTATTTTTTGATTCCATATGCATCTCATTCACTCCAGCCAAATATTTATATTATAAATCTTTCAACCACAAGCGAAGATATATTCAAATTAACAAGAAGCTCAAACAATTTAAATGGATGCTCAAAGCTTGCTTTTTGGGTCTCGTTCAAACTCAAGCAGTCCATCAATTCAAAACCTTAAAGCATCATTCTTTTCAACATTACCCAATTATTTTTCTCCATCACCATCTTCAAGTATTCAATCTTCAAGACTGGTCTCCTTCAAAATCCATCATTCTGTTGCTTCGCATCTTGTAATATCCAAGAAATCACTTCAGTGCCAAAGTAGGGTTGAAAAAGTAGAGAATGTTCCTGATTTTGACAAAGATTTGGGAAAAAGAAGTAAAAGGAAAAAGTTGGCTGTTTTTGTTTCTGGAGGAGGTTCGAATTTCCGGTCAATATATGAGGCAACTGTTAGAGGGTCAGTTCATGGAGACATTGTTGTTTTGGTGACAAACAAACAAGGTATTTTTTATTTAGTATTTATTTCCTTTCTTTAAATTTTAATTTTGTTGTTTGTGTGCTTGCTTCACAGAAGTTCTCAACTTTATTGATCTAAATTTGTATTCAGTTGCCTGCTAACTTTTGAGTTGTAGCTATGTAAAAGTTAAGCCTTTATAAATGTGATTAAAAGAGCATGTCTATTTTTATGTTACCGAAGGATCGTATTGTTCTAATTTTTGTACAGGTATCTGAGTATGTATACATGTTTGTAAATAACACGTGTTGTGTATGTATATAAATCTGATGAGCAAAATGATAAAGTTACATAGTATATATTGAAATATAAATAATTAAGTTAGACCATCTCCAACAACTTACGCTTTTGGTGTAGATGTTTAACATAGTATCAAAGAAGGAGGTCTTGTATTCGAATCTTGCCATCACCCAAATTATTAAAAGATTTTCAAATTCTAGGCATAACGTGAGGGGCAGTGTTGAAGTATAAATACTTAGGTGACACTCTCTCCAACAACTTAAGCTTTTGGAATAAATGATTGTTTAACAAAATACTTAGTGTATCATGTAATAATTATGTTGTTGTGATTCGAATATTTCAATGTTCTAATATTCTTTCGTTGGGATTGTTGCCTCACTGATTAAACTTTGTTTTTCATATCCCATGCTTTTGGGGGTAAATAAGTGGTGGTTAGTCTATTGGGTTTTTCAAGGCCGGCTCAAATATTTCAGTGATTTCAGAATGATTCTCGAGCTGGGCCCAGTTTTCTTCTAAGTTGTCCAGCGAGCTTCCAACAAAGCCAATCATGAGCCCAACCTGAGTGGCTTGGTTTACTTATATAGTCTACAAGGCCTAATTGCTTATAGAAGAAACTCAATAATCGAATGATCTTTAAATATGTGCTCAAGATTGGCTTTTTTACCTTCCGAGTCAATGTTGTGTGAGCCTCAAACCGACTGAGCATGGCAGTTGGTTTATTTTTCATAGCCCTACCCATGCTTTGATGCTAACATCACAAATCTTGGTCATTTGCTCTGATGTTTTGACTTGGAGTTTGTAAATTGTTAGCCCTGCTTTTCATTCAACTAGGCAACTGTTTGATAGGGTTTAGCTTTATGTTTTTTTTAGCTTGACACTGCATACTTCTACAAGAAAGCAAATGAGGCTCTGCACTGTAAATAAAAGCTAGCTGTAAGCCTGTAACTAGTAACAATAGCTATCTTGCCCAGGCTTTTGGTCTTTGGGTCTAATTGCGCCTATAATTATGTCTTGAGATTTTAGACCCTTCAAAAATTTTCTGCATTGTCATTTGTTAAAATTTTCAGCCATTTCTCATTTTGCTTTTTTCAGAAAGTATCCATCTCTAATTTTTCATTTTGAGACAATTAATATGTCTCTTCTATCCTTTTACATCACAAGAAACTCTATACAGTTTTTTTCATTCGTTTCTAAAGCTTGTGTGCTTTGAGTTTTCCTTTAGTTAAGAACTGTCCCACACATGGACCTAAAGTTGAAATACATATTTATCTTTTCTTGCTATGGTATTTGGGGGTATTTTTTATTTCTGTTGATAGCAAATGAGATTAGATTTAGTATTCAGAGCTATGACAGCATATACATTAAAACAATGAATTTGTGAGAGAGAGGTTATGTAGCAATTATTATTCAACTAGATGTTTGTAAATTTTCAACTGTTCAGACATGTACTTGTTTAATTGAGTTTGTTTCTTACAATAACAAACAATCCAGTATAGAAATGCACATTGATAGGTTTGTTGGAGGTTCTGCATTAAGCTGAAAAGGAGAATTGGGATTAATAAAGTGATAAATTTTAAAAAAAAAAGGTCACTATATATATTTATCATTGATGACAAAAAAGACTTAACTCTGAAGCATCATCACATCTTCTTCTTCTTCTTTGAGGAATTCGTAGCACTTAAGCCTTAGGTCCAACCTTACATTCTGCAAACATGTCACTGCTGCAAAACAAAACATGTTAAGTGCATAGTTTTTTTATATTTACCTTGCTTGAGCTGTTGTTTGACTTATGCCTTCATTAATTTCTCCTTTAATCCTCTCCACTACAGGCTGTGGAGGTGCGGAGTATGCAAGATATAAGGACATTCCTGTCATTTTGTTTCCTAAGACAAAAGATGAACCTGAAAGTCTGTCTGTAAATGACCTTGTAACCACTCTTAGGTCAGGTTCTTCTGAAACTACTTATTTTAATTATCTTTCCCTTCCTAATCAGCATTGCTGTTGTAAAAGATCTTCTATGCACATACACGCACGCATATAGAAGTGTAGTTTATAGTGGGAATATTTAACTACTATGACTAACACCACCGCATCTCTTGCATACTCCAAGATTGGTATATCAAATTTTTAGGTCCAAATAGCATTAGTCAATAATAAATAGAGTCAACGGTGGCAGGGAATGTACTCCTCCGATGCTTGATAAAAAAAAAACTTAGATGGATTTGAACACAGTTTCTTACAAAAAGACCTCGTGTAGCCAGTTTATTAACCGTATCAATGTGAATAGGTTTACCAAGAGTTTTTCTTGTTTGGAGAAGTACTCAATAGGGCACCTTACGTCCTTGGTTATCAGCTAACCTATTCTTTTTTCTGCTACTTCTGTTTTTACTTTTCCTGTGATGTGTGTTTTTGAACAGGAGATTTGAGGTTGATTTTATTCTTCTAGCTGGATACTTGAAACTTATACCTGATGAGTTGATCCGAGCTTATCCAAATTCCATCTTAAATATTCATCCCTCACTTCTACCAGCTTTCGGAGGCAAGGGTTATTATGGTATGAAGGTGCATAAAGCAGTCATTGCTTCTGGAGCAAGGTATTTTCAATTATGTTTTGTTAACTTTTCTTTTGTTTGTGTTATTATACCTTCATTTGAACTTTGTGTGCTATTCACCTACACCTACTCTACCATCTTCACTTGTCTTCTTGTCAGATTAGCAACATTATTTGTTAAAATAGATTTGAGCTTCTAAACTAGGCTCGCAAGTTGTTCAAACCAAGTTACTTACCGAAAAAAAAAGTTGTTCAAACCAATCTGTGAATGTGGATAAATTTGGAAGTTGCTCTATAATCACACTTCATTGGTGGGGCACAAACATGCTGACCCAAGCTGAAACTACACTTTTCAGCCTAGGTTGACTAAAGTTGAGCTTGAGTTTGGACTGTGGTTACGCAAACTTTTTTTTTTATAATTGGCCTATCTTTTTTATGGCATGTATCAGGCTCACTAGCCATACTATCTACAACATGCATTTTTTACGTCTTTTCAACAAAAATGACTAGTGGTTGAGAAAGAAAAATGATTTTCAGGAAACTTTTTCAGTTCCTAAAATTCAAATACCTTTCTCATATCTGCTCCTATGATTGACCGTCGTCCATGTCCACCTCAGTTTGCTCGAGCTTGTCACGAATGGCACACCCAAACCCCATCTCAAGATTTAAAATAGAAAATTTGTGATCTTGATGGAATATTCCTTGATTTAAATGCCTATCAAACAAAAACCGGACAGGATATCACAACCATGACCCTAAGTTATCTCTCTCTCTGCTTCCCACCACCACCACCCCCCCCCCCCCCCAAAAAAAAAAAAAAAAAAAAAAAAGAGGGTGCTATTTTAAACAAACATCCTACTGCTGGAAATAAGAAACATTTTAATATTATGGCGGAGATAATATTCAATAAAAAAAAATATAACAGTTTGACCAATCTTTATATCTACTGCCGGGTTCAGGTTGGCTCGGATTGACTGAGACGCCTGTCCAAGACCAAACCACATTCAGCTTTTGTGGTTGTTTTCCAATTCGTGACGGGACTGGATTTGAAAGGACATTCCCAAGCCCCAAAAAAATATGGGTTGGGTTCAGATAGGTGCATGTTCAAATTGCTCCAAGTTGCAGTCCAAATAAATAAGTGTTATTTATGGGTTCCATAGGTATTTTTACTGTTATGTGAGTGAATGGTTGCATGATTGTAGCTATTGGAATAAATGCGAAAGAGGAGTAAAAAGTGTATATGGGTTTACAAATCAATTGAATTATCTATAACCTTTGGCATTACGAATTACTTTTCTCAGTTCCTCCACCTAATGAATTTTATTCGATCTCTAGAGGTCAAAATTGATATCTTGCTTAAATGCCTGTTACACTATAAACTTTTTGCTGTTTTAGAAATAATCTCCCATTAACATGTTTCTTTTTTCTTAATCTTTGCTACTTTTGGGTTTTCACTGAGTTCAGAATTTTCAGTGAAAAACCAATGCGTTTCCAGTTTTAAATATAGCACGTGAAGGCAGCTTCTCTTTCTTTGTTCATTTGTTGTTTGGATAGGTACTCAGGTCCTACTATCCATTTTGTTGATGAGCACTATGATACTGGGCGCATCCTTGCTCAAAGAGTTGTTCCTGTGCTTGCCAGCGATACTGCAGAAGAGCTGGCCGCTAGAGTTCTTTGTGAGGTCTGAAATTTTATTTTAAATTTTTTTCCTTACCAGTCGATGTATTTACAGCATTTGCAAAGTAATAGTCATTGTGAATTATTAAAAAACCAGAAAAGTTAAGGGACAAAGGAAAAGAGAAATAATGGGACTGTAAGAATTACCTGATGATGAAATTTGGCTTTGGTCGTGCTATTTGCACTCCACAAACATCCTCGTGTGCTCCACTTTGCTATGTTATAAAGTACACTTTACAAGCATTGACCACTCCTACTCTGATATCCCCTTCTCTTGCCTCTACTCCTCTCCCTACTACTGTAAGGAAACACAAGATGCAAGGAAATTAAACGATTAGAAGATTAGGGAGTGTGTTTTGAGGACACTGGGGGTGTTGTTGACGATGGAGAGACTTCAGAGACCTAATCGGCATTGATGAAGTTCTGATTTGGGTCTGGGATTGGTGAATCATTTCTGAGGAGGTTCAAGAAGAAGTCGTCAAGTTGTTGGAAGAATTTGAACTGCCAACACGTTTGGGTGGTAATTAAGGTGGTCTTGGTGTCCCTGATCCCGAAGTTGCTTGTTGTTTATTTGATCTATAACCTGGTGATGGTTGGGCATTCATTGTTGTTTAAGATATGTTAAATTTGAAGCATCTCATGAACGTGTTATTACGGTGGTTAAAACAGCAGAATTTGTTGTCCAAAAATTCTTGGACGCGCTGTTTGGTGTGAGCTTGTTTTTCAAGCATATTTTAAGGATATCGGTGGCACTGTTGCTTGAACCTGGTCATATATATCAGATTTTCTCAAGCTCATATTACTTGGTGTGCCGTTTCAGAACTTTGGTTTGGCAACTTAGTCTGAAACAGATTTTAGTTTAGCTCAATTTGTCTTGTGCTTGATGAACCGAATGTGGAACAGGATGAAGCTGGTTGGAGACAGGGTGGTCGAGAGAGGAGGGGATATCACAGTCTGTGTGGTGAATCCTGTTTTAAGTGAACTTTGGAAGTACAATTTCATTGTCATGTTCTCTGGTTTATTTTTAGTGACACCTTGAATTTCCTGCAGGAGCATCAATTATTTGTGGAAGTGGCAGAAGCAGTATGCGATGATCGGATAATTTGGAGGGAAGATGGCGTCCCTATGATCCAGAGCAAAGAAAACCCTAATGACTATAGCTAGCAGGATTGTCTGGACTTTGTATTGAGCAAAGATGGTCTTTCTTGTTTGGGTGTCTTTAACTATTTATATAGAGTACCTTTTGCCTCACGGAGCATGTCTTTTAACAAACTGGACCTATGTTGGTCAGTTTTAGAATTTAAGGGAATATTTGGCGTAAGTTTGGACACTCGGTAAAAAAAAAAAAAAAAAGAGAGTACTGTGGAGATTGTAATTTTTGTTATTTTAAAGTCACACCCTAGCCCTAGATCAAGCAATCAAGCAATTTTCACTTTCCACAATCCACCATGTAACAAGGAAATTTTAACCTCCCTAGGCAAAAAGGCAAAAGTTATAGTTTTTATGAGACCGAATATGAAAATGTTATTTAGATCAAATTTAAGAATTTAATTAATTATAATTGTTAAATTAAAAATACATTTTATCTAATTTTAAAATAAATTAATTTAATAATTACGATGATTTAACTCCCCGGTCATTTAAAATTACTCGGCCTACCCAACACGATGATATTACAATTCTCAGATCTCCAGAATGTGCCAGCTGTAAGTAAATGAGATACGTTGGATTGCTATCTCTATCTCTGAACGGCTGAGATTTGATTTTTCTCACTCCACTCAACTTCCCCCGACGATATATATATATAACCGGCTGCCATACTTAGGGTTAGGGCTTCTTTCTCCATATTCCATGGCTTTTTCCAGTGTCAATCAGCTCTTCTCTTTCTTGCTTTTCTCATCCCTTCATCTGTTATACGGATGCAATGGCCTCTGAGCTTCATTTTTTTTACTTTTGTTGATTTTATGTAGAACGCTACATTGTACCAAGGTATGGGTGTGGCTCTTACCCCTTGATCTTGAATTGCCGAATCGGCTGTAGCTATATCGATCCAATGGCTGAGAAGTTAACTGGCCGGTTGTTGTTTTTCAGATTCCTCGGGAATCTCCGTCGACATATCTGCTTACCGAACTTCTCACATTTTTTTTTTTATCTATTTTTCTTTTTCTGCATCAATCTTCGTATTAATTGATTTCTCTGTGTCATGTGTGCATATAATATATACATAAGTCTTTGTAAATTTGATGCAAATTCGACTAAATACGATTATAAATGGATGGATTGATAAGACCCTGACCTCTTTTGTCTACACAATAGATGTGTTTCTGTGCATAAATATTTTGAGTATGAGAAGGGGGAGAAGAGGGAAATGGCATAGGATTTAGCCGTTTTCAGAGACCTTTCTCGTATATCAACTGAAGTGTCACCTTCCAGGCATTCTGCTTTGATTCTCCAGCAGTTTGCGTCTAAAGGTGATAACAGTTCATATACACAATTTTTTTTTTTGTATCGTATTGAAAGTTATGGTTCAATCGGAATTTATTTTCAAGATTATATGTAACTAAAAGCTTTCTGTTTGAGTTGTAGTCTAATCTGATTGATTATTGCTTGGAATAATTGAGTTCTAAAATTGGAGTTTAAGAAAAGTAGGAGAAACGCAAGAAGTCCCATTCGAAGGGTAAATGCATTTCGAATCATGGATTTATCTCTATTTTTCCTCTCAATCCCCCTGGATGGTCGACCGGAGTAGACTCTGGCTCTTGGGGTTAGAGATTTGAGCTTTAGTACATTTGGGACTCGGTAGGGTGTTTCACGATCCTCGATTACCAGAGTTTATTTCCAAGTTTTTACGTAACTTCAAGATAATACGTGTGTGTATATATATATATATGTGTGTGTGTATGTAAATATATACGTGTATATGTGTGTGTGTGTGTGTGAATATATATAAATATGTGTGTATATATATATAATTTTAAAATTCAAATGATACACAAATATAAAAAAGAACTTGAAAGTCTCACATTTAATTTTGAAAGATTCACATTCAACTATGTATACATTATTTATGATAGGCATAATTATGGAATATATTTTAGAAAAATTTAAAATATTTTAAAATGTGTACTTATTGACAATTATTTAACGAAAGAAAAGACTTAAAAGAAGTATAAGTTTGGAGGTGGTACTTAAAGTCAATTAAATTTTAAAAAAATACTCATATCTCATTATCTCTAACTATTAAATACTAACTAGTCCAGTAATAGATGAGTTTGGCATGAATAAAAAGTAATATTTTTTAAAATCTTTAATCTAAACAATCTCTATTATCCAAACACACCTTTAGATAGAGGCGGGGACCAAAAAGGACGACCTTATCCAACAAATAAGTCTTAAAAATGCTAATTTATACATTTAAATTAAAAAAAAGCAATGGAAGACGCCAGTGACGCTGTGACCTGAATTTTCTAGCCGTTCATAATTTCGTATTGCAGCCCAAAAATAGAAGCACTAATCTTGTAAACTAAAGAATGCTGGAGCCATTCAAGACCATAGCCAAATTACCCACTGTCAAGCCAACCTTAGAAGCATAATCTTCTCTGCAGTAGTAAGAAATTGGAGGCACAGCAACAAATCCAACCAATTTTTTTCCGGTCAAGTCACCATGGGAACAATCAGAACCCTTTCTTGCGGGTATTTCTTTGATCGTACGCTTGTAAGAACTGAACCACCTAGCCTGCAAGTAGCCATGTCTCCTCCAAGGTGGTACATGCATGTCCATTGTTTTCATAGACTTCTTGATAGCGTTGCACATTAATCTCACAACCTGCTTGAGCTCATCTATTTTACCCACAAAAACTAGAGGAAAGATGTTCAGTAACGAAGTGTAATGGTCTGTTGGCCGGGCAATTTTGAATTCTCCGGCTAGAAAGACTTCAACGATGTATCGAGTTCCGGCAACGTTAACGTCAATGTACTCATAATTCCCAGATGGATATCGTCCAGTTTTCTCCCACTTTGATTTGCAAAGACCTGTGGAATCAAGGGTCAAAGGTGTTACAAAATAGTGAGGCACAGCAAACACTATGCGATTGATTACACTGTGATAAAATTACTTCAGTATTCTATCAGAATTTACAAATATTTTTTTTGGTTAAGTTAAAATTCAGTTGGATTGAGGAATTAAAAACCTAAATATTTTTTTTGGTTCCACAATTAAAAGTGTCTGGGTCAATTTATGCGTATTTTGACTACGGCTAATAATCGAACTGAACTCGACTCATTTCCAACTTGCTAAACAAATTAAATTTAAATAATTTGTTAGATTCGTTTATAAAACAAACTCGATAGACTTGGTTTGAACTTGATAGATTTGACTCTTGTTTGAGTAAATGTTTAAACTCGATTTAGATTCAACTCATTTTGAATTTGTTCAGCCTCAATTCGTTTAAAAAATAAATTAAATTTAAATAATTTTTAAGCTTATTTAAAAAGTGGTCGACAAATTTAATTTGAACTTGTTCAGGCTTGTTTGATTATCAATCCTAATCTTCACTAATTTTCTTTTTCGAACCAATTAAAAATAGGTTATTTATGTCAAAATTAAGGGATTCGTCAAAAATAAAATTTTCATATTTGAGCTAACTCAATTCACCAAAAATCGTAATTTAATCCAGAACCATAATAAATTTTGGTAGTGAGAGAGAGTCACCAGCATCAAAACCTCTCTCACGTAACCGAGCCATCAACCGGCGGTTGAAATCCGGCGACGAACTTCCGCCGACAACTCTCCACGCTTCTTCCGCTTCAGCATGAATTTCTCTCTTCACATCATCATCATCATCTTCATACGCCAGCAAACTCTTCAACTCATCCTTCATCTCTGAATCAGAACAATTACCTTCAGATTCATATTTGTTTCTCACTTTTTCTTCATCAATCTCTTCTCTGATCTCCACACAATTGTCTCTTTCAAGAAAAGAATTCACAAGATCGGACAGATCAGTTAAGCTCTCCGCCGAGTGCTCGCTGCCACTGCTCTCGCAGTCGCAGAGCCTAGCTCTAGCCAATTCATCAAAAACCGCCGCCACCCTCTTAAAACGCACCGGCATTCTCGCCATTGATGAACCTTTTGGTACCTTTTTTTTTTCTCCCTGTAATTTCTGAATCACTTCTGAGAGAAAATGATTGAAGTAGAGACAACCCAGATGAGATTGTGCCTATATAGAGAGAGTGAGAGAAATGAAGTTTTGAATGAATGATGTGGTCATGTCGTGATCATGGCGAGACAGTGTTGACATGAAAGAAAGCAAACCATTAATGGGGACACTAATACCGAGAAATATGAGGACACTATGGTGAGAGTGACTTGAGCCTAATGTAAATTGCTTGTGTGTATCTTTGTGGATATATATAGGGAATATGAGTGAGGTATATACCGCCCATCATACGCTTTACGAGTGGAGAAGATAATTTTAGCTTGTACATGAAGTATTAATGAATCTGCCCAATTTATAAGCCTAAGTTCATTGTTTTTATTTTCACTTTAGTTGATTCCCTCCGGTTCACTTGGACTCTTGGTAGTTGATTCACTCGGATTAGGGTATTAATTGAGACGAGTTATTCGGATTCGACTAAGATAAAATTTGGATAAAACTCAATTCGTGTTTTAAATGAGTTGAGTTTAAATATTTTTTTAGTCTCGTTTTAAAAAATAAGCCCAAAAAAGTTCGACTCAAACTTGCTAAGTTCGACTCATTTTTTATGTAAGATTGTTGAGTCATTCAGGTTTGGCTTAAATTTGAAACGAGCGGAGTTTGAATAATTTTTTAAGTTCGTTTAATAAAATAAGTTCGTCAAGCTCTGACTCAAACTTGCAAGTTCTATTCGATTAACACCCCTAACTCTAGTGTATAATATCATTTAAAAACAAAATTTCTATTAATTATAATTTTTTTATTATTATAAAGTATTCAAACTTATACTAACTATTCTTTTAAGTTTAACGGTTTCTGCTTTCCACTCTAACTTGAACAGAGTTAAATCCATGACAATGTATGGATGGGATTGGTTGCAAAACACTGAACTAGTGGTTTTTTTATGTCATTGGTCTCCTTAGGAAAGAGAATTCTTTACGAGATCCATTAATTAATTTAAGGGTAATGCTACTGACACTTACAATTTTTACCTATTTTTTTTTATCTAATAAAGTGATTTTATTTTAATCATTAGATAAACACTAAATTTTAATATTTAATAGAGCCTACACTCCACAATCGGTCTAAGAATTACAGTGAATTAAGTAAACAAATTAAATTATAATAACATTACTCTTAATCTAATTCAAAACCGACACAAAAAAAATAGTAAATATTATTATAGGGTCAGATGATAAATGGGTTAACCGTTAAATCAACGTCGTACATGATTAAATATAGCACGAATTTGGCACTGTTGTATATGTTGTGTACACCAAATGAAAGGCTGTCACAAAAATTAAATTGTGAGATGCAAAATTTAATTTTTCTTTTTTGAAAAAAAATTTATAAGTTATAATTATTGATTAAAAATGTATAATATTTTATTGATAAGATAAATCATATGATAGTGACATTTTACTTACGACGTACATCAAATAACACTATCATGTCATGTTTTAAACACACAAAAATTCTTCAACTAATATATATATTTTTTTATTCTATTGTTAGGGGTATTCAGACTAGTATACGTGTATTTGGATTAATCTCTTTTTCGGTTCTGTTAAAACCAAATTATCTAAACCAAAAACTAATACTCCGTTTGGTAGAAAGGATGAAAAGTATGAGAGATATACTTTCTATCCTTCAAGGATGGAAAAGTAAGAATAATAAACTTTCTTTCTTTTGTATTTGGTTGGATGGATGGAAAATAAAAATGACTAATTTTTTTTTATGCCGACTAAGATAGGAGTGACAATCGAGTCGTGTCGTGTTAGATTCGTATTGAACCATAAAATTATGAGTCATTTATATTTATTGTTCGCGTGTCAGGTTATTTTCAAGTTCGTGTCGAGTTATAATCAAGTTTGTGTCAGAAAATTCGTGTCGAGTTCGAATTTTGTCACTGTGTTTAGACGAAAATTTTTACCCTTAGTTAAAATGAAAAAATGATTTTTTTTAATTTAAAATTTTTATTTTTATTTTTATTTTTAAATTTTATATATATATATATATATATATATATATATATATATATATATATATATATATATATTATCATTGTATTTATATATGAAATTAATGTATACATAATATATAGACAAATAAGATACATCTCAACACAAATAATTAATTTTTCATCTACTTTTTTTTCGATTTTAGAGGGATTGATTTTAGTGAGTTAGAAGGAAAGTTAATTCATCCACTTTTTCATAATTCATATTTTTCTCTCTTTCTAAATATAATATTTTATTTATCCCTCCAATTTCCTATCATTTCAACTTTTTATCTTTTTATTTTTCAATCGTACCACAAACAGAACATAAAATAAATATTCAAAATAAATTTTTTATGTCCCGATCCAATTCAACGACTTATTGGCTTCATAGGAGGGGAGTCATGTGTGGGTAATCAATCTATACACGTGACTTACAATTTCCCACGTCAGCAGAGACGGCGAGACTCGACGACGCCATTAACTCCCAAGTAAGATGATACACAAGTTCATTGAATTTAAAAATGCGTCTACATACATTGAATCTTGAGTTAACATAATTATCCATTTGTACATAAATATTCAAAATTCAGGCCTAATTATATTTGAAAGTGTATATGACCAAGATGTGAGTCTAGATGCATTTGCATGGTTTTCCTAATCCTTTATTATTGTTATTGCAACCTGTTTATTGATAGGTGTTAATTTTTTTTGGAAGTTCACAGTGAATATAGGTTTTTTAAATGAATGTACATGATCAAGATTAGGGTCAAGAGCATTTGTAGGAACTAACTCTTCAATGCAAACATGTACATGAGACTTGACAAAAGCCCATGGCCGATGGCCCATGGTCTGACGGTACGCAACAATCGAGTCATGGCCCGACCTAACATGCTGGCTGACAACATGTGGGTAATCCTATAGTCGTTGCTGCGATTCAGGTTTTAGATTGTTTTTCGGCTTGCTACAACTTGACAAATGGTCCATTCAAGCCCAAGTTAGTTTGCTGGATAGACTTGATATGGTGACCCGACCCAAGCCTATCATGGGGTTGGTCTGATCCCACTCCTTACATGTGTGTTGTCCAACTCTTTTCTTTGTTTGAACTTGTTTGTTTTACAACCTAATTGCAATGTATTTGTTGAGACAACTGTTTTATCTTTTATAATCTTCTTTCTGGTACAAGAACAAAAACATTTGAAAGCGATACTAAGACGATCATACTTGTCTGTTTATTTGAAGTAATTCTGACCATTGATCATAGTTTTTTTGACCATTTGATCAATATGGATATGAGTGTTTTTATAGTCACTTTAGAAAAAAGAAAAAAAAAAAAGGAAAAGAGAGACATGAGTTCTTATTAAGTTCAAATTCTGATTTTGCTTAATTGCCTCTAGACCTTGAGTTTAGTGGCAAGGATTAGGCTATATAATAACAATCATCAGAGGAAGGAAGAATTTAATTGATTGCCTTAAACTGAAAGACGACACATGGATCACTAATAAGATGGAGATAGGTAACAAGTTCCAAACTTATTTCCAAGAACTCTTTTCCACTTCAAATCCAGAGTTCCCCTGTGAACTAGAAAATCTTACAGCCCCAGTGATTGAGCCAAAATACCGTTCTCAGCTATGTTCCATTCCTACTCCAAAGGAGATAAAAGCAACCCTTTTTTATATGCCCCTATTTTATGGCCCTAGACCATGATGATATGTCATCAATTTTTCACAAAATCTATTGGAGTACATTGGGAGGAGACTTAATAGACACAGTGAGAAGTTTTTTTGTAGGAAGGTGATAGGACACTTCAGATAATCAGTAAGGAGTCGACACGTGTCCTCGACATCCATCTCTCCCAGAGCGTTCAGATTGAGACACGTGTCTACTAAAGGTTTCTCAGATCCATCCGCGAGAGAGACATGTCCTCGGTACCAAAGGCTCCTCAGTGCCATTTGCAGTGACACGTGTCCTCGGCACAAAGGGATTTGCAACATCCTTGTGAGTGACACATGTCCTCAACATTTGTCACCTCGAGGCTTTAAGGTGGCGACACGTGTCCTTGACGTGGTTGACTCCCTTGAGGTGAATTCTCAGGCACATCATCTTGGCTCTAGGACCCTGAGGCAAGGGTGACAGAATGACGACTGTCGTTAGTTGGAGTTAAACTTAGTTAATAATCATTGACTTGTTTTCCAAAAATAGTTAGAATGACAAAAGGGATAGACCTATAACCAATGTCAATGTTACTCGTGGCGCAGAGCACAGAATTAGGGGCTAATTAACGAAGATGCCCTTACTCGTGTGCAACCATTACAGAGAAGCATTAAATAACCCTTCAAAAGGATGAGACGTATTTAATGCTTGAAAAGTCTAAAAAAGAGAGCATTAAATCCTCTGAGTGCTTGAGTATTTAATGTCTGAGCCTTTTTCACGTAAAATGAAAGGTGTTATGTTCAAGAATTGAGCACCGCTCATTGCCTTCCAAATGGGCCAATGGGTGATTCTTTCTTCGGAGGGCCCACTTGCGAGATCACCTCCATGGAGTAGTTCTCTAAAACTCAAGGCAAATGTATGCAACTCTCATTCAAGCAATAGAACAGTGAATTCACACCCATCTCTCATTTACTAACTTGATCGTCAGAGGAGTCACGCCGAAAAATACTTCGGCGCCTTTCTAACCTTCTTTTTTGAGTGACAGAATCCATCTCGACACGTCGGAATCACTTGGATTGCCAGAAAAGTTATTCATTACCACTCCTTATATTGTTTCTCACATTTGTTTGTCTCGGGATCACCGACTTTTAGGATAAATCTCGTATTCATCAAAGAAGATATCTGTCCGATTATTTTATTGTGTGAAAATTACCGCGCACAAAAGACACATTATTAGTGAACTAATTAGGACAAACATTTGTCTTAAAATCCTATACAGTACAAAGTGATTTCCTTAGACACTATCTCGGCAAATGCATCTCTCCAACTCAAATTGCTTCCTTCTTACAATTTATATTCATACAAATGTAATTTTAATACAAATGTAATTTTAATTTTAGAGTCAACTTACTAACAATTAACTGTATAATTAGATCACGTTATACTCCCGTAACTCTTTTCTTAAAAAATTACTGACAAATTTGAGCTAGGAGACTTAATTGAAACAGAACTTGCTTGTTTTAAATAATAAAAAATTAAGTGTAAACTTTAAAGGTATAAAATATAATTTATCTTTAACTGGGGGTTTCCAACCTTTTATTGTTGTTTTTCATTGACCGTAGCCTGTATTTCTTGTCTAGTGTAGGAATTCTTAGTCCATGTCACTCTCCTTAAGTTTGACTATGCCATTCTCCTTTTGAAATTGTTCCTCATCAAAGTGGCAATATCTTGACTTTTGCTTTTGACTTATAGCTAACACCTAATTGGATCGGATTTTTATACTTTAATTTATTATGTTTTTTTTTTTTTTTTTTTACTTTTGTGCATAGTTTTACTAAAATTTTATTCAATTTAAAGTATTTTTTTTGAGATCTTTATACTCAATTTTCCTAAAATGAATTGTAAAGAATTATTTGTCATTAAATTCAAATAATATATCACTAGATTAATATCAATCTTTAAATCTATTAAATTTAATATATTGGACCCGTGTTAATTTCGGTTTTAATTGTCCAATCTCGTTGAAAATGGTTAATCCTATTTTCAACTTCTATATAAATAACTAGCAATAATTTTGTGTGTGAAATTATCTTATAATATTAAAAATTGAATATTAATTGTATAACATTTAAGATTTATTTTTTTCTCTTTAATCATATAATTTAAAATTAAATAATAAAAATAAAATAAAAAAGAGTTAAAAAAGAGATATATGTGTGAATTGATAAAGTTGTTTAGCATTGATTAGCGTATAATAAAAATGATGTCTTGGAGAAAAAAAATTTATGATGAATTTTGTATTATTAAATCAAAATAAATAAAAGTTAAATTAATCTTAATCATTATTATACTTTTATAAATTGAAAATTTAATTTGTAAATCGTAATATTATATGGATAATATAATCAATTTTTTGGTAAATATAAATTAAAAAATCAATAATCCCAAAAAGAAAAGGAAGAGAACCGGCTTCAACCTCGATTGTCGTAAAAAGACTGTGGGTTCATTCCCTCAATTATCGCGCTCGTTCCGATCGGTTACTCATACATACCTTTTAGAGAGAGAGAGAGAGAGAGATTCAACCAAGCAGGAAGAACAATGAGAGCTCTTTCATCCATACAGGTTGGTGTTTCTCATTCTCTCTCTGATACAGTTACCCCTTATGTATACTCTCTAGTCTCTATTTAATTTAGGGTTCTTATGGAAGTATCTTCTGAAATTTAATGTCTTCTTCTTTTTCTTTTGGAAAAAAAAAATCATGATTTGTTGATTATCGTGTGTTCTGTTTGGAGCTTTTTTGTTTTGGCGGTGGCAGTTTTTACGTTAAACTTATTGATTTGTATTGGATCTCTATGGCTGTTCTAGTATACTTTAGGAAGATTATGTGTCCGATTAGTTTTTTAGTCACATTAGGGTTTGTTTTGGGGGTATGAAAATAGAATTGAGACTTTTGATTGTTTTTTTTTTTTAATTGGATTTCCCAAACAGCGGCCAGTCAGTTAAATTTCGGCAGAGATTATCACTCACTAGATCGGTTAATGTTTTAGGATTTGCAATATTTTTCTTTACCTTTTTTGTGGAGTGTTAGATATTTTAGGGCTAAGGTTGTGTAAAATATTTATCTTTATTTATATGATATATCTAGTCGATTTGGACGGGAAGTGGATTTTGGATAATATGTAATTGCAGAGAGAAAATAGCTACAATTTCAGCGATATTTTAAGGTTGAGTTATTAATTGGTGCTGGTTTTATTATAACAGAGTTGTGGAAGTATAGCCTGCAGCAAACAGAAAGGTTGAGCTTGCAGAGAAGAGTGTTGAAGAAATGCACAAGATTTATATTGGAGTTTCTAGATGAAGAATTTGTAGGGAAGTTGCGAATAGAAAGCATTTGTAGCATTCATGGACATAGACATGTTATGATTTCTCCGTGAGTCAGGTTGTGATGTATTGCAGCCCGGACACTTGGATGTTTTTGTGTGTGTTTTGGAAATCGTCATTAGCGGCTATATAAATTTTTCAGCCTTTTTGAGAGCGAACTAGTAACTCCAACCTTGCCACGAATCCAAATTGGGTTTGCGCACTTTGAATGAGCCTTACTGTGTTTCCTTGTTCTGCAAATCGTTTATGTTTGAGCCAGTTACATAAGAGTGTGGGCTTATTGAAATCAATGCAAGGGATTGTGGTTTCCTTTTTATGATATTGTTTGGTTTCTGAGAATGGCAGACATTTTTTATTCTTTTAGTTTGTATATCTGTTTGTTTTAATGCAGAATTATAGTATTTGAGGCTTATCCTCAGCCTTGAAGCAACACCTTATGTGTCAAGCCTTTTCTGGGTTATCATTCTTTGTCCTGATTTTCTTTTTCCTGGTTTGATGAACAACTTTCTTTCATGGTTAACTTGCTAAAATCTCAAAATTTTCCTTGGCTTTTTTTTCTGCAGGTACAGAGTTTTGCTGGTTTGTGATCTCCGCAACGTTTTAACATAAGGGTAGTGGAATATTTTCGTAGTATATAGACTATAGAGGGAAATGGAGGATGGAATATCAAGCTTCTGGGGTCCTGTCACATCCACAATTGAGTGGTGTGAGAAGAATTATGTTTACTCTTCATATATTGCAGAATTTTTCAACACTATGTCCAATATTCCATGCATTCTTTTGGCACTCATCGGTCTTATTAGTTCCTTAGGACAACGCTTTGAGAAGAGATTTAGTGTGCTTCATGTATCGAATATGATACTTGCTATCGGGAGCATGTTATACCATGCCACGTTGCAACATGTGTAAGTATTATTTTCATTCAAGTCATCATTGTTGGAGGTTTTCTCATGGATAGTGGGTGTGTTTGTGGATGTATGCAAGTGCTGCATTAGGAAGGTGCATGAGAGTTGCAAGCTTGAGGCTCAGTATAGAAGTAAAAAATCTTTCATATTTAAGCTGTAGAAAGAATCCTTGGCTTCTTTTGCTGGTGTCTTTTATTTCATTGCACCTTTGTAGATCTGCCACGGCATTTGTTGAGGAAATTTTAAACCACATTTTGTCGGGTGAGGAGAGTTTAAACCACATTTGTTGGGTTAACTCGGTCCTTGGGCTACCTTCCTCACTTTAGGAATAGTATATTTAATTGGTTTGGTATCAGCTGAAAGTTGAGTACCTCATACATCTTTTCACCTATTTGAAATGATTCTATATGGTTGAGATATTGCAACTAAATATGATCTTCAAAATGCATTTCAGGCAACAGCAAAGTGATGAGACTCCAATGGTATGGGAAATGCTCCTCTACATATATATCCTCTACTCCCCAGATTGGCACTACCGTGGTACAATGCCTACCTTCCTCTTCCTCTACGGTGCTGCTTTTGCAATTGTTCATTCACAGTTCCGTTTTGGCATTGGCTTCAAGGTGCATTATGTGATTTTATGCCTTCTTTGCATTCCCCGGATGTACAAGTATTACATTTACACAGAGGATGTCTATGCTAAACGGCTTGCAAAGTTGTATGCAGCTACCCTACTCCTTGGTAGTTTATGCTGGCTGTGTGATCGTTTTTTCTGCATGGAAATATCTGGTTGGCCAATCAATCCACAGGGTCACGCCTTGTGGCATGTGTTGATGGGTTTTAATTCTTACTTTGGAAACACATTCTTGATGTTTTGCCGTGCTCAACAACGTGGATGGACACCCAAGGTTGTGAATACAATGGGGATTCTCCCCTATGTGAAGATTGAGAAGCCAAAAACTCAATGATGATAAGACAGGAATTATGCAGGTATAGATTTTTTTGACATGTTATCGGAGGTACATTAGTTTTGCGATGCGAGAAAAGCAAGCGAATAGATCAGTCATCTTTGTTCCCCCTTCTCAGATGGATCTGGAGGATAATTAGACATCAACTTGGTTTGTTGGGTTTTCGTTGCACTTTTCATTAGAACGAACATTCTTGAAAATTTAACAGTTTTATGTCTTTCGTTTTTTGTTTTGTTTTTTTGTTTAATTAAGCTGAGTACTATGATTTCTGATTCGTTTGGCCTTGACTTGTAGAAGTGCACGTTTTGACTCTCAGTCGTCCTATTTGTATTTCTGTTGCTTTTTGGATTGATTTTTATTTTGAGTCATGTTTTCAAGTAACATTGTGAAATTGATTGAAGCAGCCTCAAAATGGATGAGTTCTACACAAATCCCATGTACCCCAAACAGTTTGTGTTTTCCGTGCCCCTTCCCCAATGTGCACGCATATTTCAGCTACTTGAAACAACTCTTTTGTAGGGCTTGGGATCGACTTGAAAAAAAATGTGTAAATTGAACAGTATACATATCATGTGGCAAGTCTTCGTCGACTTCAATCCATGATATGCAAAACACGGTCTTGGACATTTTTTCCTTTTTCAGACGTTTCTGTAAATCCAAGTGCATCTCAGAGACACCCTTATTCGAAACCCTGGACCTCAGAAAAGGATAGAGAATGCCTTACATGTCTTACATGTACTTTAACATTGTCCAAACTTCACGTAATGGCCAAAAGTTTTTGCACAATAACGACTACGACTTCTTCATTTCAAGTGAAGATTGATATTTTTCAGATGTGAGCAGTGAGACAGAACAAACTTGTCATACTATCCATAAACTACCTGTCAATCATGGCATCAAATGTGGAAACAAAATAAATTATGCCTGCATGAATGCGTGCCCGTCCTGACTGTGTAAGTGTGCACGTGTGTGTACAAGAGAGAGAGAGAGACTGCAAAGTTTTTATCGACAGAGTATGCATATAAACTGAGATGAATCACTATACAGAGTGTGCAGCTGTGTGAGTAAGCAATATCTACAGCTAAAAAAACAAAAACAAAGGTACACAAGAAAACAGAAACTGGTAGCACTTCCACAATAAGCTGGAGTTAGAGCTACGTAAATTACAAGGTCAGAATCGCAAATTTAAGAATCTACATACAGCCTCTCCTGGATAATCTGCCCAAGCTGCATGTACAGAGCTCGCTGCTCCTCGAAAGTGAGGTTCATCAATATCTACATCATGTTAATGAACATAATACAAGATATTTATTGATGGAATCTAAATGAAAAGACAAAATGTCCAAAAGCAAAAGAATATAAAGGCTGAGCAAGTTTACCAGGTCAAAAATCATTTCAACTGATATGCTATGAGGCACGACAAATGACTGATGATAGATGTACGCAAACACACCAATCACCATCTGCACAACAATCTCAATTTAATCAAATCACTTTACATCCATTTGCCACAGCTTCAGATTAAGGCAATCAAGTATAGAATGACAGAAGAGACCATAAACCTAAACAAGCTCAGACATGCCTAGATGCATATTTCAATCAGTAAATATTTTTTTATGTTTTCACATTTCACCTGGCAATCCATTCTGTCGGTAATTCCACCATGTCCAGGAATACTATCGCCAAAATCCTACGAGAAAAATGAAAAATAAGATTTTGCAAACATCATAAATACTATTAGCTTAACATGCATATCTAAATCAGCTGATTGAATAAATCAAAGCAAATGCGTGAACCTTGATTTTGAAAGCTCTTTTGAAACCACTTGCAAAGAAGCCTCCAAAAGGTGCTATAATTGATGCAAAAAGACCAAGCAACAAAGCATGCCATTGTACTGGCAACACCGCAAATTCTCTCCAAGGAAACTGCAAAGAAAATGATAACTGAAGAAGCACTGTAGTTCCAAATACCTATAGTAATTCATAGCAACCTTATGCCCATCTTAAAAATTTGGCTTTCCATAAGCTCATAACACATACCATATTATGTTCCTACCTCAAAACAATTAGAAAAGCGACTATGATCATGATGGATTGAAAAATGATTTTTGATATTTTTTGTAGGTACAGGTTTTGGTAAATGCAACACTGAGGAGTTCAATTAGTAGATATTCAGGACAAAAATTGCCAATCGTGCTTTCTGAGTGATCTTAGAACATAAAAGATTATTTAAAACTTGTGTAATATATAGCATAAACAGTTAAAATCGATCAAGTTCAGATTTTCATTTCTCATCCTTCTTCGTTTTAGGGTTATGGAACTAGCTATATCCATATTGGCAAATCAACAAATTGCCACTCTACTTGCAGAGAACAATCTATATGATTGAATTCCCTGCACTCAACAAAAAACACGACCCCAACTACCTTGTATTCGCTTTGAAATTTATTTGTGGTAACAACAATTAAGAGTGTTAGGAAATTGCTTATTGTTTTTGGGTTAAGTCCGTGAGGTAGCAATATAAATCTCAACTAGAACCATGGTCATGAAGCTGCAAACTTAAAGATCCATAGCTAGAAGAAGGAAGTAGTCCAAGCTACAAAGTCACATCATGAAGATTTCTCAAGATCCTTCAATGTTTAGGAAAGGTAATGACTTTAGAGACCTTAAGTTACCCTGATACTTTTAGCTACTTAGGTTTTCATACTTGAATTTAGGATGAAGCTTCAAATGATGTTTTGAAAAAATAAATCGAGTCTTGGATCAGATCTTTGTTAAGCAACACCCCTTAGTAAGGGTGCAACTTGGGCGGTCCAACCCAAAATAAACAGGGCTTGGGTTAGAATTTTTAACACTTGAGTTGAGCCTGGAAAAAAAAACTCCAATCCGAATTGTATTTGGGCAAGCCTCAAGTTGATGCCTCGGGTTCAACCCGAATATACATAAATATATTTAACTAGGGTTAGTATTTACCTTCACTCTTTAGAGTCCAAACTTTCAGTTCACTTCAAATCTTCACCCATGCGCCTCCATCACTCTCAGATCCCTCTCTCACTCGTCATTCTTCCCTCTCTTAACCTCCCCCTCTCAATTGTCACTCGTCTAAATCGTCTCAGACTCTCAGCGTCTCTCTCTCATTCGTCACTCCTCCCCTTCTCACTCGTCACTCCTCCCTCTTTTACTTAAAAAAATCATATCTACACTTGAAAAAATTAACCCAAATTAAATAACTCAAATTCAACCCGATTTTTAATCTGAAATCAGTCCGAATTAAGTAACCCGGATTCAACCCAAGCCCGCTCGAATTAAACTCAATCAGTACTCAGGTTGAGTACCTCGGGTTGAGATAGGGTTAGGGTTAGAGTTAAATATTATATACCTAGTGTTGGGCTAGGATAGATCTCTCAACCCGCCTGAGTTGCACCCCTACCCCTTAGTGCCCAATAGGACAAGTTTTTTTCTTGGGGTTAGGCTTAATAACCAATAGAGACTGTCCTCTGCTCACTGGCCTACAACTTAAACTGTCTTTGAAACACTTGAGGAAAATTCAAAAAAAGGTTGAACAGTTGGCATTGGAGATGGCCCTTTGGCTGCTTGCTAGTCGCGTGAGCTGCTTGTAGACGGCTCAAGCAATCTGACCATGCAGTCCCTGATCAACTGACCTGAAATTGATCTTTGTTTCATTCCAGTGGGCATGCCTTTTTTTGACTAGTACCTTTCTACAACTTCATATCCCTACTAGGGAGCCAAGAACAACAGTAGAAATCCCTAAGCATCCAAAGACCTAATTTTTGTTGATTCATCACATACTCCGTCTTCAAATCTAAAACAAAAGAGAAATCTTGTAGATCTACCAAACCTACATCGGTGTGGGAAGACTTAGATCTTGATAGGAGTCTTTGAAGATCGAAAGAGGAGAAGTCGAAACTTGGAGCTCAATTTGCCCTCTGAAGCTAGTACCCAAGACCTTGCGGTAATGAATCCAAAGGGAAGTTTGACAAGGAGAAAGCGTTTAATCATGGACTTAAATGAGGTATAAGATTTTGGAACTTGTAATTCGATTTTGAGTATAGTATATTAGATTTTGGTGGACCAATACTGGTCCCGTGGTTTTTCCAAGAAAAGTTTCCAAGTTAAAATTGTCAAGTGTTGTGGTGGTTATTAATTTACATATTTTACACACACATGAAATTCCTCACACACAAACATCATGTGTTTGATGATATGATTGTTTGATTGTTAAATTTTAAATTATCATCATTGTGGTTGTTGAATCAGTTGAAGAAATATTAGAGGGATAAGGATGGTGGATTTGCATTGATCTATTGTGATTGTTGAATTGGGCATCTTGCATCCATTTATTCAATACAAAGGGTTTATTCACACTAAAAGGGGTTATTTGAACTTAATTTCCTTAAATCAATTTATAATTGAGGTTAATAGGTCTAAATTAGTGTAGGTTTCTGCTTGAAGCATAAAAAACTTGTTCACCCCCTTTAGGTCGTGTGTCGTGTGATTTCATGTGTATAATCGTGTCGGAGACAATTGAACTACATTTCTCAAAGGGAACTCCAAATGAGCATCTCAATTAGGAGGCCCAACAACTTTGTTAGGAACCAAGGTCTTGAGAGGCTTAAGACATTTATTCTAGCCCAGACTTACAAATGAAAAGTGAGAGTTATAGAAGCCAATTTTATGTTCATAGGATAAGATAAAATCCTAGCAGGCATTTTAAAGATTTGCTACAATTTAAAATTGGAAGTGTTAAGGCATAATACAAGGTTTGCATATGACATTTTATCAACTGATAATTACTTAGTGGGAAAAAGACAATCAATCAACCAATAATTGTACGGAAAAGAGACAATTTGTAAGCCAATAATTGTCCAATTTAATTAATAAAATACAGTAGAATATCTTGTATATAATGCACAGCAGATTTCATCTTTATAAAGCAAGATACTGAGGAAAATAATGGTGCATATCCAGATATAATTGAAAGCTGAATTACCCATTGAGGAACCCATCCGGGTAAAGTGAAATGCTCTGGTTTAAACAATGGACCAGGATCACAATGAAGCCAACCAGCTGACAAATCCTGCATGTGTCATTGTCACAGGGACATTAAATGTTTTCAGAAACAGGAAAGCAAGCCTCCCTAAACAAAGATGATAAATTTCACCAAAAGGGATCACCTTCCTAGGACACGTTAGCCACTGGAAACGGCCCAAAATATTTGCAAGCTGCATAAAGTGAATGCATCACAAGTTTATAAATGCATACAGATTATGATTATGGAATCCATAAACATGTCATGGACTTACTGGTTATTGACTCTAAGTTTATGAATAAACTTGAAAATAAAACTTTTTCTAGTGACGAGGAATCTCTCAAAGGCAAGGCCACATTGGACCAACCCTTCCAAAGTAAACTCCGGATACAGGTATCGGTTATATCCAAGAGTCACTACTAAGATACCCTAGCAGGTTAAATAATTTACACCATTAAAATCATGGCATGACAAAAAGATTGTGTGTTGGAAAAGGCAAGAGATAGTGACATTGCATCTGACAAGTCACAACACGATTCCACATGATTCAATCTTAATATGTCCCCAGATAAGGGCACATCTTTTCCTTTTCCTTTGGTAAGTAAGATTAAACAGGCCATGCCATCTGAGCCTCTGAGGTAAGAACAACATATAGAAACCTCATCAATCAAATCCAAGAAGATTGAGCTGGAGTTGGAATTGGGACCACAAATGGTCACGCCAAATTGTGAGAGTATGTCAATTTAAAAAAAAATCACAAAAGTAAAAAGCTTTGCTAAAATGACTCAGCAGTTGATATAAGTCAAGAAATTGTGATACAAAAATAAAAAGCTCACCACAAATGCAGAGATCATAGTAGTAACAGATGCTCCTATGAAGCCCTCCCAAGTTTTCTTTGGGGATAATTTGATCAAAGGGGTTCTTCCAAAGAAGAAACCGAAAAAATAAGCAGCAATATCATTGATAACAATAAGTGATGCTGGAAGAAGGAACCTGCATAATACGTGGACTGGGTCAGAAGTTCTTTTCCCATGTTTTATTTTTCAGGAAGCAAATATTCCAACTGTTCATTGTAATCACTCCACTAAATATTCACACATTTCAACCACCAAAAAGAAAGCAAAGGAAAAATGTCAAATAACTCATTATGCCATGATTGTATTAACTCATGGAGTATATTTTTTCCACTAGGGAAGAAAAGGAAATAGAGTATCCTTGATACCAACTTCTGAAAGAGGCTAAACAAGAAGACTTCCCTCACACAACTCTCAAGAGACTAGTGGAAATTCCAATTCTTAATTCTTTTCCAGTTTTAGCGTTAAATTCCCTGCAAATTAGAGGATTTATTGAACCCCCGCAACTTGACCATATGTCTACATCCATTGCGTTGGGTCGCAAATTGAATTAAATAAGAGAGGGGGTGAAGAGGGCTCCACAAAGCAGCTCCTCTGGGGTTACTGTATCAACTATCAAGTAACATAAAAGCAATACCATATGCGGCTCACAGCTTAGGGATTGAGATAATCAACAAGGTTCAAAGAAATTTCAAAGTTGTTTTACCAGAAAATTCCTTCGAAAATATTGGCTACTGTGAAAGAGGATTGTGTAAACACCACAATAAGAATCATGTGTGTCCATGCGTATTGGCCAAATTGATACTTGTACATCTTCTTCTTTAGTGTAAGGATGAACCACATAAAACCTGAGGCCAATTAGGAAAAGAAAATAATATTTAGCCACCAATCCCCACTGCATCACAATTCACAGATGATTTCTTAATAGATAACAAATGACAATTAGCAAACCTCTTAAAAACCAGCAAGATCAAAAGCCTATAACAGTGATAGTAATAAATTAATAGAAACCCACGCATAAGAGAGCTTCATTTCTAGTGGACATCATCCATTTATCAGATACAGGTAATTAGGTATAATAAGAGACTGCTCAAAATCAATATCCCTCAAAATCATTGCAAAAATTGATAGTACTTGAGAAATAGAACAAACCTGCAATATATAAGAAATAACAAGTAACCATTTGATACTTGATGAACCCACTCACAAGCTTGTAGAGAAATTTGTCTACCGTAACAGTGTTGACAAGCCGTTGACTCAGAATCCGGCCATATACAAACAGCATAACAGTGAAGAAAAAGTGCCTGGAAACAGAACTTTGAAATGAGCAAAAAGAGAAATAGTATGTAATAGATCAAGGTCATTTGAGCCATCATACATAATGATAAAACTTAAAAGCTCTTCAAGAAACCCAGAGAACAGGTTAGACCAGGATAACTTGATTGTTTTAAAGATATCATATAATAACCTCTATAGCAATGCCACAAAATTGCAAAATTACTTGGAAATTAATGCCAAATTGGCCCAAGGTGAAAGTGAAACAGCTAAAAGTTTTTCTACTCGATCTTTATAGCTAAAGCGTGGGTTGAGAAGGGAGAAAACTGGTTTACTTGGTTTGCTCTATATTCTATGGCAATGTATCTACAATTCCTCCCAGGCCTCCATTCTAGCATTCCTACTTTCCTAGAAGTTTATTTTAGAATGTTTATAAGCTCATGTGGCTACGAACTATTGGTTCTTTTAAACATTTTGAAAATCCTAATTAATATTTAAGTCAGTTGATAAACATCTTTAGCTGTAGTTCTGAGTCAATTTCTCATCCTTCCAAACCTATCCAAAAAAAAACTGTAACAAACTTCAGAGTTCAAACTTCAAACAATCCCCACTTTCCACTCATGTCTCCCATATCTCATCCCCAATCTCTCTCTGCTTCCCATTCACGGTCTATTTTCTTATTTGTTCGAGCCCTAATAGATAAAGAAAAAACTAACTACCCATATGTTCACAGCTCTCCTCTTACTCTTCAATGGAAAACGCGGGTAATTATTTGTTTGTGTTGTTTGATGTCATATAAGTGGTACCAATACGTACATGTATACAAGTGATTCTTTTGCAATCATTACTGTTTCTTGATTATGGAGTTGCTAATAAGTTTCTATGTGTGCAAGTTCACATTATTCTTTGAAACGAACTTGGTGATCAGCAATTCAGGTCAAGGAATCACCAATTGTAAATTGTAAGTACTTCAGTTTACCTGTAACCCTTTTATTTTTAATTTTTTGTTCCAATTATGTTATTCATGTTTCCTTTGTCGGGAGCAAGTTCTTTGATGGAGTTTGCACATTTTGTCTCCCAGTTCAATGTCTGCTACTTGCTACCCTCTCTGCTCAGTTGACGTGTAAACATTACAACCCAACAATTGTTTCCATGATGTTGGTGGTTGTTGGATGCAACATCTACATTTAATACAACAAAACGACAGGCTTGGTGAAGAATTGTTGAGATCTAGCTATGGCCTTTCAAAATTGGTGTAAGTTTTTCATTCAAGTATTATTTCGTTACACAACATTAGACCTTGACCCTCTATACATTTGTGTTGTTTTCATTCTTTTCCAGACAAATTTTGGGGGAGAGAACTATGTGGTCTTTTTTTATAGAGACCCCACAATCTCTTGAGATCCAAGTTTTTTGTACGCTATTGTTACTCTTGTCCTCTGATGTGTCTGCATTTTTCAGTGTGATGTTAATTAGTAGCATACACGTACATAATTTGGTGCAAGTTAATAATTTTTTGGTTGTACTTGAAACTTTTTTTTATGGGTACAATTCGAATATCTTTTACATTATTCATTTAATGTTATTGTCTAATTTTTGAAATTCAAATTTTGATGGATCAGTGCTTCACATGATAATTTTGAACACAATAGATAAGAACATTGGTACTTATTGTTCGTAATTTTCCATGCATCGGGATTTTGCTAATAGTATTTAGAATAACTATGTATCAACTTTGACAAATAGCATTCAACTCATCCCAGCACATATCAAAGCATGCAATTAGAGAGGAAAATCAAGGTCAGGTTCCAGCCAAACCATGAATTCAACATTTGTTGATATGAGCAAAAGTGTTGGGTCATACATCATACTTTTTTAATTCATCATCAATGTTTCTATTTGTACAAAGAGTTGCTTCGAGTCAATATAAAAAAAGTGGCAGCAAAATTTACTATCTAGAGATAACATCTAAAAGGCTAAGAGTAAATATTGTAGTATGTAAAGATATTGTCATTCAAGGAATATTATTTTCCAGAAAAATCACTCTCAAGCCGTCCCTATGATGGCAACTATATAGGTGTGTTCTTCCTTTCCACTTCTTTCTTCTTTGAAACCTTTTTGGTTTCAAAGTTTTCTATTATTTCGACTAATTTTTCAATTTCAATCCTCTATCATGTGTATATACATGCTTTGAAACTTCAATTATATATATTTAAGTTTCTTCTTGGGTGAGGACAAGGATTTTAAGAGCAAATAATGGTAGAAACTTAATTCTGCACCCATCCCACATCTCCTAGTCTCCTAGCCCATTACATGGGAAGGAACAACACTGCGTAATCGCCTAGTTATTTTTTGTTTGAAGAATTCTGATTTATTTTGGGGTGTTTCCAATAAGAGGTGTTGAAATTGGTAATCAGTAACCATGTATAAGACTAATGTCTGATGGTTGCATATGATGATTTTTAAAGGTTGAGCAACTCAAACAAGAAGTTCCCATTATGTTGTGTTTTGGGATCCTTGCAATACAGTCTAAATAACTCAATAGGACAAAATCCTCTACCATCTTAAAAAGTTTTTCAAAACCAGCTTAACTAATTAACCACAAAGTCGGGAGTTAGTTTGGAACCATCCTCTAGGGGTCTTAGACAAGGTGACCCCTTGTCTCCTGCTTTATTCATTTTGGCAGAGGAGGTGTTAAGCAGAGGGCTGAGGAGAATCTTTCAGCAGAAGCTAGTCGCACATTTTCATACTGGGAGAGGATCTCTTATGGTATCTCATCTTTTGTTTACTGATGGCACTCGGGTGTTTTCAAGGGGAGATATAAGATCTATTAGAAATTTGATGAAGTTTATTTCAGCATATGAAGTCTGCTCTGGACAGAGAGTTAATAGACTTAAAAGTGCACTGTATTGTTCTTCAAAAATTCCAATGGGAAGAAGTCTGCTTTATCTTCTGTGTGGATTGGAATTCCCTTAAGAGATTGCCCTTTTACTTATTTAGGCTGTCCTATATTCAAAAGGAGGTCTAAAATTTGTTATTTTAAAGAAGTAGTATAGTCTCTTACAAGGAAGATTGAGGGGTGGTATGCAAGATTACTTCCAGGGATGGGTAGGGTGGTGCTTGTGCAATCTGTTTTAAATGTTGTTCCATTGCATTTGTTAGCATGCATGAATGTTCCTAAGGGTATTCTGCAGAAGCTAAAAATGATTGCTGGATTTATTTGGTCCAGTAAATTAGATATGAAGAGGCGACATTGGGTTTCTTTGGCTAGCCTTTCTAACCCAAGGAGGAAGGAGGTCTGGGCATAAGAAGTTTTGAGGATAATCAGGCTGCATTTCGTATGAAGCAGACTTGGAATTTATTGGAGGGATCTTCGCTTTGGACAAAGGTGTTCAGGTGTAAGTTTCTGAGGGGGAGACATATGCTTAAGTGTGTTGGGGTTGGTGGTTCTAAATGCTTCAGAATGTTGAAACCCTGGTTTGAGCAGGTGGTGAACAGTTCTCCGGTTTTGGTGGGGAATGGACAGAGTACTGATTTCTGGTGTGATCCATGGATGGATTCTGGTCCCCTGTTGCAGAGGATTGAAGGGTTGCCTGTTTCTTTCCCCACTCTTGCTGAGGTTTTTGATGGAGCTCAATGGCATTTGGAGGAAGTGTCTCTGTTGCTGGGGGACCAGCTGTGTTCTGAGATTCTTTCTTCTGGTGTATCATTTTCCAATACAGAGGATATAAGGGCGTGAAAGCATACTATCTCTGGTTCTTTTTCTGTAAAATCTGCGTGGCATCAGGTGAGACAGAAAGGGATTCGGAGTGCAGTGGCTAAATGCATTTGGAAGCAGGGAGTATTGCCCAGTGCTCAGCTGTGTGCTTGGAAGGTTCATAAGGATGCACGAACTGTTGATAGCAGAATTCGAAGATTGGGAATTTCATTGGTTAGTTGTTGTAGTTTATGTGGCAGACAGGAGGAGACAATTTCTCATCTTTTCATTGATTGTGGTTTTGCTTTGCCGGTTTGGAGGTGTTTAGCTGGAATTTTTAGTTTTCAAGTCATTGATGGGGAAGCGCCAATTATGAGATTTTTGAGAATTGCTAGAATCTTTAAGTCTCATACTTTGAGTCATGGGATTGCAAGAGGGGTCCCTTTGCTTGGTTTTTGGTTTATCTGAAAAGAAAGATGCCGCAGAAGATTTGAAGGGGTCAAAATGACTCCTTATGCAATTTTCTTGCAGATTATGCTTTTGCGGTAAAACTCAAGATAGCAGATAAAGGAATAGGATTGGAATTGTTGGCTGATCTCAGAATTGGTGCTGTTCATTCAATAATTTCTAAAGCAGTATGGGTGAATGGTATCCTCCCCCAAGGATTCTTTGAAACTCAACGTGGATGGAGCTTCAAAAGGTGCGACTGGTTTGGCTGGGGGTGGTATGGTGTTGAGGAATGCTGAAGGTCGTATGGTAGCTGCTGCTTCGGTTTTTTATGGGGAAGGCTCTAACATGCAGGCTGAGTGTAAGGCTTTGTTTGATGGCCTGAATTTGGTGCTGCAGTATGGGCTAGGGGATTACCCTTTACTGATTGAATCTAATTCTCAGATTCTAGTGATGATGGTTCATGGGAAGGCTGCGATTCCATGGAAATGTAGAAGGGTTTTAAGGAGAATTTGTGAGATATTGGGGAGTTTGGATGCTAGAATGTCTCACATATATCGTGAAGCTAATAGGGTAGCAGACTTTTTGGCTTCGTATGCTGTTCAGTCGAGGAGGTCCACTGATTTCTCGATGAGGAGTTTGCCTACAGAAGGGAAATTATTGTTACTGCATGATCAGACTGGATGGCCAGTGGTGAAAAAGAAGAAGACTTTGGTGGTGCACAGGCTTCTGCCACAGTAGGTCTGATGGTTTTGTAATGGCTTGTAAAGTTTTGTATTCTTGATTTTGTTTAGAAGGATTAAAGCCACTTAAGGCTTTAGTCATATTTGATTCTTGTAATTCTTTGCATTCATGAAATAAAATTCTTTCTTTGTAAAAAAAAAAAAAAAAAAGTTTGGAACCATCCCAAATATGAATTATCCAAACGAGCCCCAGTTTAGTGTAGACACAGGTATAAGTACACTAAGAGTTTCACAAACAGCAGATTAGTTTAACTCTTCAAGTTCTTTGGAGAACATAATGCTCAAAAAGCAATACAATAAACAAGAAAAAGGTCCAGTTGACAAGCCGAGAAGTTGGTTTGCTTACCAATTTAATAGCCTAAATCCTGGGAGGTGACTGTCTTCATGCGCTTTCCTAAGCAGATTGAACAACTCTCTTGCCATGAAAATTTGGATAACAATGACCATGGCCATGATATAGAGATGACCCATGTAGATTATGAACGCAAAGCCCCCAATCATCCAAATAGATGAATACGCACGAATCAACATTGACCTGTATTTGTTTCGATCATTAACAAGTAAATGACTTCCATTTGCTTTACCAACATCGGGAGGAATCTGGCATCCAAAAGAACAAAATATAAGAAAAAATGAACCCCAAATCTCCAAATAAGTTGATTCAAGGTTCCACTTCAAAACTTTCTACATCCACTTTACCTACTAGCTAAGTATTACAGGTTTAAAGTGGTAATTATTAAGAAAAATAGTACTGATGGAACCATGATGCCTCAACTTAATGGGAAACCCCAAAGCACAACTACCTGAAAAGGTTAGTTTTTTGGACTATGATAAAAGGTAACCAACTTCTGAAGTGTGGAAGGGAGAAAAAAGCTTCGATGTTATGGGATGTGCTTTTATGGCTGTTATGTGGGTGGTTTGGTTGGAGAGAAATAGCAAAATTTTTGAAAGCATGGAGTAAAGAGAGTTGTTGTGGGATAGAGTGAAGTTTTTCGCTTCTCTTTGGGTGAAGGCTTCAAATCAGTTTATGGACATTTCTCTTTCGATTTTACAACATAATTGGACAGCAGCGTTGAGCTAGTTTCATTTCATTTTTGTTGTTTTTCTTTTGTTTTTTGGTGGATTTCTTATCCATCACTTATGTACGTTATTCACTGAAATGAAAGTCTATTTTCTTATCAAAAAAAAAAGTGACAGTAGCGAACTGACACCAATTTGGATGGCTAAAATGTATGCTACGGGGCCCAAAACCAAGAGTTACCTCATTTGAGCCTCTACGGCGACGAAGCCGTCCGGTAGACGTTGCTAGGGCACTGGAACCACTATCTTTTTGCATGGCTCCTCTAAATAAACTTTGTAGTCAACAAAGAAGATTCATAAAATTATGTATGCACAATGCCCCCTGATAATCAAAAACACATACAAACATTTATAAGTGGAGAATAACATTACCGAATGCTACATTTAAAGAAATAATGAAATAATATAGTGAGGCACAAACACACATTTAAGTAATGATCACCGCAAAATGTGACACTGTCAAATTTTCATAGCAAAGAAACTAAGGATTACATCTTGAGGAATGAGTACTAATACAACTTCTATCATTTTTCAATAAGTTGCACTTTGGCGTCGAACAATTACAGCCGATGAAGGACGCAAATGAGGGAATTGCCCACTTATGTCAGTCATTAACCATCAAGATACACACCAAAAAGCTAAAGAAAAAAAAAAGGAAATATAGAATGTGCATTATCAAGAGAAAAACAACCACAAAATTAGTGGAGTGAAAACAAACAAAGATTCTGAGATATACAAACTGCATTCTTCATCCTTATTGAACTTAGAGATGGTGAATGTTTTCTTTCATACTTATCCCAGTTAAATTGACTAATAGAGCAAACATTGGAACTTTCACCATTTACGAATTGCGCCTCGGGTTCCACTTGCCTAGCAACACAATTAAACCTTCATACTCAATGTAGTCAAGTACAAGACTGCTTAAAATACAAATACAATAGATACACATATATGACTAGACATGAAGCATGCCCCACCAAGAAATTATATGGTATCTAATTCAATGCCCAGGTAGGCAGGTACTATTTGATTTATACGCCTCAGAGCATCTCTAATCTTGACTTAAACTTTCACCCAAATATTGGGAAAGTTGATTTGATACAATGCAGAAACTCAAAGTCAAAAGAGGATAAACCCAAAATTAAATGAGGACAGACCCTATGAACACTAAATTTTTAAAGGGGAATAAAATCTAACTGCTAATGATTTGAGTAAAAGTTTGAAGCTCTCTTAATTTGAGTAAAAATTTGAGCTCATTTTGATTTGATATGGGTTTGTGTATAACATTAGAGAAGATTTTTAAAACTTTTTAACCAAAGTTATATTTGGGTTTAAAAAAGAGGAAGGGCGGAGATGCTCTTAACACATATTTGAAGTTCTGAATCGACATAAATACACCATTTTAATTGAAATTTCAATTGACATTTGAAGTGAACAATGAGAAAACGAAACTCAAGCCAAATATAAAGCTCAAAACCAGCACTTACTCGATAGGCGAACACCTCGCTTTCAACAATTTGAACCTGCACATCAAATACCAACACAAAATAGAGATAAGATCGGCACTTACACACACACACACACAGATATATATATATATATATATAGACAGATAAAGAGAAAAAGACCTGGTTCCGTGAAGTTGGGAAGCTTTGAAGTATAGAGAGAGAGAGAGAGAGAGAGGAAGAGCAGAGCAAAGTGAGAAGAGCGAATACTACTTGCGGTAGCGGTGTGAGGAAGCAAAAGTGATTTGTTTCTGCTTCGTTGCTGAATCAATGAAGAAAAAACTAATCTCTAATTTCCTTTTTTGTGGGATTACCCCCATACTATAAATTCGATAAGGTTAGGGGGACTTAATTTTTGGTAAATTAAAAAATTAATTTAATTTATTGATATAATAATATATTAAGTGATAAAGTCTTTACACTTACCATCACAAAAATACTATGGAATCATGTCATTGATTAATTTTTTAATATAATAAATGGCAATTAATTTTTATTTATCAAATAGCTTGTGCATCATAATATAATTGTTTAATATATTGTTTCTTGAAAAAAAAAAAAAAAACTAGAAAGAATCTAGATTCATCGAGAAAGAAAACCAAAAAGTCGGGCTGCGGAACTCCCCTAAAAGAATTGTACAATTCATATCGAGTACAAATCAATTTTAATGTCAAGCTGTTTTCGCCGTAATGGAATCATTGATGCCAATGTAGTTAAATGCATGTTATGTCAAACAGTGGACTTGAACATTATTGGTAGCTTGATTAAATTAGCACGTCACTTTCTCTATTCTATTGAGACTTAAAGTTCATTACTCATACTTGGGCTTTTTGAAGAAAACAACGATAGTGATTGTTGGTCTGTTTTATACAATGAATATTTAACATGGAGCTCATGAAGGAAGTTTCATTTCATTGTGTTTTGTCACCAACACCCCCCTCCCAAAAGTTCAAATTAACAGAGAAATAGTGTAACATTAATGATTTATCTTTATTATTCCACTCAAGTGCAACTCTTGTTTGATGAATCCTCCAAGTAATTGTAAAGATTTCTATTCTAATTCAAGCATTTTTATTGTTTCTTACAAAAATACTAGAACATTTTCTATCCAAAATATGAGGATGTTTAGTTTTGGGAGAGCCCGAAATCAATTCAAGTAAATGAGGGGGCAACACAATAAAAGACTCAATAGTTGAGGGGTTCAAGTGTAGTTTTCCCAATAACTTGAATTGGAAGGATGTAGCATAGGTATTTTGAAGTACTAATAAGACATGAACTACCAATGCCTCTAGGCCTTCTGCCATGAGTCTCTCTCCAAAATTGAAGGATAAGTGAGCAGCATAACAAAATATGTTCCAGGTACCAGAGGGGAGGGAGGGGGACGGGGATCAGGTTTCTGGGCCTGGAGTTAGGGATGTTAAACTATGCGATCTAGTCGGGCTTAGGTCAGATTTAACTAGTTTTTATCTCAACTTGAATTTGTTTATTTAGAAAACGAGTCAAACTCGAATAATATTTTAAGCTTGTTTTGCAATTGAGCTCGCAAATTTTAGATTATTTACATATAAAATAGTTGAGTTAATCAAACTCAGATGGATTATTATACTCTCTTTAGCATCTCATTTTAAGTGTTTGTCACTACCCTAAAGCTTCTTTTCTGAATATATGCTTTTGTAATGGACAAAGGGAATAACTTTTGGGTCTTTTTTATGGTGGTTCTGGCCTTTAGCACACTCTTGTCTGTTTGTTGAAACTAATCTATTTGCTGATCGGATAGAGGAGAGCTGTTTGGAGACAAGCGTAGGCAGACCTTGTTTGCGCTAGTTATCAAGTACAAGAGTGCTGTGACAACAAGCTGATATGCCGGATGGATGAGGCCCATGGGTTACAGACAACCTATGTTTCAAAAGCGTGCCTAGAGACAAAAATAATATTATTCTAACATCAAAAAATATATAACATGATTACCTGGAGAGAGAGAGAGGGGGGGTTGATTGCGTGAGAGTAAAGACAGAGTTTGAGGATTGCTCGTGTAAGAGTTGTACCTTTTGAGACCGAGTTTTTCGGCGACCCATGAGAGAGCCCCTAAGCTGGAGGTATAGGTTGTCTACTTAAAAGCAGTGCAGAGACCAAACTTTTACCATCCCGTGAGAGAGTTGTTAAGCTGAATATATAGGTTGTCTGCTTAAGAGTAGTGCAAAGGCTAAGGTCATGTTTGATTTGTGATCCGAAAACAGTTTTTTATTCTCAAAATTTCAAAAACACTCAAAATTTGTTTGTTTAACATTTTTATTCTCTAAATTTGGGAAAAAAATGAGATTTGAGTTAAAGAAACAGAAAACAAGTGTAGTCTGTTTTCAGAGTTTTCTTTGAAAATTTTAGAAATAAGGAGAACAATTTTAGATGTTCAAATATGGGTATATAAAATATAAATATTATATATATTATGAAATTGTCAATATAAAAATAACTTTTTTTATATATTTTTATTAATGTTTAAATTACTGTTCAAATATATATTTAGATTATCCAAACAGGTTTTACTATTTTCTGTATTGTAAAATTATTTTTGAAATCATCTAACAAAACAAGTTTCTTATCTCAAAAAATATCAAAACTACTTTCTTAAAACTCTTCTCAAAAATTATTTTGAATACTATTTTTTGAAATGCAAACCAAACAGGCCCTAAGCTTTTGGCGACCCGTGAGACAGCTGCTAAGCTGGAGATATAGGCTATCTGTTTGAAAGTAGTGCAGAGACCAAGTTTTTGGTAACTCGCGAAAAAGCCGTTAAGCTGGATATATAAGCTGCCTACTTGAGAGCAACACAAAGGCCAAGCTTTTGGCGGCCCGCCAGAGAGCTACTAAGCTAGATATATAGGCCACCTGCTTGAGAGCAGTGTAGAGGCCCAACTTTTGGTGACCAGTGAGAAAGCTGTTAAGTTGGATATATAGGCTGTCTGCTTGAGAGCAGTACATAGGCCAAACTTTTGGCAGCCTGCAAGAGAGCCGCTAAGTTGGATATATAGGCTACCTTCTTGATAACAGTGTAGAGGCCAAGCTTTTGGTGACCCACGAGAAAACTATTAAGCTGGATATATAGGTTGTTTGCTTGAGAACAGTGCAGAGATAAATTAAGCTTTTGGCGATCTGCAAGATGATTCACCTCGTCTGGACCTGTTGATTTCCTCAACATTCATATATTTTTGATCTTTGTCAATAGTTCTTCTGACATGCTCTTTGGTGGTCGCTTCATTACTGAAAAGAGAAAACTTGATAAGTGGAGGCCTCTCAGAAAGGCGGTCATGGTGACTTTGTCATTGGGCTCTTCGATTTGGAGGACATTCTCATTAAAACGAATGAGGTAACTCCTCAGACTCTAATTTCGATCCTGTTTTACGCTGAGTAAATGGGTGGCAGGCTTCTGCTAGCGGCGTCTACCAATGAACTATGTCACAAATGATCTGCTCAGTTTGGCGAAGGAGCCTATGGAGGCCGAGGTGAGTTTGGCGAACCATTATCGCACAGATCCCTTTAAGGTAGTTGAAAATGTCCTACACATAATTTCGTTGGGGACGTTGTGCAGCTACATTAAGGTATTATAAGTTTTGAGGTGATCAAGTGGGTCCTTTGTACAGACGAAAGTTTCTATAGATGACATTTTGAATTTTTGGGGAAGAGGATAGTTTGCCACATATGACACAAAAGGTGTGTCAGTTCGCCTTATAGGGTAGTCCACGATTTTTGGTCCTTCTGCCTTAATGGCATTGAAGACATCATTTAGTTGATTCTGTATTTCTTTGATTTTCGTCCCAGTGATTTGGGACTCCTTTGGAATTATCATGAAAATGGCTCTCATGCTCCATACTTTGATTCTCGCCCTCATCCTCTTGAAAATGGGGATCTCCTAAAGAGGGAGTTTGAGGTGGAAGTGGAGGTCCCTCATGGTGGGCTTCCCTGTATGGGGTGCCTAAGTGGGGAGTTCCTTGACGCACAGGGTGTGGAGCTCATCTGGCTTAGGGTATCACAGACTGTGCTCCTCCTTGTTGTCCAATGAGCATCAGTTGCAAAATCTACTAGTTCTAAGCTACAAGCTGCTGCATTGTTTCTAGCATCTGTTGTGCATTCGGAACGGGATTGGTTGGTGGAGGAGCAACCTGTTCCTCTCGTGCTGGATTGTCTTAACCTGACTCATAGATCTGATGGTGATCGTCATTGGTACATCAAAAAAGATAATTAGGTGATAATTTGTTATTCCCACAAACGGTATCAAACTGATGATGCACAAATTAGTTTTGCACACCATCTGTCAAGTAATCAGTAATAAATGCAATAAATAAGTAAGAGATGGAGAAGACAAAGATTTATAGTGGTTCGGTCAACATGTCTTATGTCTACTTTGAATGGTTATGGTCACCGGGTATTTTATTATTTCAAGAGTGTAGAGAGAGGAGAGAATTACAAGCTATGAGAGGAAGATGAGAGTTGTGCTCGACTGAGTGTGATGTGCTTACAATTTATAATTGATTCTTAACAAATTTGGGCGACTTAATAGTAATTAAGCAGCTAATCTGGTGGAGCTGACGACCTCTTCTCAATGGATAAGGTAGTTACAGTACTCTCCATAAGATTCGGTCAAATGAGTAGTTGGTAGTTGACTTCTTCTAAGGTGGCGTGGATGAGGCTCTTGGGATGACCCTTACTTTAGGTTGGTTAAGAAGAGGCTCTTAGGATGATCTTTACTCCAAGGTGGTTAGGAGGAGACTCTTGAAGATCTTGCCTACTCCCTTGGCAAGCTTGACCAGGTGTGGACCCCTTTGGATTGGATATTGGATCTTTATAAGTTTGGGCTTGTAGCATAAGTTAGGCCCTTGGGTCTGGTCCATCATAAATGAGCTATAAACTCATATATTTCGAATTTGAAATTTGACAATTTTTATAAATTTTTTAGTATTAACGTGGATGATCTGTCTTAATCGAACTAGAGAAAAATTAATCGAAATACATGTAAATTAGCTCAAACACTCCTAATCAAATCAACAGTAATAAAAAGTTTTAAAAAAAAAACCGTTTTGGCGTGGCTCACAGCTGCTTACGCAGCCATCTGCTAAGGATTTATCACCAACTCTCCATGGCTTTTATGCGCCATTTCCAGGAAATGGTGAAAGATGCCAGGCTAGGATAGCTAGATGTTGTTCTAACAAGAATGATATACACACCAATTTTTTGCACAAGTTTTGTACATCACTTTAATACGAATCATTAAATTAGTAGGTCGCATTAAATTTATTGAATATTTGATTGTTAAGATTATGTAACATGAGATAGTATAGATGAAGTGGTGCACAATTCATTATTATTATTCTAAACATATATATATAATGATACTTTGTTGCATCAATGATGTAACAACATATATTCAGGAGTAACTCTTCCTGTATTTAACTCGATATTGTATTTCTATCAATATCTGTTATTAATTTTAAATTAGATTAGTGACCATAACACAATTACAAAATAAAAGAGAAGTCTACACATGGTATAATAGAGAGAGAGAGAGAGAGAGAGAGGTGTTTTTTGATGCTATAACAAGACTGTAGATTCTGAATCAAGCCTTTTTTTTCCACAAAGCAAGGGATTGTCTTGGCTTGCTTGTTCTTGTTCTTATCTATTTCCTAAAAAACCAAGGAATGTAAGATCAGCGTTGATCTCATCACCATATTTGTCAAAACTAGGATTCAACTTAAAGGTGGCAAACACTAATGATATTTAGAATTAAAATTTTTATTTTATCTATTGATATAATTATGTGATTTCATTCTAACTGTTGAATTAATACCAAATTCTAATATTTTACGGAATCTACAATTAATAAAAATATTATAATTAATTATATAAATAAATTATGTTAATAAATTAAGTTTAAATAACATTGTTACGAGGCAAATGATCATATAAGCCTAGAAAATAGCTAGAAGCAGAGTGGGCAATCTATGATTTGGTAAAATTATAATTGGAGGCCGGAGCTCTCAACTATGATCCTTGTCCTTTGCCTGTAGTTTTTTTTTTTTTACATTATCCCATTAACTATTAATTTGAACTGATTTCATATTACCCCAAAACCAATTGTCCACCATATTTTAGATTTAAAAAAAATGTACAAATGAATATTAAAAGGGTAAATTTCACTCACACCCCTGTACATAAGGCCTAAATACAAAAACACTCTTTGTCTTTTATGAAATTTCACTCACAGTCACAGTGAAAAACATAATAGTTGAAGGAAATTTGAGAACTAACAAACATTTATAGTTGGAGTTGAAATATGAGAATAGTAATAGTTAAGGGGAGTGGGAGCAATATGAACAATGTTATTTAGACATAATCTATTAATCTAATTCATCATCATCCTTAGATTGACTGTAGATTTTATCAATTATTGAAATTTGGTGTTAATCCCATTATTTGAATGAAACTGCATCATTACGTCAATAAATTATGTCAAATTTTTAAGATTATTCCGATATATTTATGAAAACTCTGAATGCCACTAGTGATTCGAAAGAGCAAATTTACAAGGGAAAAAAAACAATGTTGGAGTCACCCTATTATTACACACGACATGGAAGAACCAAAAACTGCACAATAATGATAAAAACTAAGCTCTATCAATGAAGCCAAACTCCATCTTCCTCTGGGTTTCTCCGTCCAAAAAGCCCTTTTTATAATCCCCTCTAAAAACCATATCCAAACCATCTCTCACCTTGTTGATTCATTTCATCCATGATATCCTCCTCATTCCAAGATTCTCAATGGGATCAAACCTCTGCTGTCTCCGGCACTCGGGTTCTGATCAAAAGTCAAAAGGGTCTAGCTCCGGTGATCAAAATGGTACTCCGGCCAGCCAGAAACAGTTGAACCCACAAGAGAATTTGACTCTAGAGCAGTGTCTCATGGCTTCACCAGGCTTGAAAAGGGTCTATCCATCTTCTCCTGATGTTCAACCAGGTTTAAAAGAAGATACCATTTTCTTTTTTTGCTGGTAGAAATAAAAGGGGTGGGGGTAAGGCCCTCGTTGGTGGAATCACCTTCTCCTAACTGCGTTCTTTACTATATAAATAGAATGGCCAACCACTTGGCTCTAACCTGGATTCTAAGATTCGTCTAAGATTCAAATCTCCAACGTTTTGGTGAAAAGTTCAGCTAGTACCCCACTAAACCATTCTCCTCGGTGGTGAAACCATTTGTCGAGATAAGAAAAGAATAAAAAAACAAAACGCAAATACACATGTATTTAAGCACATGGACTAAAATACCACCGATACTTTTACGTGTTCTAAACATAATGGGTACGTATCACCCATTCGAGTTGGATGGTGTTGAAGCTTTATAATCCTATCAAGTGTCTAATAAACTCATTCAGGGTTTATTGTGCTATTTTAACGGGTTTTTTTGTATCTAATCGATATGAAATTCTCACATATGATATCCCAACAGGTTTCTCTACGCCAAGAATCAGTTTCTCGTCTGATAGAACTGGGAAGATTGATGAGCATACAGAGTTCTTTACGCCGAGAATCAGTTTTTCGGGAGAGAGAGTAAGGAAGAATAATGAAGATGAGGATTCCAGTAGTTCAATTAATGGTGGAAGCCCAATTAGGAAGTCGAAAAAGAAGGTGAGCTTTAAGCTACCTGAAGTGGCTGATATTATCATATTTTACTCACCTGGGGAGTCATTTGAAGAGTAAAAATGATTTCTAACGCTTATTTCTGTGTATAAAAGGATTAATTAGTTTGATGCACAACACTTATATCATTTCAAAATTTGAAAAGCATTGAATGTATACAGTGTTATTATTTTCACCACTCGATAGAACAACCTCATAGGCTGTGCCAAGGTTTATCCCCATTGGATGAGGATCACCATATAAAAAAAAATTAATTTATATAAATTTTAACAAAGAAATAATACAAGTACATGCCTAAATCTATAGGGTAAATTTCATTGACACCCCTTCAAGACTTGCCTAAATAGGGACACCCATTATAATTTTTGAAATATCAAGTTTTTGTTAGTTTTGCACAGCGAATAATTAACACAAATAAATATTTGTTAGAAAATAGGAATTTAAAGATAGAAAAATAATAAAAATATGACACAAAAATATAATTTGGTTCGATAAAGCATACGAATTTTAGTATACTGTACCCATATCCACGGTCCAAAAACTTATATCGATGTATTATTCATTGAAAAACTGATTATCTGATAACTGATTACATAATATTCAACCTCATTTATAAGAATAAAATACTGTAACTCAAACTTATTTAGATATAACTTAATCTTTATGTTTTTTTATCACATTTTTAATATACCAATTCATGATATATTAAAACTTTTTCAATATAATCTTATTCCATATAAGATTCTATCAACAAATTCTTCTTCATAACAATTAGAGAGTTTGAGTCAAATTCCAATAAAGTTCATATGTAAATTTAGTTTGGCATTTAATTGATTCAATTAGTTTTAGTATGATGAAATTAATATTTAAATTAATAAAATTAGTTGTCAATTTGATAAAATAAAGTTCAATTTGATGTTATTTTTGATGAAATTAAATTCTAAATAAAATTCGATTTTGTGTAGGGTAATTGAGAAATTATAGGGAGTTAAAGGGTAAATAATAAGATTGAAGCCTTGAAGGGTAATTCACTAAAATTATAATCTATGTTTAGTCCTCCATAGGGCAGTAGTGATATTTTAGAAATTATAAGGAGTGTCCCTATAATCAGGCTAATCTCTCAGGGATGTTAGTGAAATTTAATCCAAATCTATATTGCTACACATTTTGGAAAGAACAAGTTAAGATAATTAAATTTAGACGTTCTGAGTTTTAATCTTGGTAATCTCTTGTGGCCAGACCATGAAGTTATTTGCTCTCGTGAATACCATAGTCACTGCATGGATAACCTGCCTTTGACTGGACTGAAAAAAGATTAGTCAAGGTGCGCGTAAGTTACTCCTAACACTTCTGACTATTAAAACTAAAAAAATAAATCTTTATCCCCACTTCATTCAACTCTATAACATCATACTACTAACTCCATCACATTCTATTGACACCCTCATTAGTAATTAATTGCACCGAATTTTATACTTATTCCATTAATCACTAAATTCACACTAATTTTTTAGGCTTTCTTTATTTGTCTCATCACACACAACCCACAAGAAATGCACCCCAACTTGGTTTCTTTCTCAGCATTAAAACAATATAAATTAACTTGTGTTTGGTTTATTTTGCATCTTTTATCTATTCCTAAAAATGATTAAAACTTACAAGGAATTGAATTACAACTATAATTAGTCAAACGCTATCCCATTGATCAAGTTGAAATGCTATTTAAAAAGTGATGGTACTCAAAATTACTTAGCCCAAGTGCAGAACAACAGTTGTGTAAGGCCCAATGGGGGTGGTGTGAATGTTTGGGTTAGTAAAGAAGTAAGCTGATGATGTTGGGTTGAAAACAAAATGTAAGTGGTTCACCCTAGTCAAAGGACTAAAGTTACATCTACAATAATGGAGACTCTTGATCCCTGAAATTTATATTGCTTGAAAAAAAAAATTACAGATAGTTTCTTGGCTTAGAGCTTTTGTATACAGTGTCTTGTGAATACAATTTTTTGGAATCCGCTTATACAGTACATTTGTATTCTATTTATACATGTAGTCATCTAGGATTTTCTGCAATTCTTTCTTTTCTTTGGCTGATTCTGTGGCTCCCTCTCCCTTTGTCCTGTAGTGGTGCTTGCCACCTTGACGCAAGTTGTGTCCACGATCCTTAAAAATATATGTACAAATATTCTCTTTATCAAGGTGTGCGTGTTCGTTAGAGGCTCCAAAAGTTGTTCTTTTGTCATCTGGACACGTGGCGTGACTAGAGATGCTCGGGATCTAACAAGTACCGAGCTCCCCATTCTCAGGCTGGTCTCTGCCGAACTTGATATGATCGAATAGACATATACTGATCTGGGCGTCATTGGACTCCCCTACTTAGGTTGTGGCCCATTGTGGCCCAATCCTATGGTGGAGCGAGCATGCTACGAATGAGTTGTTTGGACTTTCATTTAACTAGGGGGGTCATTAGGCGTTCTGGATTTTGGATGGGCGGCCCAAACTGAAATATATCATTATCAAAAAGTATTTAAAATAATTACTAAGAAATTATCTAATCTTTTTGTCATGTTCATCATTTGGGCCAGAGATAAAAGGAATAATCGCTTTCAAAAGCTAGAAAAGATTGAAAGCACAAGGAGAGGAAATTGGAGTGAAGTTGAAGTTGGGTGGTACAAGCTTTCTTCTTAACTTTCAAATTCATTATAATCCAAAAGCTTGGACCTTTTGGGTGGTGGGCTTTTGAGCTTGGAAATAGTATATGGCTGGAATAATCTTTGAGGTCACAGGATAACACATCAAAATCTTTGAGGTCATGTTCATCATTTGGGCCAGAGATAAAAGGAATAATCGATTTTAAAAGCAAGAAAAGATTCAAAGCACAAGGAAAGGAAATTGGAGTGAAGTTGAAGTTGGGTGGTACAAGCTTTCTTCTTAACTTTCAAATTCATCATGATCCAAAAGCTTAGACCTTTTGGGTGGTGGGCTTTTGAGCTTGGAAATAGTATAGGGTTGGAATAATCTTTGAGGTAACACATCAATTCTGAATATCTCAATTAAGCTTACTTTTAACAAATTACATTCAAATAATTATCAATTTTGTGTTGTATACCTATAATATTCAGATGAAAGAATAGTCAGATTGATTTATTGGTAAATTCAATATATTCACTTAATTAAATCGGTATGCAAATTGGATTTTGATCAAAATTCGATCTCTTTTGAGGATAATTGAGCAATTGTGGCTGGAAAAAATGAACCAAACTTAACTTAATTGGTACTCTTGAATTCTCTAGGAATAGCCTTGAGGCTCCAATTGACTGTCTTTAGAGAGAAAATATTATGTGCTGTTTAATACATGATAATAGCAACTAAATACCAATTTTTTTTTGGATTAATTACAATTTGTCCCCTCAAACTATGTTCCTTCTTGTAATCAGCTCCCTCTGATTTCAAATGACGTAGTTTGTCCCTCCAACTTTTAAGTACATTAGATTGACTAACAACAATGACGGAACACTTAAAAGAACCATTACATTATTTTTCATATTTTTTTTAACATATCAATTTTATCCCTCAAAAATAAGGGAGCAGAAAACTTAGATAAAAAATATATTTGTTCAGACCAACACCAAACCACTATACAAATACCATATTCACCCTCACTTTCGCCTCCGCCTCATCAACGTGAAGAAAGAATTTCTACTAAAAGAGGGAAGAGAATGAAAGTTAACATTTGAAGTCGGAAAGGATGGAAGAGCTACGAATTTGGTTGAGAAAGTATGGATATTTGGTAAAGGGAAAAAAATGGATGCAAGGATAATTATATTTTTTTAACAAAATAAGAACCACATGAATTTGACATATTTAATTTTTTTCAATTTTTATTGTCTAAAAAAAATAATTATTGGAGTTAATTATAAAATATTTAAATTTAAAAAAAAAAAATTGTTAAAATTAAAATCTGAAAGAATAAATTACAAACTAAGGGTACATTTGATAACGTTTTCGTTTTTATGTTTTTTTTATAAGAAAAATATAACTAAATTTTATTTTTTTTTGTGATAAAAATTAAAAATTTAAAACATATTTGGTAATATTTATATTTAAAAAATTGTGAAAACAAAAATAAAAAATATGTTTAGTATTATACCGAAAATTCATCACCAAACCCCACCACCCAAACCAACAACCTACTCTCACCACTGAAAACCACAATCACAAACACCCCACTGACCACCGAAAACCACCCACTGACCACCACCGAAAACCACCACCCAACCCCATCCCTAAAAACCACGCCCAAAAATTCACCCCCACCACCGAAATCCACCACCCCAATTTCCCAAAATCCACCACTCATTTATATATACACATAATATATATAGATTTAGGGCTTGAGAAGACAATTGAGATGGGGCGATGGCATGTTTCCCCTTTTTTTTGCTTCGACTTCGTCTTTGGCAGAGAGAGAGACAACTGAGAGGGGGTGATGGAGATGGCTTCGACTTCGTCTTTGGCATCGAGAGACAGAGAGAACTGAGAGGGACAATGTCAATAGAGATGACTTCTCTTCGTCTTCAGCCTCTGGTATCGAGAGAGAGAGAGAGAGAGAGAGAGAGAGAGAGAGCCGACTAAGAGGGGTGAAAGAGAGAGAGAGATATGAGTTTTTATTCTCGAAGCAAAAAAATTCATATTTTGTTGCTAAGGAGGATCGAAATATGAATTTTGATTAAAACAAACGCGCGATTATGTATATTTTGATTAAATTTTATTTTAATTAGATTAAAAACAGATCATTTATATTGAAATTAAATTATTCATAAAGGATAAATTCTGTATAATCTAATCTTACAAAATTATCATTAAGACTCAAATTTAGGACATTTAAATTTATAGTTCATTCGTGTTAACCAAAGGTATGTAGTAAATAGGTAACCTACCCAGTTGATCAAAATATCATCCAATCTATTATAATTCGTTTAAAGCATAAAAGATAAAGAGTTAAATTGTAAAATTTTAGTTTAAAGAACTAACTATTTAGCTAATTATTTTATTTTTAAACTAAACGACTCTTTACATTTAAAGAGCTTCTTTGCCCAACTATTTTACATTTGAAGAGTTAAATCACTCTTTTTGCACACCAAGAAATTAATTATTTTATATTGTGATAACGTGTCAAATTATAAAATATTTTTGACTTAAAATATTAATAGTAGTTAGTTATAATAGATAATATAATTAGAATAATTTTGTAAAAGTGATTATTTAAAAGGAAGAATATAATAATTTAATATATTTTTGCAGAGCATTCTTTAAAATGGCCTTATAAAATGAGTGGAAAATAGGTTAAATTTATTTTGCAAATAAATTATTTTAAACCAGTTAATAACCAATTCGTACGAAAAATTTTAAATAATTTGTAAAAAAGGTAAAGCTATGATATATCCCGTAATAAATATTTACACGTGTAAGACGCGATCCTAGAGAGAGAGTGTTGCACACCAAACAACGAGAGAGGGCATGTGGGTGGGGTGGCAACACTAACATGTCAAAAATCAGAGTGTCAAACCAACCAGTCCTCTGCCTCCGCTCCGGCCCTTTGTTTGTTTTATTAATTTGAAGGAAACTACCAGGAAAGAGAGGTTTCATTACTTTCCTTCCCCCCCCCCCCCCCCCCCCCTCCTCTTCCTCTCTCTCTCACTCTCTCTCTCTATAGAGAGACACCATAGGTAGTTGACCGTGAACCCAAAGATTGCCTTTTTCTTACTCAACACTTTATACCTTCCTTCCTCTACTTTACATCATTTTCACACACACACACACACAGATGGCTGGAGTGAAACTGTTCCTAGCCTTCTTGGTGGGTTTCTCAGTGACCATGGGAGGGACATGGGTTGATGCCCAAGTTCACCATGTGGTTGGGGGTGACAGTGGGTGGGGCCCATCGTCGGACCTTCTTTCTTGGTCCTCCGGTCGGGCCTTCAGGGTCGGTGACAAAATCTGTAAGAGCTCTCTCTCTCTCTCTGCACGTATATCCTTGTAAATATATTATGTTTAATTAGAAGGTTCGTGCATGGTTTCTTTGCTGAAAAATATATGTAAAATTGCTGAAACGTTTTAGCTGAAAAATTGCTGTAGTTAGTCATTTCTCGATTTTCACTGTATTTTAAATCGACAGGGAATATGAATATAGCGATGGGGGTATAGACTAAGATGGGTCTTTAATGGACATCCAATCTGTTGACATTGTACTGTATTTACTTAATCAATTATCATTTTTACCATTCAAAATAAAACAAATCCAATTTTATTGTATAATAGACTTATACTGTGTGCCCTGTCTTTTATGGGCGGAAAGAAAGGGAAGGGGAGGAAAATTATATAAGACGAAGAGTCGGAAGAAAATGGAGAGAAACTTTCAGAATGATTTTTCTCTCCGATTTCAAGGCCAAACATGATGATTTGGCTCGAATTTCGCACTAAAAATTTTTCTCCCGGAGAATATGGTAGACGAGTTCTAGGATTTTCTTTCCCTTATCAATGAAAATGTGAGGTTTATTTCTAATTTTCTTTAGGTTTCCTACATTTTCTCACCAACCAAACGCTTTTTTGCTTTGATACATTATCACTTTACTCTCGGGAAAACGATGTATGTTTTTAGTGTTATCTACTTGTCCTTTTTCTTTTTGGAGAAAGAAATGGCAATTTGGTAATATAATGGTTGGTGATGTATGTGGAGCAGGGTTCACCTACTCCGCAGCAGAGGAGAGCATCGTGGAGCTGAAAAGCATGGAGGAGTATCTGTCGTGCGATGTAACTAACCCTATCCGGATGTATACGGACGGCCTAGATATAGTTCCCCTTGATGGGGAAGGAATCCGCTACTTCGCGAGTGGGAACCTCGAGAGCTGCAAAAAGGGGTTGAAGCTACCCGTGGAGGTCAAGCCCATGGTGAAAAATGAAACTTCTGCAATGGCGTTGGCAGCTGGGCCGACCCCTTCTGGTTCGGCCCAAATGAGTGGGCTTCCTTGTCTGCTGTTTGTGGGCCTTTTCTTTTACTATGTGGGCCCGTAGAAGCAACTTTTATTGCCTCTTTCTTCTTCGGCCCAACTGAGTGGGCTTTCTTGTCTACTATTTGTGGGCCTGTAGAATCAACTTGTATTACCCAATATTTAATTCTTGTTTGCCTTTTCTTTTTTTCTTTTTTCTGTTGGTTGGGGGGGAGGGGAATCGTGGCTTATTGTGTTACCCAACATTTATGGTTTTTATTTTTGGTGAGGATTTATGGGTTTTTTTGTGGTGAGGATTTATGGTTTGACTGTATGCTGTACTGCATAATGGGTTTTTCTCCAAAACTATTTCTTGATGTAGCATCTACCAACTCTAATGTGTGTTTCTTTTAAGAGAACCGACTGCTAACTTTTTTGAGCTTTTCTGTACTTGAACACGATAGATTGATGATGGATTCTACTACTAATTAAGATTTGTTACTAATTTAAGAATTATGATTAGGGGTGTTAATTGTGTTTGTGTGTTTTCGTTTTATCTTATTTGTATTTATGTTTAGACTTATGAAAAAAAAATTATTTAGAGTTATGACTTATGAATTTTAAATATTAGTTTAGGTTATTTATTATGCATATTTAATAATTGTGTTATTTTTATAATCGTGGATGTTGAATTTGCATCAATGGGTTTTACTCCCCTAATTATGATGCATTAAGTCAACATATAACACTTAAATAACATTTTTTTATCCCTTTGAGGAAATTATTAGCCCGCTGGATTTAGACAGACTATCTCCCATTCCATGCACGGTCCTGTTCATGAGTAAATATACATTATTAATATAACTATTTAATAATAAGACAATAAAGTGAATAACAATCGGCACAATGTAATCGTTACACCTAGTATTTACTCTCCACCCGATCCAGTGTATTGAAGGAAACTACTGGTTAATGGACTCAATTTTGGAATCAGTAGCTAGGAGATAAGTGAGAGGACCATTCAGAGAGCTTTTAACTTCCCAGAAATGACATCCTTGCATGAACCCCAGAGGAAAAAATAGAAAGAGAATAAGTATACTAATGAGAAAAATATTTCTATCAATTCGTGATTCCATCAAACTGGCCCTGCAAGTAGCTACATAATTGCATACAAAAAAATGATAGCAAACTACACATCAACACAAACTGAGTAAGGACAACTTACTTGAAAATATGTGGGTAATTCATGGTACATAAAGATCATAAGAAAGCATGTTAACTGAACTTGAACATTTCATGTTCTCGTATTCTTTCTTTTCCAACCCCCCTTCTTTCTTTTTTCTCTTGTAGGAGGTAAAGAGGGACAAAGAGGATGGGGTGGTGCATCATGTTATGAAGACGCTCTTTACTACATTTAATATCCTTGATTTTCTGTGAGAAATAGAACTACTCTACTATTGCACATATCAGTTTCCTCAATCTCCAGCACTACGGTATTCCCATCACAAATGAACAGTTGAAATTTTCAAAAGCTCACTCACAACAACAGGCTCCAAAAGTTATTTCTCTCTCAAAACTACGAAGTTAGCCCCATTTGTCTTCTGTATCTTAGAAATCCTCCTCAATATAGCTGCAAATGCATCCTTGTCCTGCAGCAAGGAATTTATACGGTCAGATGATGAAAAGCCTACGCTAACCAACATTTTCTGACAACAAAAACGACCACACAATAATAATTTTTTTTTTCTCCTACCAAGACTAGAACAAGCAAGATGGCATTTTCTGTCTCCATTCAAGCAGAGAACGAGCAAGACTCTCCTCCCTCCCTCCCCATGTTGGCCAAGGGTGTGTACACACAAAATGCATAGAGGAACAATATTTAAAAAAGGAGGAAAACCACACTTCACATTAAAAACTAAACCTATTTCCCATCACTCATCAGTAAAACAGCGAATTTTCATGCCCTAAACTAACTAATTCAGCAATCACATCATGAAAAGCACAACTTTTCAAGTAGCTATATAATCATACAAAACCAAACATACTCCAAGCTGATTATAGTCATACATAGCAAGGCCTTTTGAGGATCTTTTTCAATGCACAGAATCCAAATAAAAGATGGATTTTGTAAGCACTAAAAAGGCCTTGATAAAAAAAATTAAGTGGCATACCTCTTTGGATTTAAGTCTGGATTTGAATTTAGAAACAAGATCCTGTGTGGTCACTGGTGTCTTCTGCATTAATACAGCCCTGATTTCATCTTCTGTAACGGATCCAGCGGTTGATGTCGATCCAGGTTTTGAAGATGATGATGACGACAATGCACCTTTCACAGGCACACTACTTTTTGAAGTAGCAGGTTCATCTTTCATTGGTTTTACTTCCTGAACCCAAAAACAATTAAACAAAATAAGCAAAACAGCAAGATTCAACGTAAATAATGTGAAGCTCAACTACAGGTAGCTTTTTAATTAAAAAAAACACTAATGCTATTGAGACATTATTTAGGGACATAATTTGAGGACATAATGCATTGTAACCTTTGGATTGATAGTGGAGTGCATTTAATGCTGGACCCACTGACAATCTAATAACCACAATCATTAGATCCACAAATTATGTCCCAATAGTGTTGCTCAAAAAAAAAAAATAGTCAACTTTGGAACTTCATGTAGAGCCATCCCTAAAATTCAATATTCTTAAAATTAAGTCAAGCATATTCATCACAAGCCTCAATGTACATTTTCTGTCTTCGCTTTTTTTGGAGGTGCACCATTAGTTACTTTTGCATCTTCGCCATTCACTTTTCTCTTTGCTTTTGATGATTTAGAAGTAGATGGGGTCCCACGAGCAGATCCTGAAGAAGCAGATTTTAAAGGACTGTTGTCAACAGGCTCTTCCTTAGGAGCATCCTTCTGCTTTGGAGCAAGTACAGGAGAAAGGCCAACTTCATCTTCTATCTAAACAAACCAAAATAAAGAACCCAATTATTGCAAGAATGCAAAGGGAAAAAGTAGCTGGTAAAATTGGAATAACAGCTAGGTTTGTAAATGGCCATCAAATTAGCCCATGTGCTTTCTAGGAGAGAGAGCAATCACATATTCCTCCTTGTGCATGGTTATTAAAGCATTACTTTGGGGACAATACAAAAAATTAAAAGGGCAGGCAGTTCACACATCTCTTTCCTCTCTCTGCCGTTCTAACGGTTTCAGGAGTGAAGATGCTATTCAAAAAGCAGTCAACACTATTAGAGATCTTATTATATATTATTAGTAGTGTAGGACTGTAGGTTAATAATGTAATTACTCATAATATCAGTTTATTATAAATAAGAGTGTAGGGAAAGATGGCCTACATGAGTCACAACAGATTATACCCTTTCCTCCTCTTCTTTTCTTACAAACCCTAATACTGCTTCTACAGTTTTAGTGAAAGAAATCCAATATAGGCATCCTGGAACTTACATCCTCGTCGTCGTCGTCATCCTCAGGATCCGAATCATCCAGCCCAGCAGCTTGCTTAAGCAACTTCTTCAACTCTTTCCCAGATTTGCTTAATCCTCCCTCCTCTTCCTCAGCTTCATCCTCATCCTCTTCATCCTGAAAACAGTTAGAAGACATCACATTATAAGATTGGAGATTCATGAGTTAAAAGAGCTCCAAATTACAAAGAAGCGACATGAATGTGCTATTAATAAGCAAATTCGCTATGGCACTACCAGCACCAGAGACATGACTGTGAAAATAGCACATATAATCTGTTGAGGATAGTTGCCAACCAACCTCAACAATAAAACAAGAATCAACAGGAAGAAATCGTGAATGTTATCTTACAATCTCTATAAAGAGACACCACAAAAGGAATTACATTTTAAGAACCAAAAGTAGTACTAGTCCCCACAATGGCTATTAGACTTGGAATTTAGAAAAGGACAATAATAAGAATCTCCAAGACCTTGCCCATGGATGGTACAGAGCAAAAAATTAAAAGAGTATTGATGCCCCTTTTAGATTGTACACAGCAGATCTACATTTATAAGAGTTCTCAGGCTTTATATGTTCATCATCATTTTTAGGATTTTATCTTTAGTAAGCCTAGGACTACAACCATCTCTGTGGGAAAAAATATTTAACCTCAATAAAGCAATTTTGCATCATTTAAATTATAAATATCTCTAGAAAATGGGAGAAAATGATTGAAATCCATACATATTCAACGACTCAGACCTAGAACTAGAGACCAGGTCAAAATTGACAGTAAAGTTGTGTCACAAAAGCCATTCACAAAGCTGAAGAGCTACCCAGTTGGCAACTCTTGAAGCTTTACCAACTACGGTGATAGAATTGTCTTTCTGATAAACAAGGATGGAAGCTAAAACATAAAAAAAAAAAAAAAAAAGGGATCGCACGAAGTGCAATCCATGTACAAGCAACTCCAAATTCTGAATAACTCAACATGCACCTTCATCTCAAGAATTGGGGGGCTTGGGCTTTTTGTGATGGTGTGGGGTGTGTGTTGGCAGGGGCTTTGGGGGAAGATAAAACAAAATTTTCCCCTTCCCAAACCTATGGGTGGAACCTGGAGACACAGGCCTTGCTCGAGCATGTAATCAAATCAAACAAATGCTATTGACCCCACCCATAATTTTTTTCCATGATTCAAAAGTGTTTACGAGATCAGAAAATCCAAATCACGTTCTAGTTCCTCAGTCGGTCAAGGAGGGGCCAATAAGCAAATATCAGTCTCACAAGGAGCTATAGGATGCTCCATTTGAGTAGGGAAATAGTTCATCCACAGGATAGGTTAAACCATGTGCAGGAAACCCATTCATTGATTGCTCTATACTTCACGTTCTAGATGAGATCATACTTGTTTTCAGTACAAAAAATTCTTGGGGACATATGTCCATGCTAGCTTACTAGTAAAGAAAATAACTTTCAAGTTTAAAAAGTTCTTTAAAGACACTGTACTTCTTAGTAGGTAATTACTCACTGAAAGATAATGACCAAATACTACTTGTTTATCTCATAGTCTACTTTTTAACTGCTATCTCTAGCCATCTTTTTTTCTTTTCAAAGACTTTTCCAACAGTTCGGCGGTCACAATAGCCCTGTGGTGTCGTTATCATATTTTTTTGCCCTCTGAGTAAAGTTCATGGCAATATATATAGAAGTTTTGGATCCCAAAGAATCTAATAACATGTTCCAAAGGTCTAAAGCTCCTTCATCACCCACTGGCTCAAATAAGTCAAAGGGAATAATGAAGTATTGTTTGGCATCATGACTATACGCAAGTTATACCAGTGCAAATACAACAAACCTGCTTTATTTCTGGTGGAGCAGGGATTTCTGGGGCCAAGTCTTCCCGTTCCTCAGGATCATTTCCAACAGCTTCATCATCATCAGTGAAAATTTCTTCATGTTCCCAATCATCACCTAGCAATAACCAAATGCAAATCATGACATCTTTGACAAAATGAGATGCAATACGAAATAACTAGCAATAACTCCATACCCATAGACATTCTGAAATACCAAAATCGAGTATTTATCGTGCAACATTTAAATTTAAAATAGAATATATTTTTTTCTGTAATTATGCAATTTGAAATTAAAGTGAACTGAGAGAACATAAAAGAGAGATAGGTTTGTATTAGTGGGGTTGTTTGACATTGGGTAGTGTGTTGGTTAAGTTGGTGTTTTTGAGCGAGAAAAAAATTTTACAATGAATTTTATACCATTGGATCAATCTTGACCGTTGTTAAGCTTTTATAAGTTGAGAATTCAACTTTCTAACTATAATATTAAATAGATAGAAAAAGAATGGCAAACAAATAAATTCTCGTATAAACAAGATGCATCATACAAACAAGGAAATTTTTACCCTTCTCAATTTCATCATCATCCAAATCAAGATCACCTCCTCTTGGACCTTCTTCATCATCATCACCACCACTTGTTTTGTTGAGACCAAGTCTATTTTTCCTTGCTGCCTCCTCTTCTTCATCTTCCTCTCCCCTGTCTGAGACATTGGCTTCATCATCATCACCAGTATTTTTTTTACGACCCCTACCACCACCTGCTCCACCTTCCTTGTCATCAAACTTTTCAACTTCACCAAATGCTGCTGGTCCATTATTTGCGGCTTTCATCATCCATCTCTGGTACCCATCTGCAGTTTTCCTTCTATTCTTCATCTTCTCTTCTGCTTCCTCCAGAGTAAGTTGCTTGTATTGTGCTACTTTGTTGAAATTGTACCTAAACAGCAAAGGCAATAAATTTGCATATTTAGAGCACAATGTAGGATTATGTGTGTGGCTGTAAATAATTTTCGCTACTCTCTCACAAACTACAATTGAAGAGATGATGACAACATGAGTTGTGTTTGTGTGTAAGCCACAAAAAGCAATGTCAAAGAACATAGGTCATATGTACCAAGAACCAGCAGGAATAGCAACAAATTCCTTGCCCTGTAGCATTAGGAGATAGTATGTTGCTGACTGGGCTCCCTCAAGCACACCCTGGTACTGAGACTGGCCTGTTTCATCCTCCAACAGCCAAGGTTTATTCTTGTACTTCTCCTACGCAATGCAATTACATGGTGATAAAACTGGGCAGCTAGCAAGTAACTAGATGGAATTTAACTGTCAAGGAATGCAAGATAGCTAATTAACTTGAGCCAAAGTAACCAATGTAAATCCAACTAAATATAAACCCTGGACCCCTGATTGAAAAATTCCATTGATTCATTGAAAAGAAGGCTCGTGATTTTATTAGTGAAAAGACTCTTAACTTCTATCCCCAGATTAGACAAGACCAGCAAGAGTTATTAAAGAACATCCAAAAGACGGTGTAGAAGAAACCCACCTCCAAATGAAACAAAAATCCAAGAACTTTGCGAAGCATAACCATATGCCATTTACCCTATCCTTTTAAGTATAGTCAAACAAAAGCCTTAAACTTTACCCTAAAAAAATTATATCCTATAAAATTCGTTTAAGGGAGGAAAACCCATTTATGCGTGTAAACACCAATAAAAAATAACATCTTAAAGTAGACTGATCTATCTTTATTATGTTTCAAACAGATGTCGATAATCTAGCAAGTGCAACAGAATGCAAATGTGTTTTAACTGCTTACAAATAGTAATAAGACCGAAAAAATGACCAAAGTTCTTCAATACTCAAAAACCAAAGATTTTCATAATGAAACGCCAGAGCCAGCACGTGTCTTACCAAATCTAAACAGAAATATTGAAGGGCTGATACAAAATTTCTTTTTATTTACTGAGAAGGAAGGTTAAGGATTTTGTTAGTTAAAAGGTTCAAAACATCTAACCACGAATCAGATAAGACCAAACACAAATCACTAAAATGCTGTGCAACATTGCTTTCCAGAAAAAATAAGTGCAGCATAAAATCTGAAATGATCAAACATCCAAGAACTTTAGACAACTCAGAGCCAAGGAAAAACATGAAAATTTTGCCTTACAAGTAGTGAAAAGGATACCAAAAGAGAAATAGTGTAAACAAATAATTCGTTGTCACAGTTGTGCCATAGACTGCCACCGATATCAGTAGCAAGCAAATACATCCAGAGCAATTATAAATCGCAGGATCCACAAGCCCCACAAATAAAGGATCTAAGAATTCTATATATGAATTATTATATGCATGTATGCAATGAACACAGAGAATACAGCTTCTCATCCTTGAATTTCAATAAAAAATAGGTCAATCTCATCCAGCAAATGGCAATACTATATACAAAACGGAAATTCAGAAATGAAAGAAGTGTAGGCAAAGAACAAGCAAGCTGAAAATTCCTTTAGAAGTGATAAAAGCACTACCCGCAAGGTATCTGTAACTTGGCGTCCCTGTAATCCTTCTTTTTGGAGTGCCCATTTGTTGTCCACATTCTTCTTTCTTGAAAAAGTTGGTAGGCCAGATACAAATCTACCTATGAAGTAATTCTTGTCACTGTTAGGGCATGCCCGAACATTATATTCCTACACAAAACAAACAGTAGTTCAGCTTTCAAAAACATGTATAATACTACCTCAAAAACTTAATAATAATCATGCTATGATTACAAATAAAAGGATCATATAGGAAACAGATGCCAGGATATGAACTGGTCCCATAGAGAAACCAACAGAGCACTTCAACATATTTTCCAGGAAGGAAAAAATCAGAGATTTTTGTTTTTCTCAATTTTTAACAATTTTGCCTCTTTGCAGGTCGGCTGTTAGCGACATTTGTAGTCAGTTTGTAGCTGGGAAATGTCTAAAGTTCCTATTTCCCAAGAATGAAAATTGTTTCAACTTTCAGTAGTGGAATAAAACAAGAACAATTGTATGCTCCACACTCTAATGTGGGGTACAATAGGGGTACACTAACGTTCATTATGTAGTTGGAATGCTTGAGATGTCTCCAAATGCAATAATATTATTCTTCAACTCAAATATTTTAACATTGCTTATTTTTTATTTTTTTTGAATTGTAACATTGCTTATTAAAGACACAAATTTCCTATTTGATTTAAAAAATGTACAATAATGACAATGCAATGACATAGAACTTATTGAATCTCATATAAGTTATGGTATTACTGTTCCACGGATATTTGCTTAATCTATTTCCTTTTCTTGCGAAACTATGCCATTAAATTCAGTTCTTTTGCATTCAACTTCTTTTAAAGAAAAAAACTACTGGAAGATATAAGGAAATAAATCCAGAATTCATTGATCAGGTGTTCAGTATTTTAATCTTGAAACTTGAGTATTTTCAGTATTTGGGTCCAAACCCGAGCAACAAAACCATCCTACCACCCTCCTTTAGGGTGCTCGTTGGACATTACATTATAAATACCCTAAAAAAAAAGGTCGTTTGGCACATTTTAGTGGGTTCTGACAGTACTGTGGATAGGAACAGAACCATTATTTTGCACAAATAAATTCAAACTTAAAAAACAAGACCAACCTCGTTCAGAGACGATAAGTGGAAAGCACAAAATGTTCTGTTACATCAAAGGGTTTTGTTTTCCTTGTTCATAGCCAATATGCTCTGTCACCCTTGCTACAATGAAAGTTCCAACCTAAGTTCTACCTTCAAATAATTGTGTAATTCTGGACTCTTAGTTGTGAGTGCAAAAGTGTTATTATCTTAAAAAAATGTATACTTTGCCACATTTGAAAATAAAAGGGTTATAACCCTGTAAGGTTCTTCACATAAATTTGTATGTTCTCACACTCAATTTGATCCTTCTATATGCTTACTAACTACTTGTGATCTCATTTCTTCTATATTAACTTACATATAATGAGCTAGTAGAATAATCCAACAAACACACACAACTCAAGCTCATACACCATCTACTCCACAATGAGCAATTGCCAAAAAAAAAAAAAGAGAGAGAAAATACACAACTACAGATACATATGCCTCTATGTGTGAATGTATGCACGTATAATCTTTCATGTTATGAAGGAGGATGGAAAAAGAACCCGAATCAATTTAGTGATGGTGGCGCCGCACTCGTAGCAAGTGGCGTGGTTCTGGGCCATGGTTTTGCCACATGAAACACAGAGAGTCAAATGCTTGCAAGTGCTACCGTACAGTTCCTCAGTCGATCCACAGCCGCTACAAAACGGCTTCAATAGTAAATCAATCGACATGCTCTCTCTGCAACGCATGCAATTATGAAAATTGGAAAATTAGGTTTTCGATTAGAAACCAAACGATAAGAGATTCACAGTTGTGTACACAGAATTCAAAAACCTTTTGTTTTAAGTACCATAGTAGCTTAGTACAACTAGACCTCCATAAAACCGTAAATCACTCCAAAAGTACCAGAAAAGGCATCACATATGCAAACACATAGTTCGCGAGACATACAACTGCAACAATAGCCCCAAATAGATCCTCCGATTCGAATTCTGGTAATCTAATGCGGTTTTTGGAAATTTTGATGAATTTTTACCAGAGTCGAATTGCTTGTATGTTTGAATTACAGTTTTAAATTACACCAATTTGTTTGAAATTTCTGAAATCTGATCCTGGTTTAGTAGGGTTAGGATAATTGTGGGTTTGACAGAACCCATATTCGTATAAGAATTACCTCAATTTTTCGTTAGGTTGAAACGTTGGAGAAGATCTCCGCTGAAATCGATGAAAAATACTCGGAAAAATAGGGAAGACCGGGAGAGATGCGACGTAGCTCGCTTTTGCTTTTCGCTTGTTTGTGCAAAACGGGTGGGACAGTTGGGGTAAAATACAGCATAATAAACTTGGGGTAAAATACAGCATAATAAACTTGGGGCAAAATTCCCTATGACTTTCGTCTATGTAGTATGCATTAAATGCATCTTGTCTCCTTGTGATTTTAAAATATTCCAATAACCCTCATGGTTTGTGGATTAAAAGTTTAAAATACACGGTTAATAATTCCATCTTGCTTAATTAAAATTGGACTACACAACTCATTTTTTGATGGCAAAAATATCCTTGAATTTTTTGTGAAATTATAAAATACTTTGCTTCGTTTCATTTTCGTCTTCGTCTTCGTCTTTATCCTTCTCTCTTTTTTCAATGTGTATTTGGTGATGATAGTAGGTTGGGGCGAGGGTGGGGGAATAGTCACCATATCCGTACCTGCTTCCAAAATATTCATCCATCCTCAAAATTTTAATTTACATTGTTGTCTCATGGGTAAATTTTGATCTCTGCCCCTACCCATAACAATTAATTTATATAATTTAAAAAAATATATAAAACCTCACAAATAGATTTACAAGAATAATGAAAACTTATTATATAACAAATGGATCAAACATAAAAGCTCATAAAAATAAATATAAATGTGTGTTTTATTTAATTATTTTATTTATATATATATATATATATATATACTAGTAATTATTCATACTTGAAGGCACGAAGTAATAAAAAATTAAATTAAATCTTGAAGAATACTATTGTGCTTAATGGGACTTTGTAACCTAAAATAAACCGTCAATTTAAAATAACTTTTACATTATTTACTTTAATTAATAAATTAAAATCAAATCTAGTCCCTACTAATTTTTCAAAAGAATCAGAAAAAACTTTTACAATCATACATAACAATTATAATAATGTCTCGTACCACCACAATTCAATTCTATTTCCACCACAATCATCATACATCACAACTCAATTCCATACTCAACCATTAAATTCACATCAAAATCAAACATATCCTCATAACCATGTGTAATTAGTTTGTTGTACTATATACTGAACAAACAAAACACATGTAAACTACACACACGTGCACAAAAGACAAAAAATTTTCTTCAACATCATCTTTTTTGAAGTTAAGAATTATCACCACACAAATGTTTGATTGGAGTGACTTTAACCCATATATAACATCACTATATAATTCCAAAAAAGTGAACATTGATCTTGAACATAATGAAAAAAGAAAAATAAATACTATACATCATCATTGATTCTCAATCTAATTGGTCAATCGTAAACACCAATGAGAGTATGTACAAATTTAAGTGTGAGTAGTAGCGTTTAAGTATTTCTAAGTTTTAACTAATTCAATGAAGGTTGTGTCTTATTATTACAAATAGCGATAACCTATATCTAAAGATATCATACAATTCATAAAAAAAAAATCAATATTGATTGTGGACTAAAAAAAAATCAAACATTGAACATGAACACGAACTAAGCTGAAAACTTAAATTGTATCTTTAACACACCCACACTTTGCATACATACTCAATCAAGTATTACCAATATGAATATTCTCGTAAAAGCATTATGCTGAATAAAAAAATAGGCAATATTTAATCAAAACATTTTTTGTTCTTTTACATAATTTTCACAAAGTTTGAAAAAGTTTTCCTAAAAATAGGATCTTAAGAAATATTGACAACCTATAAAATGCTAATTACACATGTTGTGTGAGTGTGTGTGCATTGAGTGTTGTGTTTCACTTAATTATATATGTAAGAGTATATTGAAGCAAAATAACCAATTTTTTCACACTTAAAACATTTAATAGACTTCGTGTCTTTTTCTTTGAAGACTTTGGTGGAGTGGATAGAGTTGCTTTCATGATTCTTTTTATGAAAAAATTGATTTGAATTATTTGTCATAGAGTCATTGTCTGAAATTGCTAGTTTAACAGGGTAGGGAGGGACAAAGATAAGTTTTAGTTCATCCCAGCACTAATTTATATGAGTATTATTGTATACGTCAATCGTCTAATGCGTATGGAACATCCCTAATTCAAAACGGAACAAGTTTAAACGAATACCTATTTTCTTGCGATCCATTGTCATCCTTATGTGTATCCTGTCTCTCTCTCCCAAAGAGGGTGGGAATAGGAAAGGAGAAGGGAGGAGGGCAAACGTTAGAAATAATGGGTTAGATATGAATATTTATTGGCAAGAAAGTGAAAATTTAGGAGCCATTTCGTCAATCGAATTAGTTTGGCATGAATCTAAATGTCTTTATTATTTTAAACGTTTGGCAATTAAAAAATAGTTTTATTTATTTGTTTGCAAAATTAATAAATAGAATAAAATATTACTCTAGTTTATAAATAAGTAAAACATTACTCAAGTTCGACTTATTTATGAACTATAATTTAATTCGTTTTATGAATGACTAAATTTGAATAAATTTCACTGCTAAAATATTCATGTACAAATATATTTAATTACAGTTGAATCAAAACTTATTCGTAACTCATGAACACTAGAAAAAGGAAATCGCAATGGTAACATGGAGGTCGTATTTAGTATATGGGTTTGTATTAAATTTAGAGATTAGATTTACAAAAAATAGAACTCATGGACACTAGAAAAAGGAAATCGCAATGGTAACGTGGAGGTCGTATTTGGTATATGGGTTTGTATTAAATTTAGAGATTAGATTTACGAAAAATAGTTCAATAAACCTTAAAATTCAATGTTTGGCTAGAGATTATGGCCCTATTTTCAAATACACTGGTTGGGTGACTTTTTAGTGTCGTCTAGTTGGATACAATGGTTAAAATTTGTTAATACTTATAATTAATCGTCGGCCTCACAACTATTTTTTGTCTTAACATATAGGTTTAAATGCAATTCATTAAAAAAAAAAATTAATCCAAAGAGGGCGGAGGGTAGATACTCTTGAACCCAAAAAGTTCGTTTGGTAGACGTATTATGAGGGAATTAAATATTGAATTGTACCATTTTTATTTAATCGGATCTAATATTTTGTTTAATAAGTAAATTTGATATCATATTAATTAAAAAATATATATTATTCACATACTTATCGTATATTTTTTATACGTTAGACCTGTATTGTGGAGGTATTTTAATACTATCAAAAGATATGGTATTATAATCCAACTTAAATGTATTATTTTACACATTTATCATTATAACCCTCAACTGATAAAATCAAATTGTTATCAATGTAACAAACACTGATTTTAGGTATTTTTGTTAATTTAATATTAATACAATAAAGTAATTCATTAGCCAAATAATCGATTGAATTAAATAATTATTATCCAATATTTATGTGGTATATTATCAAATAATAGATAAAATTACGTATTACTCTAATAATCTATTTAATTTTGTCTTTTATTTTTTTATATTATATTAAATCAAATTATTTTATTAAATGTATTCATTTCTAATACTAACACCCAAACAAACCCAAAAAGAAGATTACCAGTAGCCAGAAACCTCGTGCCACGCCAAGTATTCTCGTTTCAATTGATACCAGAAGTCCAGTAAAAAAAAAGAAAAAGAAAAAGAAAAGAAAACGATTACAGTCGCTCGTTACACCAACCAACCCCTACAAATACTCCCATCAGCCTCTCAATCTCCACCTCTCTCTCTCTCTCTCTCAAAGGATCACTCTACAGTTTTGACTTCACTGGAGCTCGGCGACGATGGGGTTGAAGTCGTTTGTCGAAGTCCTTCCGGATTCTCACTTCCCTATTGAGAACCTCCCCTACGGTGTGTTTAAGCCAGAACCGGGTTCGAAGGCTAGACCGGGCGTGGCAATCGGAGACTACGTTTTGGATCTTTCGGTTATTGCCTCGGCCGGTCTTTTCGACGGTCCGATTCTCTGCAATTCCGATTGCTTCGATCAGGTTCGTTGGATATTTCATCAGTTACTTCATAGTTGAGTCCGTGTATCAGTCAATGATTCTTGTTTTTATCCGAAAGTTGAAACTTCCATATATGTGAAATTTAGAGTTTTTTTTTTTTTTTGTTTAATTTAGCTTACTCTTGCAGTTGTGTTGATTCGATTCTATTACAAAAATCAGTTAGCACTTTGTTTGGTTGCGTAGAAACTTCAAAAAATAGAAGGATAATTGAAACTGAAATTTGAAATTCAGTGTGCGTTTTGCGGGTTTTGTGTTATGTGCATATTTTTAAAATATTTTTTTATGTAATCTAGGAGTTGGTTATTGGAAGATTATTAGTGAGTAGTTAGGGATTGAGTATTTTGTGGGTAGTTTTCTACGTGAATAGGTGATAGTGGAGACCTGGGTTATGTTAGTTATTAAGGTGGTTTTTACCAACTTGTATTTAAAGGGTTTTCTGTCAATGAAAATGTTATGTGGAATATTGTATTTAACTTTTTTGTGGAAGTTTTGGAGGTTTGGTTCTTTCTCGAATTGAACCATTGAGCTTTTTAACCTACTCAGAAGTGGGTTTTCTTTCCCTATTCTATTTTTTGCTTTATATATATATTTTTAAAAGGGTGCAGGTAACATTTTCTAACCCAATTTATCAGTTAAGTATCAGATTAGCAAGCAAATAAGCATGATAAAGAATGTTGTGATAACCTATTCATCAAGAGCGAGCTTGCTATGGAGGTTTGAAACTATTTGGATCGCCTTTTCAATAATATCAGATCCTTCCAAACGGGACGGTTTAACAGATCTCACATGAAATCCCAAGTTGGCTACATCACGACTATGCTTCCTATTTTTGCAGTTTGGGAACTCTGGAAGGAAGGCAATCACAGGACATTCGAAAACGAAATGTCTCAACGTTTTTCTGGTTGCTTAGAAACTGGAGGAACATAAAAGAAAAGAAGAGTTGAAAGCTTTGATTTGTATTGGTTTTATCATGGGAAAATACTTCAACAGTAGTTTTTTGCCTATGTTTTCATGGAAAAACCTTTAGCTTGTTCCTGTTGATCTTTCTACCGTGTTTTCATTATTAAAACCTTGCATTCTTAACCATGATACCAACAAGACAACAATAACAATGATTTCTATGTTGTGTTTGGAAGCATGAAATCATGCCTTGATATTGGAAACAGAGGAATATTTTACTTAATTAGTTTTATCTAAATTAAGTTTGAATTAATATGCCACTCAAAGCCATAATTTCACTCTACCGAACACAGATTTAGCATTTGGGACTCTGTAACTCTGATTATTAAAAAAGTTTTTGAGAATATATACCATACATTTTAATAACATGGCTTGCAAATTTTATGTGTTTCATACACACCACACAAGCAGAAGTTTGTACTTGCTTTATTGTAATTATGATCTGGGGGCACAATTGAGGATTATGATAATTGCTTCCAATAACGTATTGTTTTGATGACAGCCTAATCTTAATAAGTTCCTGGAATTGGGAAGGCCTGCATGGAAGGAAGCTCGTGCCACATTGCAAAAGCTGTTGTCACGTACGCTCATTCTATCTCTCAGTGAATTGTTAGACACCTTATGATTTCTATTTCTAATTATGGTTTGTAAAGTTAAAGTTACCAGCCATAGTGATAGACGAATTCATATATGATTCTGAAGTCATTGAAATCAACAGAGGAGTGACTCAGCTCAATGAGCAAAAAAGAAGATTTATACTTTTTGATATTTTCTAACGCAGCCACTGAGCCAGCATTGCGTGACAATGCCAGTTTGAGGCAGAAAGCACTTGTACCTGTGGTAAGACATTTGTGCAGTAGTTGATGTGGGATTGGCTTCTATATATGTTAGCATTCTAACGCCTTGTGGCTGGTGCATCAGGACAAGGCACAAATGCTTCTTCCTATTGCAATAGGGGATTACACGGATTTTTTTGCATCCATGCATCATGCTAAGAATTGTGGGACCATATTTCGAGGGCCACAGAACCCAATCAACCCTAACTGGTATGCCGCTTTTGTAATTATGGCAAATTCAGCAATGATTGGCAGAATCAACACTGTTGATCTCTTCCTTTTTTTATTTTTTATTTTTCAGCTTATTACATAGGAATTTCAATGACTTTTCAGGTTCCACCTTCCTATTGCATATCATGGACGAGCATCATCTATTGTAATTTCTGGCACTGACATTGTTAGACCAAGGTGCTAAAATAAAAATTGTATTTAAAGATTTCAATTATATGTTTCTCTCCTTGTTCAAAATATGGAAAATGTACACGAAGTGTTGAATTGAATTGCAAAGGAATCGATCTGAGCTTCATCATATACTTCAAACTTTTTTGGGATAAATACTGCATACATCTAACCCAAGGATGAAAATCTTATTTTTTCCCATTCTTACCTAATATGCAAATGTGTTCTTTATTGGGATGTCGATATGAGACTTCATTCTCAGGTAATCATACCTATCTAGATATCTCATGGTTTTTGCTATCCTTGCAGAGGTCAAAGTTATCCAACTGGTAACTCTCCACCATATTTTGGACCTTCTCAAAAGCTGGATTTCGAGCTAGAAATGGTTAGCTTTTGTAGCATTTGTTCTTGGATGATCTGTAACTTCTACTATCCAAATGCTACAAATGTTTTGGTGCAGTGGTTGGGGTACAATACATGGGATCGTTCTCTCTTTATTCAATTGCATTTATTGTTTCCTGTGGAATAATATAAGGCTGATAATTGTGTGTCGCATCTTTCTCTCTTGCATGTCACCTCTGACTTGCAGTGCAGCTTGATGACTAAGTCTATTTTTCACCCTGTGTTCGTTTCTTTATTGCCTGAAGGCTGCTATAGTTGGTCCTGGAAATGAATTAGGAAAGCCTGTGGATGTTAATGAGGCTGCAGATCATATCTTTGGGCTTGTGCTAATGAATGACTGGAGCGGTACGTATAATATTATATTCCTCAATGCCAAATTCCTCATCATTTTCACTTTGGATGCCGTGCTGATTAGAAGCTGGTTTTGGCAGCTAGAGATATTCAGGCATGGGAGTATGTTCCTCTTGGGCCTTTTCTTGGGAAAAGTTTTGGTAAGAACTATTGGTGTTTTGTTCTGATTGATTGAGTTATATTCAACAAAGCTTGCCTCTCCCAGGAAAGACAATTATATACTGCAAAGCTAGAGACCAGTGAACAATTAAACTGTCAGAGTCAGACTTCTGTTGGTTGTATTTGTACTCTACTTTCTTGTTAATTTTCACAATCTTGGGAATGGTAGCAAGACCTGATTTCTTGTTTTGGTCCTTCCAGGTACAACCTTATCCCCTTGGATCGTGACTTTAGATGCCCTGGAGCCATTTGCTTGTGATGGTCCCAAGCAGGTGGTAGTGTGTCCTTTCTATTGTTTCAGAGTATAAAGTATCTGGTGTTCATGATTTGCCATCTGCCATCATATAATCATGTGAAATTTATCCTCACCAAAAAAAAATAAAAAAATCTTCTAGTGCTAGCATTGCTCACTCATGTATACCATAAATTGCAGGACCCTCATCCACTGCCATATCTCGCGGAAAAGATACATGTAAACTATGACATTTCCTTGGAGGTATAATTTATCAGTCTTTCTTTTCAACTATACTGGGGGAAAACATTTCCCTTACTACCATTGTTTCGATAATCTGCAGTGATTTGAACCTGTCAAATTTAAACACACATTTATAAGTTACTGTAGAACTTCAACATAGTAGTGAAACTCTCTTCTTGCTGCAAGGTTCGGATCAGTCCTACTGGAGAAGAACATTCTCATGTCGTCACGAGGAGTAACTTTAAGCACTTGTAAGGAGTTTAATTTTTCAGTAAATCAATTTCATGTAGTACCTTCAAAAGAGAGTTGTTCCTTTCAATTATTGACTCTGTTTTCATTGGCCCAAAGAAAATTACTTAGGCTTATGATTAGATCTAAATCAGCTTCACCAGGGATAGGTGATATGGGGTTACTTTAAAGGCATTACTTGCATTTATTTTTTACTACATAGTCACATATTCCCCGGAATATCTCAAGCTATTAATGCTGATAGTTTAGTGGTTACAACTCGTACATCAAATTTCTGAGTACACGCCTGACTAGTGAATTATTTCAAATACGTGCATACATACCTTCTGAGATATGAGTGCCTATGTATGTGACGCTAAACTCGAGTATTGAAATGGGCAGCGGTGATGAATTGAAGGAAGCAATCTCTGTTGTCATACTTGCCTCGTATTTTTTGTTTGCTGCTTCTTTGTGCTGTCTACTGACTCAACTCTCTTTATTTATGGTATAGATATTGGACCGTGACTCAACAACTTGCACACCATACCATCAACGGTTGTAACTTGAGGCCAGGCGATCTCCTTGGGACTGGGACAATCAGTGGGCCTGTAAGATTTTGCTATGTTTGTTTATTGTATTGTAACATTAGTCTATAGTGCTTTAGTTCTTCCTGGTATCTAATTGTGTAAAGCTAAACTAGAGGCGAACTGTGTTTGATTATTAACAGGAGCCAGAATCTTACGGATGCTTGCTAGAATTAGCATGGAACGGCCAAAAACCACTATCTTTGGGTGGAACAACCCGTAAATTTTTGGAAGATGGAGATGAAGTCATTTTTACCGGTTGTTGCAAGGTTCTTTATTGCATTGCTTCCTCCTCTCCTATTCTATTTAGCATGTTGCTGTGGTATTGTGAAGTTATTTTTACCCAAGGGACTTGTGCATCCATAGAGTCATTATTTGATATAATCTTCCAATCTAGAGCATGTATTGGCATGTTCATTCATGATTTTCCCAAGTCCTAAAGAGAAAGTATTAGGAGAAGATTTCTGTAGCCTCTCTTGTGACGTGTTCATGACTTTAATAGATAAGTAAACCAACTTCATCGTTCATGAAGTGTTGATGAAAAGTTATGTACATCTTATAAATCCTTATTCATACTAATTGCAATACCAAATTTGCTGTTTTGTTTTTTTATACGAGAAAGAAACCACATGCTCAGTGGTTGGTTTTCTTATGCAATGAGAACACTCGCTTTTTCTGCAGTTTCATGTTGTTTTTGTCCTTTTTGTTATTCATATGCTAACTCCCATTTAACCACGTACTTGCATAATCTCTTGTTGAAACTTAAGTAACAGCCTATAAATCTGTCATCAATTCCTCCTGTCTTTGATGTGCTTCATGTACTTACAATAGCTCGTGTTGAAACTTAAGCCCCCCCACTATAAATTGGTCATCAATTGTGCTGTCTTTTATTGCATAGTTGTGTATTTAAAGTTCACAAGCCACATTATTAAGCACGTTGAATTGGATAACAAATTTTGCTACTTGTTTCTGGGGACGTTACACCACATGCCTTCTCTTTTGTTTTCACCTGTGTCGTCTTTGTGAACTTCACACTCACATGTTACATCAAATAGCCTAGTGTTGATGTCATTTTATTCCTGAAACTAGCATTGACTGTTCACTTAATGTTTGAGTTCATTCACAGGGGAACGGTTACAATGTGGGATTTGGGACGTGCTCTGGGAAGATTCTTCCATCACCACCCTGAGAAAGATGTTTTTCCTGCTGATCCGAAAAAGCCAGTACTTGTCCTGACCTCAATGGCGGTTCTCATTTCGTGGATGATGTACCGTGGAGGGTGTCGTCGTTCTTTTGTAATGTTAATCATTCTCATTGGATTTGGAAACTAGGTTTTCTCGTTAATTGGTGGTTAATGCAGGTTCCTACTGTCTAATAAGAATCTCATGTTGGGATTACTTGAACCCATTAGTTGATCCAACTTGTGCATGTGTTCTGCATAAGATTGATTGCATGTGCTCACAAGCAGATAAAAAAGATCCTCTTTATTTAATGGGCATAATTGACCGTCACGGCCCTGTCACGAGAAAATAACTATCTATTTATATCATGTAATAACTATCTTATGTGAAATTTATTTGTCTACACGTTACTTTGTTATTGGATGGTTAAACTATGCTAGCATAATGAAATGATGTATCGATTATACCCAATGTTTTTTCCCTTTTAACACCTTGACACTCTAATATAAACTAATCAATGGTTTTTTTTTTTTTTTTGGTATTATAGGATCGCTCCAACCATTTGTCCTTTATGCTTGTGATTATAATGTAAGTATTGGGTTTTACGTAATCATCTACATGTCATGTCTATCGGTCAATAGTGTACACTATATTGGATCATTAAAAGTTGAATGAATATACATGAAGGGGTTTAGGATATGAAGTTGTTGCCATTGTTGGATTTCGGTCAGTTGAAATGTATGCATTTCATCATTGTCTTCTTGTTTATGTTATAATAAAACAATTTTAATGCTGTGCGACCCCTTTTTGCGTATATATGTAGAGCTGTTAATTAAATTGAGTTACATGAATTTGACTTGAGTTCGGTTCGGGTTTGACTTATTTAGGTTCAGGTTTTGTTTGTTCAGGTTCAGTTTGTTTTCTAAACGAATTCGAACTTGAACAAGTTTTTAAGTTCGTTTAGAAAATAAGTCTTACAAACTCAGTTCTAATTCGACAGACTTGATTGTTTATGTGTAAATATTCGGACTCGGCTCGGGCTTGACTGACCTTTGGCTCGTTTAGGCTCGGCTCGTTTTTTAAACGAGTCAAATTTAAATAATTTTTTAGGTTCAATTAAGAAATAAACTTTTCAAATTAAGGTCGAACTTAGCTAAGGCTTGTTCGACTAGCAACCCTATATATGTATATATAGTGAAAAAAAGAATTCGGATGGACATTGGTATTATCTAAAATTTTAGTCATGTTGAGTGATATTATTTACAAATTTTGGTGTTCATATTGGATATTATTTGAAATTCTAGTTATTTTTGGGTCATGTTAGTTTTGGTACGTGTTGTATTCGTGTTAATAAAAAATAATTTAATTCTTTAATAATTCATATATGATACTATTTAAAGAAATTATAAAATAACTATTTTTTTGTTTATACTCGTGTTTAATTTTAATTCTTATTCATGTCTAATTTTAATTCAAGTGATTTATTATTCATAATTGAATTTGAGCGGATTGCACATTGCATCTTAAAATATTTTAATATTTTTATTTTGTCTTTTAAAGATTAAATTTTTTATATTATATTTTTCATATATCAAAAGTGTTATAATGTGACTCTTTTGTTATTTTTTTTATCAGTGCTAATAAATTAACTTTTGATAAAAAAATAAAAAAATAATTACATTATAATATTTTTAATATATTGAGAGCGTAATTATTGGATCGGGTTGGTTTGGCGGTTGATGTCACCCTATCTGGAACACTGCTCACGAAATAAACCGAGTCAGATGTCGGTGGGAAAACATTTTCTAATTGTCTTAAACTGCGCACTAAACGCCCAAAATAATCCCAATTGCCTTTAAAAACAAAAACAAAGAAAACGACGCGCCTACTAATTCCAAACTACACGGTTCAGGCTCGTCCAAGTCCCCACTATCAAGAGAAACGGTGCGCAATTTACACCCTGAAACGAACTTCCGTCTCTGTAACCTGCACCATAACAGCCATGGACTCACAGTGGAGAGAGAAAAAACTATACCCAGCTCTGGGCATTCTCACCATTCTCTTTCTTCTTTACCTCAACTTCAGTGACCACCTCAACTTTTCTTTTCCTATCGTTTTGTGGCTGCCCAGGATGAGTTTTGTCGGGGTCAACCACACCAGATTCGTGCTCTTGGATGACAATAAAGAGATATTGAAGGATTTTTATGTTAATGGGTGGAATTCGTATTGGTTAATGGAGGAGAGCGTGTGGGGTCCATCGAGGAAGAGGGTGAAGGAGATGATGAAGAGAGGGGATGAAATGGGGTTGAGTGTTTGCAGGACTTGGGCTTTCAGTGATGGTGATGGGCCCAATGCTCTGCAGAGTTCACCTGGTGTCTTCAATGAGAGGGTCTTTCGGGTGTGTCATTGGCTCATTTCTCATGCTATGAGCCTAATTTTTCTGTGTCTGTCAATGTTTTCTTGACACTCAGTTTGATTATGCACATAAATGTTCATTTTGCAATTTGGGTTTGTTAAGTTTGACTGTATAATTGGTGACTATGGAAAGCCATGGTTGTGTTTGTTTTGAAGGAAAATTGGTTTCTTGCAAAAATTTCTAGTCAAGACCGAAAAAATGAAAAGGATGTGCACAAAGACATCCACCTATAGCAAGTCTGTGAGAACTAACTGGTAGGCAGCCTCATCTCAGAATGGAGAGATTGATTACTTGACTTGAACCACTGAGTACCCATGGGTGGATGAGGAAACAAATAAAAAGAAAAAACCAAAAATTTTCTACTGAATAAAATATGTTTTCGTGGGTGGATATGTAGCACTGAATTCATGGAATATCAATTCTTAGAATTTACATTAGTTTGTTGTTTGGAATACTTTGGAGATGCAGTATTAAGCAGTTTGTCTAAGGGATATTTTAAAACAAATAACAAGTTGCTTGTTTTCTTATTGTTTCTGATCTAATTTCATTGATTGATTCTTTGATTTCAGGGGTTAGATTATGTAATAGTTGAAGCGCGGAAACATAGGATAAGATTAATCTTTAGTCTTGTAAATAATCTGAATGCATTTGGTGGGAAATCTCAGTATGTGAGGTGGGCAAAAGAAGCCGGTTTCAATGTCTCTTCCTCGAGTGATTCATTTTTTTCACACCCTATTATCAAAGATTACTACAAGGCGTATGTCAAGGTATGTTGAAACCACTCTATGGAACTACTAATTCCTTATGTTTTTGCAAAGAAAAGGCACATCTTTTTCATTTTTTATGGCTTTTTTGCTCTGAGGAAACATCCCTGATACTGTCTTGTATCTTATTTGTTCTTTTCTATGCTTGGACTTGGGACTACAGGTGTTTAAGAATGACTTTGTGCTTTAAGGTTTGTGACATGAACGCCCATTGTGCTTAAAAGGCACGATGGGTGCTTGTGTCTCTTGCTTTGTTTCAGTACGATCTGAAGTATCACTGGTTGTGATTAGCTATAATATTTGAAATTTGGAGACTATAGCACTACGCTGAATTGTAGGATTACCACATTTATGCCATGCTATGATTTGACTTGCATATTTATGTAGGACGCCACTACATTTAAAACACCCGAATATGCTCTTTTTTTGTTGTTGAAGATTAGACTCAGAAAGACATTTTTTCTTCATATCTTATAGTCAGAGATTGGGACACAGCATTAGTCAATCTGGGGGCAAACAGTAAACATCATGAGATCTGATTTTGTACATTCTTTTTTGTTACCATATATGTCATTACTTAAACGGCCGGGTAAAATAGAACTACTTATTTCATAGAAGCCAAATATCACAGGTTGAGTAGTCACCGTTGGCTTTAAGTGATAACTGTAACAGAGCTTCTTTCCAAATTGCATTAACTAGAATAGCTCGTAATGAGTGCTCCTGTTGCCACATCTCTAACTGTCTATTTGCATTGGTATGATCATTTTCTTTTTGTGGGATTTTCAGGCCATTGTAACAAGAAAGAACTCTTTAAGTGGAATTAAATATTCTGAGGAACCAGCTATATTTGCTTGGGAACTCATGAATGAGCCCCGGTGTGAATCCAGTTCATCTGCTCCTGCTCTTCAGGTGAATGCTAAACTCCATTGGAAAATCCAAAAGGGGGTTGGGGGTGAAGTGGGGGGAGAAATGGGTGCCTTCCAATGTTAAGTACTGCAAAATAACCATGTGTACACGGAAATAAAATATGATAGAGAGTGGAATACTGTATAGTCCGTCTCTCCCAGTTAGAGTAATGGCTCAGGAAATATATGTATTTTAGGTCTTTCCACCATTGTTCTCTTTGGTAGATCATCTAGCAGATCTTTCTTGACGAGCATTATACTATTTTGTGTTTGTATCTTATTTCTTGACCTTAGATTATCGTCTTGATGAACAGGCTTGGATCACAGAGATGGCTGCTTTTGTTAAAAGTTTGGACCAGAAACATCTTGTGACTATCGGACTTGAAGGGTTTTATGGCATGAAAACAACTGAAAAATCTGGAGTTAATCCTGGGGAATGGGCTGCATCGCTTGGATCAGACTTCATACAAAACTCAGAAATTGACAACATAGACTTTGCTTCGGTTCATGCCTATCCACATAGCTGGTTAGTTGTGTTGATTATGATATAATTTGCTAACATTTGCTGAACTTTTACGGTCCCCTGTTGGTGAGATGGTCTATCAGTAGAATTATTACTTTGTATAAGTTAAAGACCTAAAATCTGACTAATTTGAAAATTTGAGCAGCCGATCTGCATTATACATTTATATTAGATATCACAACCAAGTATCATGGTTTGAAGACAAAATAAATGTTTTTTTGCCTTGGCAATCTGCCGAAGCTGTGGGATGTAAAAGTACATTGGTAGCAGAGTATTTTGCCTTAGAGGGAAGACGAAACGGAAACAAAGAATGTCGGCTTGAGTAATGCAAACATTGGTGATAATCCAATGCCCCCCCGAAACAGAAGAAAGGGGAAAGCGTGGAAGAAACATACGTAGAAATAGAAACAACTTTGGAAATGAAACGGACTAAACAGGAACTAGAGGGAAAAGCGAACTTGAGCTAAAATTTCATAGTGTTTCACTATATGCTTTTCTGAATTCGAAGTCCACTGCTAACCTCTTTATCGTAATTTTATGCTGTAGGATTTCACGTGCAGATTTAGAAACAAAAATGGATTTTCTTTCTCATTGGGTGGACGCTCATATAAGTGACGGACTGCACCTTTTGAAGAAACCAGTCCTTTTCACAGAAGTTGGCTTCCCTTTGGGTATGAAGAGTAAAGGAGTATATGATAGAGATGTTCTGTTGAAAATGGTCTATGATAAAATGTCCGAGTCTGCAAAGAAGAGGGAAGCCGGTGCAGGAGCCTTAGTTTGGCAATTACTGGTTGAAGGAGTGGAAAGATATGGTGATCGTTTTTCTTTTGTAGCGTGGAAGCATCCCACGACCTATAAACTGATTGTTAAGCAATCATGCAGGCTGCACAATATTTCCTTTCAAGGCCAGGAAAATAGGAAACGTCCACATATGGATCCATGCTTTGATAAGGTCTATTGAAAACGCTTATTGAGTAGTCAAAATTGAATTGAATGTGCTGAGAAGGTTTACATGGGAACGAGAAGGGGAAAAGAAGAAGAGAGAAGCAAGAAAGGGTGAAGGTAAAATAGTCATACATATACAAATTTGTGGGATATCAAATTTTTTCATACTGTTTGAAGATTTGTGGTTAAAGTATTTCTGAAGATGATGCCAATTGGCTTTGTACAAGCAACCAAGCCTCTCTGTTGAATTGTCTATACATGTGATGTGCTTATTTGTACATGTTATATGCTGTAGCAAGAGACTGTAACCATCGCTCGATTTTGAGATCATTGAGCAGTTCATATTTTTTGATAGCCTGTCTCTCTTTTTTCTTTTCTTCTATTTAGAATTTTATTTTCCAGGAACTGAAAATTCAGAAACACAATGCCTCCAAATTACAAGTTTTGTACAATTAAGGGCAAATTTAGCCAAACATGAGCTGCTTCATTTTCAAAACGATGAATCCAAGTGACAGTTTTCAACTCCAGTATTAAGTCAAAGAAAAGCCCAATACTCCTATATACGATCATGTCTCACAATTTTTTATCAGTAGTTTTAACACTTGTGTAGTTCTATCGACATAATATTTTATTAAATAATACAATAATGAACTTATTAAACTTCCTGTTTTTTTATTTTCTACTATATTGACATGACATTAGTTATTGATATGGGATAGTAAACAGTTAATTTATATTACAAATTTGAGACATATTATTCCAAACAGGCATTGCCAATGCCTTTGTATGTTCAGGACATATGCCCTGATGCACCCATTCCTTCAGAGCCATGCCTAGATCCTTCACAAATGTGCCCAAAGCAACGTACTCTTGAACCAACCTAACATCAACCTTGTAATAAACTAAATGGTGCAAAACCAGTCTCATAAACGTTATAATCACAAATCCAAAGGCTAGTGGCCCTGTGATCACCCGAGGCAGCCTCCATGAGGCAGTGAATTTCTTCTTCAACGCACCCTCAACTAAAACAGACAAGCCTTGAATGAGAAAGAACCAAATTGTCCCCCAGGTGGGCCTCAAGTGGCCCAAGTGATAGAATACCAGCTGATGCATGAAAGCGGACACTAGGAATGTGGCCAGAACTGCTGGAATGGGAGCCCATTTATGGCCCAATGCCTCCTTGGAGAGGTGAAGGATGGGATCATATACGGACGAGCGTAGCACGCTAGTGACCATACGGTTCCACCTCCGGCCCCAAAAGTCTTGTAAAGAAGATGAGAGGTGAGGGTCGTCAAATGGTGGCTCGAGCTCTAAATTTAGCAGCATTTGCATAAACATTGCCACCACGGCTAGCATGACTTCCAATCCAACGTAAACATATATGCAAATGAGAATTAAGATGATGTCTGGATGCATGTACAGCCTATAAGAATCCATACACAGTATAAAGGCTAGAATGGAGGCCTTTTTAGCATAATGCATAGGGGATTTTAGGCCAATTTGTAAGGCTTTGGAACATGGGGGGTGGTTTGCTTCATTTTTTCCATTAGTGAGAGGTTTTTCCATGTTTTCTTTACTTTGGGTGCATTTTAGAGGGTCTGGGGTTACATTTTGTTGGACCTTGATGGGGAAACAAGCAAGAATAACAAAATGGGCAAGAGCGAGTGATGGGTCGGATATTGGACCCATACCAAAAGCAAAGAGTAGGAGCTTAAAGTTGGCCAGCCAAGATATGAAGAAAGCTGTGGTACATCCAAGATGGACAGACTTAAAATTTAGAGGAAGTAGTAAAAAGAGAGAGACCACTGGGATGAGTGTGATCAATCTGGTTGTGCCTTTGGGAACCATCTTAGCCACACCATAGCAATAGCATACCGATGCAAAGATTGAAGCCCATACCATGATGAAGTTGTTAATCTCACCGTCCATGCTCTCTCTCTCTCTCTCCCTGTTGGGTGTTTGTTGTTGTTATCTCTTGCTTCTTCTTTCATGGTGATAATAGCTATAGTTATACATAGTGCAAGTCACGCAAGGTAGAGACCTTAAAATCCTCTGTTTTTTGGGCCTAGCTCAGGATCTATTACCGCTTGTTCATTATCTTAACAGAACAAACATGCAAAATGCACCAGGTCCAAGGTCCCAACCAATTGTCGATGACACCATACTTGTTGACCTATTTACTCTTAATTTTACCCTTGTTTTTGCAGGATGAATTTGGTGTGATTTTAGGATTAGTCCACCATTGATAAACCGATTGATAATTTAATTTAAATTTTTTTCCTAAGGGCAAAGTGGAAAATAAGAAATATTTTTCTTTATTTGTGTTTCGTATGATAAATAAAAAATTAAAAGAATTAATTTTATATCTATATAATAAAGCAGCTTACAATTCAAATTTCAAAAGATAAACAAAATGACTTTTGTTTTTCGCGGATCAGATCGCTTTAAAATTTTACTTTAAAGTTAATCTAATGGTTAATATTAACACTCTAAATTTAATAGAAAAATAAGGTCCTAAGGGTGTGTTTAAAGTGATTTTTTAAAAATATTTTTACAAATTATTTTTCGTAAGTACTTTAAAAAAAATTAGTATTTGAAATCGTCCCACCACTATCACCACCACCACCGTCGCCATCGCCGCCACCACTACCACCTCTGGTGTCGCTATCGCTGCCACCACCACCGTCATCGCCGCCACCAACATCATCGCTGTTGCCGTCACCATAGCCACCACGATCATTGTTACCCACCACAATCATCATCGTCTCCTACCACCACTTCTCACTCTTTATACAACTGACGTTTAAATTTATTTATTTCTCTTTTATGTTTGTAATTTAATTTTGAATATGAATATAAATATATTTATTTTTTATTTTTTATTATTTTGTACCTTTAAGTACAAATAATAATTAATTATTTGATATCGGGAGAAAAGTAAACAGAAACAACCACCCACCTTTTAATTTTTTATTATTTGTTTGTCATTTTTCTTCTCCCATTTTCTATCCACCCAGCTTTTCGTCAAACTAAAACACATTATTAAAAATATAAAGATAACAACCATAAAGTGGTTGTGTACCAGGGTGAGACAATTATCTTTCTCATCCAAGTTGTCAGACAATGTTTTTCACTCGCAGAAAGAATGGTGTGGGCTTTGTTTGCATGGTTTCCCACCAAAACTAACACCTCTTTAATGCCCAAACTGCTCATTACAAGCAATAATGTAATTCCCATTTCAGCATTCTTCTGTTCAACCAGACAGTCACGTTGACTGAAGTCTGAAGAGAAGAAAGGCCAACTGGGTCGAAGAACAAACTCAACTTGATAGAGGAGAGTAAATGAGAAATAAGAGACACAAGGACCCACATCCGTAATGGTCATCCAGAAATGACCACCAAGTTCGATTATGCAGACTTACTTCTAGGGGTTTGATGGGCTAGGATCAAGCTATAACTCTAGAATTGTGGGTAAGGAGCGCGTGTGGACCACACCGTTTAGGCCCCTCTAGAATACTACAACAGAGAATTCGAGTTGTTATAGTCACGTCCAGATAGACTTTAGACTTTCACAGCTGTCACCCCTTGCAACCTGTTTTTTGAGATTAAAAACTAAGATCCACATGCAATCACACAACCTTTTTAAGAAAAGTGTAATGAAATGTGCGCAACATAATATGGTAAACTGATGGGACATTTTCAAACACTCTCAGATGATGACGCGTGTATTCGGTGTCAATAGAAGTCTTTTACTGTGGTATCAACATGTCTTCGTCGATTTTTGACCCTCCTTCCCAAAGGGTGCTATTCACAGGGATCAAGGATCCCAAAACCACCTTGGACCGACACGTGTTCCTCGGTAGTTTGGGTATATCGGTCCTAAGTCGTGCTAAGACCCTCGGCACCGAGGGGTATCTATCCGCGTGGGTGTTTCTGCACATGGAGGGGTTATTGATGGACAGATCACTAGCTTAGGCAAGGTTAGGCTAGCCATCATGGTCTCGTCTTACTCAAATGGTGTCAGGAGGCACAAGGTAACAGAAGGTTCAACCAAAGGGGAATGGGCCGTGGCGTGTGGTGTCAGATCAGAGACGAAAAGACCAAAATGCCCTTGTTGACACACGGCTTAGAAAAACAAGTATTAAATGCACCATTCCTTTGATGAGACAACATTTAATGCATGAGAGCTCGGAAGTGAAAGGTAATAAATGTACCCAAGCCTGGACATTTAATATACTCCCACCGAGAGAAGATCATTAAACGCTCGACGGACCAAGGAGGAAGCATTAGTTGCTCGGGGTTTCGAGCAATAAAGAAAAAGACTATTACTCATAGAGATTGGTGTGCACGCTGCCCACCTCCAATGATTACCTACTAGCTACGCTGTCAACAATGATGAATTTTTAAGGTATAAATAGTCATCACCAACACAAAAAAAAAGGTATGCAATAAACCCTCTCTCAACCTCATACAGTGTTTTCTTCTTCCCCTCTCTCAAAGTACTGACTTGATCGTCGAAGGAGATATGCCGGAAAAACACTCCGGCGCCCTTCTAACCTGTTTTCCTTTGTTTCAGGAACCTCCTTTAACCTTCCGGGATCACTCAGGCAATTCGTACACACGATTCATTATCCAACTCCGACTCTCACAACCTGTTTCAAGTAGGAACGTCGACCATCCGATCGACGGACACATGTTCACTACAGGAGAGATCTATTCTAGTATTCGTATTGTGCAGGATCTTGCACGCACAATCTGGCGTCGTCTGTGGAAAACGAATGATTTTCTTAGTTTCTTCTCTAGAAAGAACAGTGACCATGTTGAACACTCGACAGAAAGGTAAAGGTCCCCAGTAAAGGAGTCTCGAGTTACAAGCTCCTCGTCATGCTGGGGGGAGAGATCAAGCTGATGACAATAGGAACGTTTCTATTCAGTTAAGGGGACATACTCCTCAAACCAGTATGGGCATTAGGTCAGGGGGATCCGCCCCCTTGGCTCATCAACTGGTGGAGGTGATTGAGAAAAAGTTTGGGGATCGACTACGACAGTTGGAGAAAGATAATATGAATGTCCTAAGCCGGCTCGACGAATTTGCCTCCTCCAGCGAAGTCTCGAGGGACTCATTCCGTTCCAGCGAACGCCCCGTCCTGGAGGCAAAATCAAGGACCTGAGGAATCATCTAAACAACAAAGTTGAGAGCTCTAGGGTCCCAAAGCGCCCAAGAGCCAACGAGCACTCCTTCGACGGTCAGGCCAAGAAGGCAAGGCCTTTGGCCTGGGACGACCTCCGACGAGGACTGTCAAGGCACGGGAAGGGAGATGAGTCCGAGGAGGATTCAACCCTTTCCACGCGACACCTGGGGAAGGCGAGCCCCGTCGATGACCTTGAAAACCTCAGAAGACATCCTTCTAAGGTGGAAGTCGATCTCAGAGCCTGGCTGGAATCCAGGAGAAGGGGCAAGGCTGTCCAGGATGACGCCGCAGACGGGGCCATACAATCACCTTTTACCAGGGACATCCGAGAGATGGAGGTACCAAAGAAGTTCATCGTGCCAAGATTTAAAACTTATGATGGGTGATCCGATCCCGAAGCTCACTCTAGGCAATACAAGCAAATGATGTCCCTGTATCATTTGGATCAACGACTCCTTTGTCGAGTGTTCTCCATGAGTTTGAGGGATTCCGTGATGAAGTGGTTCGAGACTCTTCCTCCCAACAACATTGGGTCATGGAAGGAGTTGGCGAGGCAATTTTCAGCCCGATTCATTACGGGGAGCAAACGGCCCAAAGACATCAGGTCATTATTGACGCTCAGGCGGAAGGAACAAGAAACCCTTCGCCAGTACGCCACCCGGTACTGGAAGGAGGTCAATGATGTAGAAGGGTGCTCGGAGGTTATGACAACCGCTTTTTTTAGGCTTGGCCTGGCAAGGGACACAGACCTGTACTGATCCCTGACTAAGAAGACTCCCGTAGATATGGGCGAATTGATGGCCCGGATAAACAAATACTCTAGGATTGAAGACGAAATGGGGGGGGGAACAAAGGTAAAACTCTCCCACCTAGGAGAAAAGAGAAAGAAGCGACTGAAAGGGGTTGGTACCCCCTCCAGGGGGGTCATCTAAAGGCGTTCACACTGTCTTCAAAAAACCCATCTACAAGTTATTCCATAAAATCAAGCACGAATCATTCTTCAAGTGGCCGCCTAGGATGCAGAGTGATCCTTCCATCCGTGATTAAAAGGTCAGATGTTCCTATCACTGGGATTTCGGTCATCACATCAAAAATTGTAAGGTATACAAGTCTTTCTTGGAAGGGCTAGTTTAGGATGGTTACTTAAAAGAATACATCGAGCCCAAGTCAGAAGAGAGGCGCGGTCCTGGACCGGCCGTGGAGCAAGACAATGTCATAGACGTGATCCATGTATGTCCACTAGATCGCTCGATATCCAAGGAGCTTGAGTCCGACCTCAAGAGGATGGCCTTTATAAGAAATGTTGCCAAGAGCGAAGGGGGCCCGCGCAGCAAGAGGGCCAGGAGCGGCGAGTCAGATATCACCTTCTCCGACGCAGACTTGGCGGGCGTGGTAACTCCCCATAACGACGCCCTAATTATAACTCTGAAGATAGGCAAGTTCGACGTCAAGAGGGTGTTGGTGGACTCCAAAAGTTCCTCCGAAGTGATGTACTCGGAGGCTTTAAAGCGGATGGGCTTTGCCCTCAAGGACCTCACCAAGGTCAGGACG